CTGGAATTACATTCCAACCAAATGCACCCAAGTGTAGCATAGATTGCACATTGCCACAAAAATTTAACTTCTTTCCTTCTACAGTTCTATGAAAACCTGTAAAGCTAGTAAACAGAAATGGGTCCAGGAACTATACCCATCATTATCCAAAAATGCCAATTGCCAAATGAACTCCATAAAGAATCAAACATAATGGTCTGAGAAGAGTCACAACTGATTTGGAGCTCACACTTTTCTGAACACACTATCAGGAAATAGCCTTATGTGACCTACAGACCATATCATTGATATTAATTATATTAAGCTCCGGTGTTCAAAAAAAGTACTAACCTCAGGGGGCTTTGGACTTTCAAATGGTTTTTCAAGATTGATAGATACTCCAATTCAACAAATGAGTTAGAAATTGGAAGTTAAGATTAGCAAGAAAAATTCCTCAGAAGGATTGACAAACCAAAACCTTTTCTATCTTGGCTAGAGGACACAATCAAGGAGACCCAGAGGATGGTGGTAGTAGAACCTCATTGTTTAGATTCAGTGTGGCAGTGAAATTTAGCAAATCATTTCTTTGATTTAATCTAATTCCTATTTAAAATGGGTTCCCAGTTCACAGGGCTACTCACCACCAATTTGGAGTATTGGGCAGGTCAAATGTCCATAGCCTTACCTTGGTGAGCTGGGAGACCGTTTTTGCAATCAAACCTTTTGACCAAGTCTCAACTCTCAATGCAATAACCTTGTTGTTATGCCTAGACTCACCCTCATTCTGTTATATAGTAGCATGGAGTTTGTTTGTTTCTTCAAATTTCTTTATGCTGCTTTATTGGGCTTTTCAATCAGCTTTGCAGCACACAGGCCAGTTATTGTAACTATGGGCATTGGGAGATTATATTCTTTTGCTCTTAATAATATAAATATGCGATGTAATGACTCTTTTCATTTGCCACTGCATGCACAAACATAAAAAGTAAGTGCACGTCTGGTGTCTCATGTGGACTATATGTCTATATCTTTTCAATTGTATATTCTATTAATGTTTTTCAAAGAAAATTTCTGTGATATTTTCTTGCTTCTTTCACTGCCTTCATTTGGATTTGCTAAAGAAAGACAAACGTTACTTTTACACAGGTCCTTGCCTATGTATCACTTCTCTAATAGTTGGTTTATTTTAGCTTTTCGATAGTGTTTAGTGACTGAATTCAAACATACAACGCTGGCTGCAGTTTGAGCAACAATAATGAGCTATATTTGATTTGTTATTGTGTTCTTTTCGATGCTTTAAACTTTTTAAGTCTATCAAACTATGTTTATATGCTTTACCTTTTTATGATACTAAGACTATGGATTCAGGTTTCACTACTTGAAGAAAATATAAAACCTAGAACAGATCTTCCTCATTTGCTAGTTCATCTCCGTGAGAGGCGGCCAGAGAAGCTCCATTACATTGGTGTCTCCTTTGGGCTAACCTTGGACCTTTTTCGCTTTTGGAGGAAACATAAATTTGCTCCTTTCTACATTGGCCAGATTCCAGTTAAGCTTTATTTTTTTCTTAAGCATTAGATAATACTGAATTTATTTTTACATGTAATTAACATGTTTCCTTTACTTGATAGAATTCTGTGACTGGTGAGCATACATGTATGATCTTAAAACCCTTGAACAACGATGAAATTGAAGCTGATGGATCAAATCAGTTGGGTTTTTTTGGTCCATTTTACCAAGGTGTGTTCATATTCCTTTGCTGTTATTATCTGTGCTCATTATTTATGATTCATTTTGTTAATTGTTGATGATTTAGTTCACTATTTGTAGATTTTAGGCAAAGATTTACTAGACTTCTTGCTTCCACTTTTCGTAGCGTGGAATACAAGCTTGCTTTGAGGTCAGTATTAAATATTTAATAGTTCACTCTTCTAACTTAGTTATTGACTTGGATATGTTGGAGTTCCTTGAATTCTAGGGACCGGGAGTTATGTAATGTTGACAATTCAATCATATTGACGAATAAAATGTTCCACATCTTTATTTTATCTCTCTGATAGAAGTAGTATTGCTAGAGGAAGTTAAATTCATGTTTTTACATTGTATAAAATTCTAAAGTTGTTGCATAATCTTATTCATTGATTGGAATTCAGTCGGTAGGATATGCATTCCTCATTTATATCTCCATTTTTTGAAATCCTTATTACCATGATTATTTATCCAGCATAATAGATCCAAAAATCATCTTCACGGAGCAAGAACCAACAAGGACAACATCTGATAAATATTTGCGGTCAGTTGGAGAATATTTATCACCACATGATATGAAGCGATTAGAGGCTTATGTTGACAACCTTGCTGACTTTCATCTGGTAAGAGCTAAAGTGATGCATGTGACACTAATCAATTTTTGTTGATGCTTTCTTGATGAATACATATCTAATACTTCTTGGTAATTGAAAATTGTTGTCCACTCCTAATGGCTCTCAGCTCCCTAGGTAAAATGCAATTCCCTTTTAACTTTTCAGAGTAGAATAGAATTCCATCTTGATCGCCTCCCCTCCCCTAAACACCCTACTAGTTTGTTCATCATATAGTAACTTGAAATGATCAATGGAAATTAATATATTTTTACTTAATTGTCATTTAATATAGTTTGTTCATCATATAGTAATTTTTAATTGGATAAAATGCAGTGGCCAGGCAAATTAAATCAATTTTCACTTGAGTTTGCATGAGCATCAATATGTAAGAATTGTGTTGACAAAATTTATGTTGGCCTTTAAAATGGTTCTCATTGTGGTGGTCTAGTGTAATCTCTAACTTCATGCACTATATGCATACTGCTGAAATTATGATGTAACTGTCACTGTGCCAAGCTTAATCCCGTGATAAAATATTATTCTGAATATCTGTATATGTGATTTGCAGTGCTTTTAAGTATGATCTTGACCTTTTTATCTTTTGGACAGATTTTGGATTTAGTTCCCACCCTTTCACATCTGTACTTCCAAGAAAAACTTCCAGTTACATTGTCATATGCTCAAGCTTCTGTATTACTCTGCATTGGTCTGCAGAATCAGAACATTTCATACATTGAGGTCTGTTTATCAATCCACTATTTTTTTTGAAATATTACACTTGGATGATAAATGATAACCTAACACTAAATCCTATTACCTGATATGTTCTAGAAGATGTCTAAATTATCTCAGCATTCTCTTGACATTTGAGTAGTTTTCCTGTTTACTGTCTTCTTCCATTGGTGTCTTTTCAAAAAAATGAAATCACATTCTTGTGTCCTTATGTTTAATAGGGACAAACAAAGTTGGAAAGGCAACAAATATTGTCTCTGTTTATAAAAGTTATGAAAAAGTTCTACAAATATCTATACGGTCTTGCATCCAAGGAGATTGAATCAACCTTGCCAAGACTGAAAGAAGTAAGTTTCTCAACAATAGTTTATCATGCCTATTCCATGGTATGGTGCTTTTGCTATAATTCATAGCCAAATTTGGTTAGTTAACTCCTCACACGCTAGGAACATAAATTCTACTAATGGTTTTTAATCATTAACTAATCTTGCACCTCTTCTTTGACCCTTTTTTCTGGGTGATGTTTTATTTTGTCCCTAGATTGTCATGGAACCTCACAGTGTCTCTGTGGATGAAGATCTCGACAATGCAGCTAAACAAGTTGAGGTATGTGCCTTCACCTTTTGCTTTCTTTTGTGGAAGATTCCTACCCAAATCCCATCCATAGCTCTTATTTTAAATCATTGTCACTGGATAGGATGACATGAAATCAAAAGCAGAAACACTCTTTACTCCTGAATTGCTCCAGCAGTATGCCATTGAAGATGGAGAACCTGGCTTTGATAATGTTTTACAAAATAATGGTGGAAAAATACCGACAGGTGGTCTTATTAGCGTGAAATCGAGTAGGAGTGTAGTCAAGCCTGAAAAAGAGAAGGGAAGTCATAAGAGTGACAAAAAGCGGAGTAAAGACACCCACAACCATAAATCAAAAATCAAGTAAAAGGAAAAGATCTTGACCAAGAGAACCATCTAAGATAAAATTGTGATTTCAGGGATTGTTGGTCCTGGAACAGTAGTCCAACAGCGATATAAGAGCAAAGTAAACGCGTCGGGGTTGTCTGACACGAGGCCCAGTTGATGTCCTGTATCATGGCTGTGTGAAATTACTCATAATTACCTCTCCCTTCTCTTTATGTTTTCCTCAAGGAAATTAGTGGGCAACATATCTGCATTGCTATAAATACGACGGCAGTAGAGAAATATGGCACCCATTTATCATTTTATCAGCCTTTTTTGACGGTTTCAGTGCACAACCACAATTGGAGTGTAGGAAGCAATATCCAGTTTTTTCTCCTTTGGTGGACAAGCACAAATGTATCAATGTTGTATACTCGTTCTTTCGGACAAAATATATTATATAATAGGAGACTGGTCTGATGGACACGAGTTTTGTGATCGGTGATAAAAGTGCATGAACATTTTCACTTATTATTGCATGAACATTTTCCCCTAATTTTCTTAATTGTTTTACGTAAAATGTTTTAAAATACATATATTCTGAGATGATACAACATAATTTATTTGATTAAAAACTGGTAAACCATTTAAAAATTTGATTTGGAATTGAGCTCAAAGGTATCATGAGATTCATGTAGCCAATTTTATCTTGGGATAAAGTGTAGTTGTAAAAAACCTGTACTTGCGCAAATTATTTTTAATTCACTTTTCTTTCAATCCCAACCCGTAACCCGTTAAATGTCTAGAGTAATGTTATATACAGCAAAAAACCGTTTGCCCCTTTTTATAATTAAAATTTCACATTATACAGTGCATGCATGATGACAACATTTTGGAGTTTGGACGACGTCAAAATTGAACTCTGTTGATAATGCTAATATATATATATATGTGTGTGTACGTACGTACGTACGAAGCTTGTTTATATTTGATTGAAAGTCATTTGCTTCGGAAAGAAGAGGTGCATTTGAGAGTCGCTTTTCCAATATACGAGCCACGTTTCAACATGCATCCAAGAACTCGAAATAGACATGATTTAATTATAAGCACCGGTAACCAGGTGATTGCAGATAAGAAACTTTCCTAATAGTGATAAGCCACAGAACAAATCAACTAGCTTTGAAATATTGAACCTGTACTTAAGCCGAATATAACCAAATTTAGAGTATTGATAGACAGTTTCGGGCACAAATAATCAGACAGATATCCTGTTTGGATCTTCAATTTGGACTATAGAATGTAAACTTGAACCGTCTGGAATTCCCAAGGGAGGATCTATGCATGAACAATTGTCAACAGTAAATAGCTCCCACTCTTTAATTTCACATTTGTCTAGAGCAGCAACTATTTTTGTCCTCTGTGTTTCATTTGGAAATGCTCCATCTGGACTAACAAGTACTGCCCCTGTATAAGACTGCCCTGCAGCCCGAGCAGCTCCATGATAGTGGAACAAACCCCAACTAAGATCATCAGCTACATCCACAATTGTCCAAAACTCATTTGAAACAACTCCATTATCTAATACACTGAAATAGAAGGTACCAGGTACCTTACCTCTCTTGACCCTATATTTTCTCCTCCTCCAGACCATTTGGCCTTCCAATGTTTTTACCTGGAATACTGGTTCATACCAAAATGACCCTTTTGCCTTTCCCCTATAGAATAGCTGGTATTGGCATGGAAATTGATCATATGCTGGGTTCTGCCCTGCCACAACACGCCAGCTCCATTGCAAACTCCCTAACCAACCAACAAACAAATCTTCTGCCATTTCATAACTTAAGTTCTCTCCATGAAACTTTATCATTGGTGGCACGTATGGCTGGTCAGGTACTTCTGCTTCCAAGTTAAGACAGTTGTTTTTCTGTAATACACATAGTGAAAAGGCTTCTAGATTTGTGCTTTCGTATGAAGCAATACATTGATAATTACATACTTGATCAACTGGACTACACTGATTCAAGCATTGAAGAGCTTTTCTACAATTGGGATCCAACAAGCAATTAAGTACCTGACGGCCACAGTTCCTCAACATACAGTTTAGGGTAGAAAAACCCTTGGCTCTCAAGTTCTTCAATACTGGAACTGGCCTTATATAAGCATTGATTAGTACCAGTAAGCAGAACCTTATATCATCAGAATTATGTCGATTCCATGCTTCCGACACAGTTTGCACTACTTTATATGATTCCTTAGTTTTATCTGATAGAGAAATTCCTATCACTTTTCTAAATATACTTCCCCTCACTTCATTGTGAACATCATAGCCTCCTAATCTGTTCTTCACATCTGGTGAAGAGTCAAAGCATATCACATTTTCAATACTTTTGCTGTTGATATTAATCCACTTCTTCGATTCTTTCTTTTTAATGGCGACAATCACCAATATATCAGCCTTCATTAATTCTCTCTGGAGTCTCAGGCTCATTTCTTCATTAGATTGAATACATTCATCAGTAAATACAAGAAGTTCATACCCTTCATCAACCCATTTCAATTTTTTTGCCTGCTAAAAAGGAATATTAATGGGACTGTACCCAATAAAATTTAATCACAATATTCATTTAGCAAAATTATAATGATAAAACATACTACAGGTCCAGCAAAAGACCCATCACAGGGAAATCAAAAGCTGCATGTTATCCAGACAAATTTAAGAGCAATAATGGCAAAGTGTCTTCTAGATGCATGTTATCCAAGCACAAAAGCCCAATTTTCTATCTTTGTATTGCATCTAAAACCTTGCTATGGAGTGGCAAAAAAGACAGAATACAAACCTTAAGATTGAGTTTGGATGGAGAATTTGACATCAATAAGAAGGAATATTTAACATGTGAATCAAGAATGAGAAGAATTATGAATGATAATTACAAAACGTTAAGGATAACATAGGACTTTTTAAATTCTCTCTAAAGACATATCATTTAAAATTCATTGTACTTTTGACATAAAAAATCCGTAGTTATAAATCTAAAGTATTCTAAAAATATTATTTTTAGTATCCAAATCCATATAATCTAATAATTTATAATTCCCCTATCCCAATGACAGGTTTTACTTAAATTAAACATACCTCTATTCTATTTTGTAAAGCTACAACAAAAGCCAGTAACATTACATAATAACAAATTGACAACAATGACATTATCGTCATTCTTTTTGCTCCATGACTCTCTGCTCTTGCCCGTCAGTCCAAATAAAAGGATTTGGGCTCTGTATCCTTCTTGGCTGTTTTTGTGCCAATCTCTTATTCAATTCCTAACTCATTCGTTGAATAGAGCTATCTGCAATCTCATAAACCTCCTTGGAAGTTCAAAGCTCCCTTAAAGGTCAATTTTTTATTTGGAATGTACTTCTTAATAAAATTAATACCAATGACGCGTTACAAGTTTTGAAGGCCAAATAATGATATGAGAATTAAGCACGATGCAAGCTCTGAATAAGTTAATAATTGAAAGAAAGAAAGAAAAAAGAAGTTGAAAAGGCGGAGAGAGAGAGAGAGGGGTACGTAACAGTGTGAAGCATGACTTGTTCCCAGGATGCAGACTTGAGAGGACTGACAGCTCCGTGGCCAACCACAGCCACCATCCTCACCGGAGGCTCAGGTGGGTGATCGGCCGTCAAGGCGGAGAAGACGGTTGTGGAAGGGCGAAAGCGGAGAAAAGTGTATGCATGTGGTGAGGGAAAAGAGAGATGCTGGGAAGGAAGAGTGAAACATGTTGACGTTGTTGCGGAGAAGGCATTGTCAACAAAAATGGGTGTCTGTGTCTGTGTCTGTGTCGGTTTCGTAAGATTCATTTGCAAAATCATAGACATCAAAGAAAAGAAAACGCTGTCCGTCTTACAACACTATCCAACCATTGCTATGCCACACAAGCCTTTCATTCCCAGTCTACAAACTCCAGAAACTTTCAGGGACTTTCATTTATCTTTTTTTATAAGATAGTTTATTTTAAACATTTAAAATTAATATCTTTTCAAATAATATATTTATTATATTAAAAATATTATAATAAAATAAACATTTTTAAATAAAATTTTAGTATCCTTAGTTATTTGAATTCAATTTTATATATTAAAGTTAATATTTATTTTATTTTATTTTGTGAGTAATGTCATATCCTTTCATTATATTTTTTTTATTAATTTTCTTAATACTTTATAAAGTATTAAATAAAATTTTAAATAAATTTAAACTTTTGAAAATATAAAATATACTTTTTATTTAATAAATAGAAAAATTATTAAAAGATATAATAAGAAGATTCAGAATTATTCTTATCATCCAACTTTTTTATGGACATATAACTATTTAGTTTTGATTATTACTACCACAGTTTCTTGAGAAATTAGTTCACGTATTTTATGCGCGTTTTGTTATCTTTTGGATTGCTCCATATAATAATTAATTTCTGTAATTCAATTCTTACAAAGGCAAAATAAAATACGTAATTTTAAAATGAATTCTCTCTCTTACGTACATATTAAAATACGTAAGTATTAAATACCAAATTGATTCGTTTGCATCCATTAAATAATACATGAAATAAATCTCCATTCTCCTGTTATCATTTTATGTAAGAAAATTAAATTTAAATTGCCTTAAATTCTATTTCATGCATGACATTGGACAAATCTCTGTTCCCGTATTTAAATAGTTCTCAAAATGATGTTAAATCGCATTTTAATCTTAAAGATACAACTTAAGGATATAACTTCAAATGAATTTGAGACAATATTAAATGCGGTGCACAACTCTCCATAACGTCATCGTACACCTCCCACAATACCAATTACAAGATAAATTTCATAAACTTTGCATTCAATGTTCTAAGCGAAAACCTAAAAAAAGCGCTAATGAATCCTATACTGGTAATCTTTCTAACGACGCAATAGAAACGTGTAGGACATTAGAGATCAATTCTTGCTATATTTTAAGAGACAAATTTCCGAACATTACAGATGCTCGTTTATATCTAAAGGAACAATTTCAATTTGTTTTCAAATGGGCGTATCATGCAAAAGATCACGTACTTCTTTTTGGGTAGATGGAATACAATCTTTAAATGTAGTAAAGATTGTTTAATGGGTTGACGAATTTCAATTAATCGATGGATGCCATCGAAATTGGGAACCACCATAAAATCAAAAAGAATAAATACTCGGAAAACATGACAGAAGAAAAATTTAGAAAAATTGATCGCCTCACTTCCAGTTAAACCTGGAATATGAAATACAAAGACCTTGAAAATTCAAGAATCTTCAAACTGGCATCAGTGTTGCACTTCAAAACCACCGGTGTCTACTTATTGAAGAAACACAGCTTCACCGTTATCCAAATGCAACAATTTCTAATGTATGCAAACATCTAGAAGACATTTTAAAGGAAGTTCCTGATGTCCAAAGTTTTGACATCAACCGATTCAGGCTCATCCTTGAATTCCTCCCTGAAATGGAAAACAGACAAGAAAAGATAAATCCTAATATGGTTTTAAAATTTCTATCCTACTTCACAAAGAGACAGGAGTAAAACATATTTCCAACAGAAGATAAAACAACAGTCCTATCTCAGCACATTGTTCGGTCACCATGTCATATTCATAAGTTCAAAATTCAAACCTCATAAACCTTACTAGAAAAGGCTAAATATCACCATTCCATATTGCTTGCTATATCTGAACTTTGGAGTTAAAATTAAGCAGAAAATAAAAGATAATTGTCACGTGCTTATCAATGGTGTTCTGGATCAAAAGCACCATGAGAATTATGATTTTATTGGTAATACCTCTTCCTTTGAGTATCCATTGCCTCTTTAGCATCCTTCTTCAGCTCCTCCAGCTGTGCTTTAGCTATTTTAAGTTCTAGATGCTCTTCATACTTCGGCAGATCTTCCTTTCGAATTCCAATCCTAAGAAAGCAACAAAAATGGTGGAAAACAGAAGGGAGGAAAACAAATAAAAAGAGAGAAAAAAGTAATTACAACCAAGTAGTGAATTAGGAATTTAAACAACCAAATGGAACATCCAACCAATAAAAGAGTAGGTCAATTGACAAGCAAGAATGGACTATACAATACCCTATCAAGTGAACAATGTGATGGGAGGTTCAAAGTCTTCATAAAGAACAAAAATACATAAAACTCTGTAAATTAGATGAGCCAACTGGAATCTTCCTTCAATAAAATTTCCTCCTCCACGTTTTATCTTAAAAAATCTTCTCTAGACCATCTAACGAAATGAACAGTTTTCCATATAATATGGGTGTAAAATGCCACTCCACCAGAGGAAATATTCATAAAATCACCAAGAATTACAATGAACCCATGCTCACAATCCATGACACATAAGTGAAATAAGATAATCACCTATGAAAGCTGGAAAAGCTTGAATCTAGATGTCACTTAATATTAATCCAACCCAATATGCAAAACAGATCCAGGGATCTGAACTTACTTCTTATTAATCTTATCAAACTCTGCCAAGAGAAGGTCCATTCCTTTCTTATCATTTCTAAGTAAAGGTTTGTTCAACTCCTTTTCAACTTTGTCCAATGCATCTATCATCATAGCCTCTGCACCAAGATCGTCCGTGAGACCTCTCCTGTGAAAAAACAAACACATACGTATATAAGCTTGTGTGATGAGAACCTAAGACGTCCTGAAGCAAGAGATATGTGTGTCATATGTTGCTTTTACTCTCAACTATATACATAAAACGTGTGTATACAAAAGTTTAAAAAAAGATTAGTAATCAGGCAAATCCTGATAATAATCAGAAAAGCACAAAGGGATCTGGCAATTTTTAGAACTGGAGGTTTAAAAGAAAAGCATTATTTGACTATAAGAAAAACAAAAGGTATATGGAATGAAAAAACCATTTTACATATATAAACTAATGAACCTGGTATAAATAAAAAAGTAAACGGAAACACATTACATATATCAATCAGCACATCTAATTACAAATTGACAAGAGTAGAATAGATCATCACACACTTGGTTCTTATTTCCTTGAGAGTCAAAAGATAGGTCCGTGCATCTGGAATATCCTGTGTCTCAATTTCAATGGTGGATTGGATATCTTGTGATTCTGACAACAAATTTGCCCTGCAGAATGCACAAGAAAGTGTTAGCATAACATAAAACATTTTTCAAAAAACAATAAAAAGTTGGAAAGATTACAAGATATAAACCAACAAAATTACAAAATATGGAGCAAAAAGAGCCTGGTAAAAACAAAAAAGGTAAAGCAGAATCTCACTTCTCTCTAACTGTTTTCATGACATTTGCATAATGAGAAACAGCAGCTGCATCATCAGGATCAATGGTGATCTTCTCCTTTTTTAATATTCCTATGGCTGTCTCAAATTTGTTCTTCACCTCCACAAAAATGTTCTTCAGCATCTCTTTTTCCATTCAATTAAGAGTATATTGTCAGGTGACATAAAAATAACAAAAAATTCTATTAAAGATCAAAGTGGATATTTTTAAAAGTATACAACTTCTCAGGAGAACTCACGATCTCCCTTAAGGGCAGGAGTGGCAGCCTCTTTAGCAAAGTGACGAACTGGGACAGCATACTCTTTTTGCAGAAGTATTTGACTTCCATAGATCTATAAAAGGAGAAAAAATTTCCGCACATGGCCAAATAAATCAGTAGATAAATCACAAATCCCATCACTTTTGAATTAATAAACAACTCGTGCATATTACCACAGAGGAAGCTTAAGCATGGAAACATGAATTTCAAATTATTCATTTTCACAAACTGTTAAGCAGCTCGGGAAGACGGATAATTAGGACATATTTTCATTGGGTGACCATGGCCAAAGACTCATCAGGTATCACAAACCCAAATGCATTGACTATTTATGGGATGCAAACAAGTGGAAAACCTAATTTCACCAATCAATATAATCAGAAAAGAAAGAATAACCTAATTGGCCAACAGAAATGAATGAAAGAAATCCAAACCCTCGAAATCTAGTGAAAGTGATTTTATTCTTCACATAATTTCGTTTTCAAATTATCGAGATAGATAATCAAACATTGCCGGAAATATTGAAAGCTATTTGGATCCCGACATTAGAATAACATAATCAGAAGTCAGAACGGTAAAAAGAAATGTAATCAATAGCTATTGAGAAGAGGAAGAATTGAAGATAAGAGAGAGACCAATTTGGATTTGGAAAAGAGACGAGAAGAGAGTGCCATGAGTGATGAGTGACGAATGTTGAGCTTTTCTTCTCTCCAATGCGTTAGGGCTTCTTCGTTCCACTTTGATACCTCTTCTTTCAATTGAGATCACTTCACACAAATCAGAGAGGTGTAATAATCTGGTGAGGTAAGCCCTACCCTATTCCTCATGAATGGGTCTCGCGTTATATTTTCGCCGTTGGATATCCGGCCACGTCGTGCTGGGTCTTTAGTAAAAGATCTACGGTTCCTGTTTTCTGGAATTAAACTTTGCTTCTTTCTTTTTTAAAAATTCAGTACCAAGTTTAAAAGGTAGTTTTTCAAAATTAAGCTTAATATATTCATAATGTCGGAAACATAGCTTAATTGCAATTTTTTTATCTGACTTAATTGCAAACTAAATTTTTCTATTTGTTTAAAATTTAACATATGTTATTTTTTAATAATAATTAAATTTTAGATGTTGAATCTTGAATCGGTCAATATATATATATATATATATATATATATATATATATATGTATGTATATTTGTAATTTTTAATAATTTAGTAAAATCATCATGTGTCAATCGGATGACAGTAAATTAAGACAAAGTAAATGATAATCACTTGTGATAATTTTTATTAAATTTTAACAATCGTGAGTAAACTCATTTTCCTTAACTAAAGAAATTTATAGATTTCTATATGATTAACTCGTATATTTATGTCTATGTTTTATTTATTAATGTCCTTAAAATACTGATTTAAAATATTAAAAAAATTAAAAGGGAGACAAAATTAGGAAGAAACCTTTTTTAAAAGGAAGACAAAAATAAAACGAAAAAAAAATTGATTCCCTCTCCTACCATCAACATATTTAAACCAAACTTAGTTTTAAAAAAGAAAGAAAAATCACTCTCTTCCTTCTTATCTCTTATTTCCCTTCGACCAAAGACCATATAAAAGAATAACCAGAGTCACAAATCCCTCAATAAGAATTCAATTCGCGAATCAATTAACTTCAGCTATGCATTAAAAAAAACAATAATTCCCCGTAAATAAACACATAGTTAGTAACTTTAATATCCAAATATTAGCTCTACTTTCACCGCGTGAAGCACCAACGATACAGTAAAAAGTCTTTCCTCACGCATTTACAAATCAAATTTAATAAAACATTTCTTCTCATACTATATTATGTATGATATATCCCAAGAAAAACCATTTTAATTATTCTTATGAGTCAACTGTAAATTTGCGTAAAGATACATCATTTGCTAATTGAATTTTTTTCATACTTAAGCAATCAGCAGGTGCTTTCGAGTTGAGTGCACCATTTACGTCAAAAATCGATGCGCCAACAACGAACGCGATTCAATATTTGTTTATGCGGTAATTTTACGTTATAACATATAGATTTCCTAAAACAAATTTAAAAGATATTATGAATATAGACTTTACCAATCAACTCCTGCGGAGCAACAAATGTAAACACAAATATAAATGGCAAATAAATTCCGTAATTTTCTCTAGACAATTCAGGTAAATCTCTATCTGTTAATTATAAAAGTATATATAGTCCAGAGTATAGCATGAAACAATCACCTCTAGTATTGTAACTACTGTCTGTCTATAAACATTACTTTACATTTCAGCAGCAAAGGATTTACCACATCCACAAGTTTGTGTAGCATTAGGATTCTTGAAAGAGAAACCCCCTCCAATCAGAGCATCACTGTAATCTAATTGCATGCCAAATATGAAGAGTAGGCTCTTAGGATCACAAACTGAAAAAACACATGCAGAAGTCAAAATATGCCATGCAGTGGCTTATGAAGTGTTTAATTTAAAACTTAAACTGAAACATCAAGCGCTGTAGTCAATACATTAATAATAAATATACAAAGAAAGAAATCTCAAGTATCAGTTACCATATACATGCACTATTTTTGCTTTGGCGTGAAATGGGAGACAGTTTGCTTATTGTTCCTTATTTTGTTTTCAAAAACTGTAAGCTTAATTACTGGAGGAAATCCAAGTGCACTGTTATGAAAAAAACATTTTTAACTGTTGTTCCACCATCAGAGCTGCAAAGACTCTAACAAACAAGGCTTAAAATGAAGAAAAGAAGATCAGGTTGAGGGAACCAAGCTTTCAATTCAGTCTAGTATTCAAATTATTTCCAACTGAATCAACATAAAGCTAGTAGGAGAATGGCTTCAATGTTCTGAAAATAAAATTATATTCAACAAAGTTGATACATGAAGCAAAAAGAATGTGCATAAACTGTTATGATAGTTGGATCCAGGAAGATTAATTAATTCTTGTAATTGCAAACGTTTAAGTTCTAAATACAATCACTCGTTCTCTATTGCAATTGATTAAAGTAATAAATAAAACTTTTTTAAGTTTCCAACCATATGTGCTCCGTAGAACCACTACTTCTTCCCAAGGAAACAATGAACTATGGGCTGTGCAAAGATATTTTTACATGCTAAATGCCTAAAATCAATTATATAACCCACATTGAACCAAAACCTCCTACCTAATTAAAACATAATAAATATTATCATCACTACCATAACTTCTTTAGTACCCTCCGCCTATTTGCAACAGCAAACTGGAAACTGGAACACATTTTGTCTTGGTCAAATAGCTAAATTAGGAGAATAATTTTACACCGGAAGTTACAGTGTCACAGTTTGTCATGTGAAGTGCATTGGCAAGCTTGACAAACCAAACTGAAAAATTGCATATATATAATGGATGTAGCCAAAGCATGCCAAATATTTTAACACCCCCAAAAAGAAACAGGAGATTAAGCCCACCTTGTGGATTATAAATGTTAATGATAAGAAACAGATTATGAATCATACCGATTAGAAAACCTTCATACTCAATGATGGAATCATCTGGCCTTGTATTGGCCATGTTCTCAAAATCCATCGTGTATGACATACCAGAGCAACCACCCTGTTTGACACCTATTCTTAAACATAAATCTTCATTTCGTTCAGACCTCATCTTATTCAAGTGCTTCAGTGCATTATCTGTAAGCGAAATTGCAGGGGCGAGAGACCCAGATGCTGGTGTGGCTGAAAGGTATTGAGAACGGGGATGAAGCAAAGATTAAATAAGTGCAGAGCAGTGTGGAAAAAGTAGTTCACATAGTGCACACCAATATATAACAAAAACCAAAATATACTGTTACACTCTGATTGATGATATTAAAACCAGAATGAATGTCAACAACATAAAGCTCTAGCTTTTTCTTGATTTCTCTTAGAGCACTGGTCCAGACAACTTGCTAAGAGGGTGCTTCGTGTGAGGAAATTCAAAACGTTAATCAACCACCATCTAAATGACTAAATTAATATACCTAATTAGAATCCACAGTCAAGTGTCAATGTAAAATTTCTCTACAACATCACCTAATTATGTAATGCCAAATCAGGAAAGGAGAATTTGATGAAAGCCTAAGAAATTTCTCTACATATACAATATAATTAAGCAAAAATTATTACAAAAGAGTTCCAGCATGACTGTATTGGTAAGAAAAAGGCACTAAACTTAAACGAAACCCTAAGCCTTAAAGAAATTAGAGTAAACAAAGCTCGAGCTATTAATACCAACTAGGAATTCTAACCTAACCCTACAAACTCTACCAAATAACCGGTTCTCATATTATACGGAAACGATTTATGCGCAATTGTTTTCATAATTCCTAATAAAGTCGTAAAATGAAAGAAAGTGCGTAATTCTAAGAAAATAGTACTTTCCATGAAATTATGAAAAATTGTCGAGTAAGAAACAAATGGTTAACGTGACTGGTGTTGCTAATTAACCGAGAAATTAACACCGTATTAATAAAGGAGGAAAGAAAGGCGTACGTACCGGGAAGTGAAACTGATCGAATAGATAGTGGTTTAAGGCGACGGAGATTTGGTGGAGAAAATCCAAAAGAAACTGAAGTTTGAGTTTGTGTTTGAGGAAAAGAGATCCGAAGACGAACGAATTGGGAACAGTGCGTAGTGATTGCTGAGAAAGCCATTGGAGAGAGAGAGAGAGAGAGAGAGAGAGAGAGAGAGTACGTGCGGTTCCTTCCTTCAAATTTCAACGACCATTACCATCGTGTGTGTGCGTGTCCGTTTTATCTTAAAGCAATTTGCGGGCCATAGTAATGTTTTCATTTCTATTATTATCGGCCGCAAAAATTTCAGGAAATCGTCCAAATAATTACATTTTCCTTTATGTTCTCATTTTAATAATATGATATTATGAAACAAATGTAAAAAAAAAAAAAAAAAGGTAGTAAGAATTTATGTAAATAATTATATGTCTTTTTATAGTTATTTGTATTTTTCTACTTGTTAAATCATTCAATTAGCATTATCCTTAAATCCAAACTGAGTGTTTTACGCAAATGTACAATGTATAAGAAAATTAAAGCAATGTTTTACAAGTCATAAATTACCATCTACCTGCATATAATTTATAAATATAATTCATTCCTATATAAGTTTAAATTATTTTTTTTTAAATAAGATAACATCTATACTTATTCTCTTTACTTATTTTATTATATGTTTTTTTTCATTTTATTTTTATTTTTAAAAATAAAAAATATTTTTTAAAACAGAAATCAAATGTATTTTTATATTTTTTTTAATGTGTTTTTTTTTTGTTTTTTTTTTAAATTATATGTTTCAAATATTTTGAAACGCACATATATATACCAGTATACATACAATGCATGGGATATTTGAAACCTGTTCATCAACTATTAATAAGATATACAAATAAAAAAAAAAAGAGAGAGAGATTTACATAGCATTTGTTCAAGCATGAAAATTAAAATTTCATCTAGATAATACAGAGAATGGTTTTCTATGCTTACTAAGTTTTTGGAACCTATAAGACATGTACCAATTTTGGGATTAAAAAATGAATACATCTTAATAAACTATAAGAGTACAAAATTAAATATGTTTAGCAATCATATATCTGACTTCAGCACGCACAACTACTTCTTTGTTCTGCTTCTGAAACTGTTTCAGAGATTCCCCGAAAATAACTGCCACAAACATAACAATATCAGATGCATCAAGAATTTAATTTGGATAGTAGATAAAAGTGCTTAGAATATAAAAATTATTACAATCTAATCTCTTAAGAGAGAAGAAAAAGCATGAATGTTGAATTTAAAGATAATTAAATGGCCTAAAAAATGGTGCAAATTTGGTTCTCACATGTCCTGTTCATGTTCATTTTCTAGTGCAATTTTAGCAACACGTAGAAAAGCCTCCTCAACATTGTAGCCTTCTTTTGCAGAGGTCTCAAAGTATGGTATGTTTCCTCGAGAAGCACACCATTCTCTTGCTTTTTTCTCAGTAACCTGCAACAACAAGGAGGGTTAGTCACCACTTCAAAAGTACCTTGGATTAAAAAGAGAAACTTTGCGGATGAAGCTTTCCCTAAGTGTGATTACCTGATTTGACAAAGGTGAAATAAAACAAAAAGAAATATGAGAGAAAGAGAAATGGGTGACTAAAAAGAAACTCTTTCTTTAGAAAGTTGGGGAGGGAAAATGGTAAAAAAAATTATTTTTTATTTTATTGTCTCACATGAAGAGAAAAAGAGAAAACATGTTTTTTTAATATATTATTATATCTATTTGTAGATTTATATTTGTAATGACATAATTGTTAATTAAAAAAATATTTTACCTTATATTTCATATTTCCCTCATTTCAAATAATTCTTAAAATTTATTCCTTTTTTCATTATTTTCATTTTGCTTAAAATTTTTCTTTCTAACAATCTTTTTTTTTTTTAATTCTTTCTGAAAACCAGAGAGATTGTTTGCAAGATGTGAACCTATGACTCCTGTAAGACAAACGACATTACCCTTACAAAAGACTCAATAAATATATGTACATACCCTTCTACTATTTCCACCATCTACATCCACTTTGTTCCCAAGTAATACAAAGGGAAATGCTTCAGGATCGTTCATATCTCCCTGTTCAAACACCAAAATGAAGACTGGAATATGAATCATTTTCACATGATTAAGCAGCAATTTGAACCAATCATATATAGAAATAGAACCAATCATATATAGAATAAAGACAGAAACCTCTTACTAACAAGGACAAAAAGAAGCATGTACAAATAACAACACACCTGCTTAAGAAACTCATCATGCCAATTGTTTAGTGTATCAAATGTTTTGTGTATATTTACATCATAAACCAACACACAGCAATCTGCCCCTCTGTAAAATGCAGCTCCAAGACTATGGAATCTTTCTTGCCCTGCGGTATCCCATATCTGCCATAATATTATATATTTATATCCATTATTTCATTATTTTATATATAAAAAAGAAAATCAAATAAAGCAAGAAAAAAATTTAAATTTCTAACCTGCAAGGTGACGAGTTTGTCATCAACTTGTATCTCCTTTGTAACAAAATCAGCCCCGATCGTGGCTTTATACTGCTGGCTGAATTTTCTATAAACGTATCTGAATTCAAAGTTAATGTTTCACAACATATTATACTACAAGGACTTTGTGGTTGGATAAGCACAAATCAAGATTTAAAAATAATATGAAAGCCAATTTGAGCTATTATTTTAAGTCAATTCTGATTAGTATACTAATTACAAGAGAGAGAAAAATTACCAATGTGCAAAATTTCTGACAGTTACTTTACTGTTTTATGGCAGTAAGCACCTGCCAGCTAGACTTGAAATACTGTTATTGTACACAAGCAATTATTGCCAACTCATACAACAATATTGGTCACAACTTTATATAGACTGATTGAAAAAACGGGACAAAACAAAAAAGGAAAAAAGTAAAAAGCTAAAAAAACTTTCATGATTTGGAATTAATAATGCATCTACAGCGAATCACTAACATGAGAAAATAACAAACTTTGACTGTCATTTTTTTCATTTTTTTATTACTAAAAATGCAAATGCCAAATGGATACTGGTTCATCAAAGACGTCTTTCCCACCCTGAAAATAAGATGAAGAAGGATGAATGAAAATTCACAGCTATCAAAAACAAAACTTTCATGAAGATATCTCATTAAAATAACATAAAAGAATAAAGGGAAAGAAGAAAACAATAAATTGAAAAATAAAAACTTTGTGGCATACCCACTATCACCAAGGACGATAACCTTAAGCAAAGTTCTCTTTCGGTGTGAAATGTCCATGATGGAGACTCAAAAAGGGTAATCAGAAGAAGCAGAAAGAACGATTTTTTAATTTTTCTGAAGATTGGGAAAGAAGGAAACAGATGGTGGAAGTGGCAGTGGCAAGTAAAGGTTATGAGAGAAAAAGGATACAAATTTTTGAGGAATTATTGATCCCTCTTATTTGTTGATGATGATATCCTCCTATGTGGGGAATTGCTTTTCTTCTTTTTTCTTTTTCTGCATTTGAATGATGAAGGTAAGAGTCATGTGAGCTTTGCCAACCAAAACCAACGTTCTAGTGACAGCGGAGCATTATTATTTTTAAACTGTAAAAAGGGGTGTCACCAAGTATTTTTAGTTGACTTAAAACTTTAAATTTCAGAGCCAATTTGAACTTTGAATATACGTGCGTGCCTCTCATTGTTAGATCTGAAAAAAAAAGGTTACACTGCTTAATAGTTGGACAGTTGAGAAACACTTTTCAGTTCGTTATGTGGTAGTCTAACTTGACATACTCTTGAAGCAATTGATGATGTCTGCATTTAATTTACAGCGCTACTATTCTCTTTTTCGTGAAAACTAGCATTTGATTTTGTTAGATGAGTATACATGAAACCAAATAAAAACAAGATATAATTCTATCCAGTAATGCTAATTTTAAAGTGTTTAAATAGTGAAACTGTTTCTTCAAACGTAGCTATTTCAATTTAAAATCTCTCTCTCTCTCCCACACACACACAATAAAATTACAGCTACAATTCACAAATAATCAGATAATGTTAACATCCATTTAATACTTCTCGTATCCCTTTTTTTCACATTATATTATTTATTATATTTTCACTCTTTTCTTTTTCTCTCTCTCAAGATATACATACATTCGTAAGTGTCTACAAAATATTTTTAAAATAACTAACAATGTACTTTGCTGTGTATTATTTATTATTCGATTTTTTTTTAAGTTTTAGAAGGGACACTTTTAGGTGTTCTTGTATTATTTAAACACAATCTACTATGCTATATATCATGGATCATGGATGCGTGATAATAGAATACCAATATGTGAAGAACGGGTCATTGCGTTTCTTCAGTCGTACTTGTACACCGTTCAAACCGAGTACCCCAAAAATACACAACATATAAGTACACCAAAAATATAAGGAAAATAGTTAAATCGTTCTATCATCCAGGTAAATACAAAAATTACTCATAATGATTAAAGAATCGGTAAATAATATTTTATTAAAACTTATAGCAAAAACATATTAATAACATTAAATTTTACTAATCAAAACCTTATCTATCAACCAATAAAGAAAATCTCTCAATATATGCTTTTAAAACTAAACTATTGAGGTGACAGTAAACCATAATCCATAACAGAATTGTTGCTACAAAAGTTGCAATGTTGCATAATAGAAACAAGGCTCCCAGAATCAACCATGCAAGAGGGTTGAACATTGATTGAATGAATTAGTTGATGCATTAATGGATGTTGATGCTGCAGTGTATCAGTGACTCTCACTGAATCAATTGTACTAGATGAAGGCCATGCTCCATATCTTGTTGAAGCATCATCTAGAGGTATGATGGACAGAGGAAAATTGTTGGCAATGTTGAAAGGATATTTTGCTAGAGGATGAGCATATGTTATAGCTTGTTCTGCATGGGAATTGTTAGGACATTGTATGGTTGATTGCAGGAGGGAATTTTGGTCCTCTGTTGGCATTATGTTAGCCATTATTTCACAAGGAACATGGCCAGCAGCAGCCAAAGCTTGAAAGTTACCCAATCTTCCATCAACGTTTGGTTGTAGCTGAGCCACTTCATCATTTTTCTTTAAAGAAAGTCTAAATTTCTGCTAATCAAAATAATAATAATGTTAATTGCTGTTGAGGGTCACAAATAACAGTGTATAATTTATAGTTTATTTTCTCTATTTGAATTGAAAACAAAGCTAGACACCTAAAGTTCATGTATAATTCTACGTGTCTACTTCTTTCAAATTTTAAAACTAATTGCATTATTTAAATTTTAAATTTAGTGTTCTCTAGATGGGTTTACTTCAAAGGAAAAATAACCAAACCTGTAAGTGACTGGCAACATTCTCTCTTGTTAAACCAGGAACTTTCATCACTTCAAGAATTTTCTTTGGCATGGCCTCTGAAAAATAAAGAGAAAAGAAAATTATCATTAGCAAAACTATAGAATATGCTTAAAATACTAATAATTCTTAGTGTCAGATTATGCCTTATACATATATTATTATACCACCACATAATTTCATTCATTGTATGAAAAAATAAAAGCCAAACAGAAAAGGGGGGAAATTGCTAAAAAACCATACTATCAAGCCCAAGTTGCATCACAGCCTCAACAAATTTTAGGTGCATAACTCTTGACCATATTACTCGAGGCTTCTTTGTCGGTGATTGATAATAATTATCCAATTCATCAACCGCGTCTTCCTTTGAATTGCTCTTATTTTGGTCTCCAACTACTCCTTTTGTTCTATCAATAATAGATTCAGAATCATCATTCCCCCGTTTCTTGTGATCATCATCTTCCAAGTTGCCAAAAGTTATCTGTAGTTTATTTTCCCTCCAAGCTTTTCTAGCAACATGCTGCCACATATTCTTGAATTGTTCCTTTGATAAAGGTTTAAGCCAATAATCAGAAGCTCCAAATTTAATAGACTTCATGACATCACTTGTTGCAGCATCAACAGAAATCACTGCCAATTACACATGATAAGTACAATAAAACAAGTAGAAAACTTATGTAACAAATTTTAGGATAGGTTTAGGCGCATACTAATAATAGGAACATCAGTTTCTTGACTAACACGCTTCAAGAATTCAAAGCCATCCATATTTGGCATATGAACATCAATAAGTATCATATCAAAATATCCTCTTCTTTCCCGCACAATATTCAAGGCAAGTGAAGAATTGGAGCATGTGGTAACTGCAACATGAATAGAAAATCATATCTTTCTCTAACAAATAATAATAAATCAAAGAAAATGTTAAAATCAGATTTTCAAAGTTGAAAAATAGTAAAAATTTAGAAGTGATTATTATATAAAAATACAAAAGTGCACTAAGTATTCTTTTTAATAAAATACTTGAAATTAAACTCGACTAATATTAACAAAATTGATAAATAAATAAGGTATAACAAACCTGAATAATGGTATATAATACCCATTTGCTCAAAATTTTCAAGAACATTGGTGTCATTGTCAACAGCAAGGACCCTTAAACCTACTGGATGTTGATAGGGAACCATGTTCTCAGTGGAAAAATTTACCATCGCTCACCACTTTGTGACTTGAAAATTTGAGAAAGCAATTGAAAGAAATTGGAGTAGAGACTTATTATATATTGGCAATTCAGGATTAGCATTTCAATTTAAATTTCAAATATACCTCGTCAAGTTTAAATAAATATTTAGAATGTTGCAAAAACAACGTAATGAAAATAATTATACCTCACCTTTCACATTCAATATTATTTTACCCTTTATTAATTATTAATTTTAGTGTATCACATATAAATTTGATAAATTAATTAGAGAGTAGAAAGAATCTAATAAAATTAATAATAGATTTGATTTAGAATAATAATTGATTGGAAAATCAAGTTAACAAGAAAGTAATAAATGCATAGATTAGTAATTTTTTATTTCGGTTGATAAAATATTTATTAGTAATAAATATAAATTGTGATGGAATAAAAATCAATTTAGAACTTGTTCTAAATAAAAATTAGATTTAGGACCCGTACAAAAGTAATCGGCTTTAGATTTAATTCCGAGGAAAGTCAAAGAAGAAGATACAAAATAAATTCCCGAATTCAATAACCAATAAATTGATACAAGACACAATATAACAAAATTTAACCTGTAGTATTTTGTTTATGGAACAATTTAAATGAGCTGCTACTCTTTTTGGCATAAAAAATTTAAATAAAAGAGTAAAATAAAAATAAGAAGATAAATGATAAAATAGTTTTAAAAAATTATATTCTCATTAGATCCACCTTATCTAAAATAAAATAAAATAATTTATTATAAAATTCAAGTGAGAAACAAAACATGTCAATATGAATAATTATAAAAAAACTTTAAATTAATATATATATATATATATATATAACACAATAAAAATATAGATATTCCTCATTCGAAACAATTTTATTCGAGTTTGGTAAAATTATTATAAGTAACAAAATTCTTCTTCCCATTATTTATTATCTATAAAAATTAATTGTTATTAATTAAAGATTAATTTATAACTTAATTTGGATTAAAATGATATAAAATAATTCTAAATTATTATATTATTTTTCCTAATTATCTCAGCTGAAAAAATAAGACAAACTTAAACTTCAGTCCCTTAATGCAAGAAAAATATTGATGTGATAAATATAAACATTTTAGATAGAATATTTAATTTAATTAAAATGTATAATTTTTTTATATTGTAGTCTAATTATACATATTATTATAATATGTATTTTACAAATTATATTTAATATAATTTTTAATTGAGTAACCATATAAAAATTTTATATTGATAATATATTAAAATTAAGTTCGACAATATTTTTTCAGTTATATTATAGTAATGCCGTGTTTCTCGATTACAAGAGCGTGAGATGAATTAGATAAATATGGTAACTAATTCAAAACAAAAATGTGGTAATTAAAAATTGAAACAAATAGTGTGATTTCGAAAAAGAAATTTAGCAACTTTAAAATTTTAAGTAATCTATTAATTTTATTTTACTTCCAAAGTTGCTTATTTAAATAAGGTAGTTAATTTTTAAGATCCACTTCTATATATCAAATTTGACTCTTTATTTTTAAACAAAACCATTTTTAGATTTATTTTATTATGCCATGAGATATTTCTTGTATAATATATATATATATATATATATATATATAAATTTTTAATACTTTTGAATATTAATTTTTTTGTTTTGAATTTAATTTAATTCAAATTAAATTTTTGATACTTTATATCAAATTAAAAATGTATTTTTAAAAATCAGTTTTAATGTTATTGAATATTAATTACTTATAATTTAAATTTTTTTTGCTTATAATCTATGTTTTAATTTTAAATTATTATTTTTAATTTAATTCTAATAAATATAATAAATTATTTTAAAATTTAATTCAATTTAGCATATTTATATAATATATTTTAATTTTAATTTTAATTTAATAATACTCGTTGAATTTAATAAAACACATTGTTACAATTAATTATGAAAGAGAGTCTAAAAGCAAAAAAATATATTTTTTTTATAACACGATTGATGTAACTTGACATTTAAATTAATAATTTAGTAAGCTTTGAATTATTTGGATAAATGGAATAAATTATTAACTTCAGACGCTGAATAAATTAAATACATAATAGCAATAAATAATTAAATAGCCTCTTTTTTTTTTTGCTAATAAATTAAATAGCCTCTTTAATATACTATTCGAAGGAAATATCATTTTCTTCTACAATAATAATAATAAGTACACGAAATAATTATGATAGAATTACAAAAAGTTGCAAACACCATTTACTATGTACAACAGGTTTTTGAAATGAAAAATATTAATCATATTTATTATGTACCATATACATATTAAAAAAATGAGTCATACATAATATAAATATAATTTACATTTTTTTTGTTAAAATATACAAATTGTGTATATCATATATAACTTACTAATTTAAAAAATAATAATAAGTCATATTTTAAAAACATAACTTATTTTATTTACACAGATAATTTAAAACTTAAATTAAATTAATAATTTCAAATTACATGAATCATTCACACAATTGAGATTTCAGCAAAGTGCTCATTTAACAAATGTCTATTAATCATCTTTGTAAAATAGCTTGCTATTCTTCTTCTTCTTGTTCTTCTTGGTTTTTTCGGGTAATTTCAGAGCAATTTCATCTCTTCCTGTTGAGTCTCCCATTCTCTCTTCCAAATCCCCACATTGGACTTTAAAGTATACCACTTACTCGTTCTTTATTTATTTTCCCAAAAGAACTAAACCTATGTGCTAGAGATTTTTATAACTCCTCACCCGAATTGAAAATTAAAAAATGGCAATTAATACCTTAATTTTTAATAAAAATAAATGAAAATAAAGAGTAGCAATAAAAAATGGATAAAAAAATGATCACGGCATAGTGGGTTACGGTGGGATTGAGTATTGACGAAAATGTTGGTGTGAAAGTGAAGTCAATGTTCTTATGGTATGAGCTATTTCCTTGTACTTTCCCATATATTGGTATTAATTGATGTGTGTCTCTAGAACAAAGCCTCTGAGTAATGCTCTCCACACACCCACTGCAAGTATCTCCTTCTCATTAGTCATTTTTATGACTATCGGTCAAGATCATATCAAACGTTACCACCTTCACATTTTGCCTCCTTTGACTACTTGTTTGCAAAAATCATCAAGTTTTTTTAAAAATATATAATTGGACAAGCACTTTTTTTAATTATAAATTATATTATAAATTAGCTAATCTTAAAGAAAAAATACGTTTTTTTTTTCCTGAATGTATCGAATTGTCAAAATTATCGAAAAAACAAATTTCCATTAAATGAAATTTTGAACGGTGTTACGATTCCGTATCGGCTCCCTCAATTATTAAAAAGATGGCTACAAACGAGTCAAAAAGTATTATTTAATTATTGTATTTTAATAAATATTCAAATATAGTTTTTATTTTTCTATTTATACAATTTAAATATTATGTTCACTTTGATTAAATATAACTATATAAACAATTAATATATGTTAACCTTTTTCATGAATCATCTTATCATTTAATGACTAACAGGCATTAAAAGTGGCATTTTTAAAAAAAAAATTTCTTTTTAAAATAAGAGATTTACTTAAAAAATAAAAAAAATAGTTATTAATGGTTAATATTATAATTAAATGCATACAAATTTTTTATATATGTACAAAGTATATAATAATTTTAATAGCAAAAAAAAGTATAAAATATATGTTGCTTAGTGGAGATATTTGTAGTTTGGTTTTTTAATATATATTTACTTTACTTTTTTAATTTTACCTCGGGTCTACTATTAGAAAAAATTTGCATATAAAAAAACTCAAATTTAAGACTTTATTTCACTCCAACTAACGTCGGTTATTTATTTCATTTTTAATCCTACATTTTACTAAATTAATATATAATTTTATTAGCAATTAACCATTACAATAAAAATTTCTAATTATTTATCTTTATCAAAAGAATTATTTTATCATTTGGTTCCCGTGTTTCAAAAGTTATGTGTAAATGTTTTAGGATTTTCACATCAATTAACATCGATGACATGAGCTGTAATTTAAACGAAATTATTGAAAATTCTTATGAAATAGGAATTCTTTTGTTATAGAGACAATACCAGGTAAGTCTAGTACACTTTAAATACGCATGAAGTTTAATACAGGTTTATAAAACTTGAAGGGACCAAAATAATTTCAAAACTTAATTATATATTATAAATTTAAAGTTATGGCAAATTAATAACCCAACATTCCAAGTGAAAGAAACAACTATAACTTTGTCAAAATGAGATCTATTAGGCCGCCACAAGCCCACAAGTCACAACTGTTGATGTTGTCGTGCAAAACTAGCCAACACTACTAGAGTTAAGAGTGATTAGACAGTGAAACCCAACGTGCAAATTAATTAGGGTAATTTCCATGATCTATTTAAAGAGAAAAACCATATATTAAACAATAAGATGTTGCCTTTGTGCCCTTAATTACAATTACATCATCATAATGACGTCACTTCACTAAGTTGACGTTGACACGTGGATGAGGGAGGAACCTTCATTGCATCCATATAGGAAGGAGATTGGAAGGATCATTGATAGAAAAGCACAGTAAGGAAAACTATATTTATATCCTACTAGTCATTATCTAAAATATAAAACCATGGCCTAAATTAACACTCATAAAAAAGGCCAAATGCTATCTATACCGTAGTCTTTGCACTACCATTCTCTATCAACAAAGCATAGCAATGGAATACTATTTTGAAAACCCTCATAATCCAAATCACCCCAATTATGCTCACTCTATTGATATGGTTCCATCCTCCTCTGACTTCGTGCTATCCGATTATCTCATCCTCGATGATTTTGTTGATCATCAAGACTCTCAATCACAAAGCACTGAATCATCGGAGAAGGCTACCTTCAGCGATGCAAGTCATGGATTCAATGATGCAACCTCTAGGGACAATAACATGCAAGTTCTCTCTTTTAACATAATTTTGAATACACATTGTATATGTTTGCATATCGTGTGTGTATAATATAATATATGGTCTCATTTGAATTGAATAATAATATTATGCAGAAAATGTAAAAGTGGGATAAAGCGCAGTAAGGGTGAAGAGAGTCCAAGGATCGCGTTTAGAACAAAATCAGAGCTTGAGATTATGGATGATGGATACAAGTGGAGGAAGTACGGCAAGAAGTCCGTGAAGAGCAGTCCCAATCTAAGGTAAAATTCTAATAATACTAATAAACCAAATATTACTTACATTTTCGACACTTTATTTTTTACAATTAACGATTTAATAGTATTATAGAATTATTTTTTAAAATATACTAGTAAAATAAAAATAAAAAACTTTTACTAGGGTCGTGAGTTAACGTTTTTGGCTAGTTTATTCACAGAAAATCATTTTAAGGAAGCTATTTTAGTGGGATAATAATAGTAATAATATAAGCTAGATTTAGGTTGTGGCGGCTGATATTATCTTAAACTGTAGGACATAGCTTATATGCAGTTCCAGTGTTACCAATGGACCCCAGTTTAAATGTGTGCTGTTTTGGCTAATTAAGTAAGCAAATTTGTCCAAGTCTAGAATACCAAACTGTTCAGTGTATATGTCCTCTTGTTTTACTTTGGTTTGCTTTCTACTCTCTTTTTGTTGATATCAGGTTTTAATTTTTAATATAATAGACATATAAAAATATTATGATTTTTTATTAAATTTGTTACTCATAGTTATTTAAACTCGATTAAAAAGTTAAATTAACATGTCTCTTTTATATTCTTTTTCTTTGCGCTTAAAATTGATAAAAGCTGTTCATGCGGGACTCTTTTTTTTTTCTCTTTGAAAGAAATTAATTATAGCTAAATATTGTTAATTAAGAAAATCTACTGATTAGAGATCGTTTTTGTAATCTACTCTCTTTTTAGATATGATTAGCAATCAAAGAAGGAAAAAGGAGACTGTAGGCTTGAATTATAAGACGTGATGTTTCATTTATAGATGTTTAAGACAGTAATTAAGCTCTAGAGTCAAAACTTTTTTATTTGGTTCACGATGTTCAACAAAATTAGAAAATTAGCAGAATTTTTAATTATTAATTTATATTCTATATACAACTTGGAAACTATAAAAGTACACGACTCTCAATTAAAAAGGAATTTATTTGCATAACAAAAGTATATATTATCACAATCAGGAGCCCCCTAGCGGCAACATTAACATAGACACTGTTTCATTGAAGCAATTTTGCATTGTAGTAAAATTTGATCTAAAAATAAACACTACACAGAACAGAGTGTATTTAGTAAATTTTGTGTTGTTTGTATTGCGTAACTATCACAAAAAACACACAAAACAAATATTTGTGTTGTGTCTCAAAGCAAATACTGTGTCATTTACTTGTATTGTCCCATAAAAACTTGTCCTTAGTGGTCGTATTTTGTACCATCTATATGATCGGTTAATGCTTACAGTGCAATTACTATCGTTAAGTAACTTAGTTTGAGTTTCACTTTACAATTAACGCATTCATTATTAAAGTAAATAACTAAGCAGGAGTTTCCATTAATGATGACAGGAACTATTACAAATGTTCAAGTGGAGGATGCAAAGTGAAGAAAAGGGTGGAAAGGGATAGAGATGACTCCAGCTATGTGATAACAACTTATGAAGGTGTGCACAATCATGAGTGCCCATTTACCACTTACTACAGCCAAATATCCGTTGTACATTCAGATGCTTTTGCATGTACCAAGTGAAACCAACTCCAAGCCCCTTTCCTCTAAACAGCAAAAGCTTTTGGGAGTCTAATTAATCATAATTATTTTCATGCTGTAATAGGTTGAAGAGAGCTTGTACTCAAAATCATGGTTTTCACTCTGAATTTCACACCCCTTTTTATGGCATTTTAGTTCTAGGTGTGTTTGATACCTCTATTGAAAACCAACCTTAGTTGGTCCATGTGAGAAGGTACATGCATGGTTCTCCTCGTGTAAAAGCCTTTCATGTTTTATGAATGTAAAAATAGGCAACAAAGAGTTTTATTCTATAAATGAGTCCACCTATATGATAAAAATTTAAAAATGTTTATTAACTTTTAAAGTGTTGTTACCCTTTTCAAAAAAAAAATAAATTAAAGACTTGATTCTCTAATCCCTGCCATCAACATTATTTTTGCACTATATTAAGAGGGGTAAAACAAGGTTATCATCAGTGGAAACGTGTATACAAAAATCACTGAATTAGTTAAAGGTAGTTTAGAAAAGCGATGCTGAACCTAAATAAGATGCTTGACAATGTTATCATTTAGTGGGATTGCAGCAAGTTGTGTAGTGCTGAACAATCCGCAAGCACTATGGCTTGTTTTTGACTTTGACAGAACAAAAACAGAGGAAGCTTCATGTCGGGACACCGGGAAGGGATAATCAATTAACCATTCGGATCCAAAATTATGTTTTGTTAAATTAAAATTTAATTATTATTTAAAATATAAAAAAAAAATGTTAACCAAGACACTGGTTAAAAAAGTAAAATAACTTTTTTTCTATAAAAATTATAATATTTACGTTATTAATAGACTGTTACTATTATTTAAAAAAATTATTTATTTATTTTTCAAATAGTATCTTAAAACACTTGTTAACCATGTTTATCGTTTGTGATGTTTTTATCCGACTCCAGCAGAATTATTTTTAGCAGAGGATACTTGTTATTCATATATAAAAAATAATATTTGTTAGGATTTTCATTTTCACATTTTTGTTATAAAATTTCCAAAAATAATCATAATTACCATTGAAATTTTAATTTTGACGGGATAAAAAAGTTTGTCCAAACAATTTTTTGTATATAATACTAAAATTCTTCTACAAAACTTGTCACGTGTTATTTTAAAAAATTTTCAACATAATTCTTTGATATTTTTTCATAAAATATATATTTCTTGAATTTCCAAACTATAAAATTAATTAAAAAAACTTGAAAGATTAAAATTTGACATGTCAAGAAACATACATATTGATTAAAAAAAAGTAAAAAAAAAAAGCAAACGAATTAATGAATCGAAAGAGTTTTAAATAAAAAGATAGAACAAAATATGCAACAACTTCAGTAAGAGTTTTTATATCACTATTGGTAGATGGATGTAAATTATAATGAAAAAAATTATATCATATATCACAATCCACACGAGTGCAAACACTAATAACTACATAACTCACTCAATAACAACAAATAACTATTTAATAAAAATATTCACATAATTTCTATCATTGTTTTTTAAATTCATGAAACTTTACACCTTGAATTTCATTCACAATAATTTGCTACTCGATGACATTTTTTTGTGGTCATTAATTTTTTTATTGAATGATTATTTATTAAGCATTGAATAATATGAATATTGGCTTGAGTTAGATTTTATAAGCGTTGAGTTTGATATATTTCTTAAATATAACATTCGAAAATTTCTTATTTATTTAATATAATTTGACTTTTAAAAAAATCCACCATAGTCTGAAAATCTGTTTATCAAATTACTGATATCAAGCCCATGTTAAGGTTGGGCTACACTTGCAAATAATACTTATAAAGGCCTTTTCCTTAAATTTTGTTTTGGGCCTGACAAACCTGACCTCGACTTGATTTTTTTAAAATATATAAAATACTAAGTGAATAAAGTGATATACGTTTGAAGAATTAAAAAGAAATGTCAATTTTTTTAAATATATAAATTGATATGTTTAAAGCATTTTTTTATATTTTAAAATTTGACCTGTCTTTTTTAATTCTTCAAACATATATCAACTTATTCACTCAATATACTTTTAGATATTAATGTAGTCTAAATTTTTTTTTTCATTTTTTAAAGTATAACTTTAAACATTTTGAATTAATATATTTTAAAATTTATGATTCAATGTTTTTTAAAATTAATCAATAGTCAATAACATTAAATACATGTGTATAATATTTGATGAGAAAAAAAAACATAAATTTACAATATTTGATGAGTGATTAAAATATAAATTAAAAAATATTTCACATACGTGTAAGTTTAAAAACTGTTTATAAGAAGATTCTTTTTTTATAATTATATGTTTTATTTAAAAATTATTTTTTTATAAATTGAGGTTTAACATATTTTATGAATTAATCACTTTTAAAAAATTTATTTTTACATATCCATCGCATGTTCCTTAATACACACATTCAGATTAAGTCTAAAAAATTTTAGACTTAAGAAGATTTTGACCCTACAATTATATATTTCATTTAAAAATTACTTTTTTATAAATTGAGCTTTAACATATTTTATGAATTAATCACTTTTAAAAAAATTTATTTTTGACATATCCCCCGTCACGTGCTACTTGATCGCGTGGCTTACACGTTCGAGTAGCGAGATGGTATCATCATCATTCTTCCTTCACCTCTGTGGCATCTTACGGGTTCCTTCGCTCTCTTCCAAAAACCATTTCAACAAACTTCACACCCCATACCATTCAATCTTCATCTGATTCATTTTCTGTTTCTCGTATACCACATCACAACTTCTTCATCAGATCTGTCGCTGAACTGCTCCGTTCGATTTTCTTCCTTTTTTAAAAAAAAAAAGTATTCCTAGATGTGTAACAACGATATGTCGAGTTCTCGCTCTGATCTCGGCGTGATTCTCATGTGACATGGATTTTGGGGTGAAATTAGGAAAACCTATATCCAAAAATCGGTGCTTGAATCCATTTGACGGAACTTGATAAGTGCATGTAAGGGTGTGGTAGTGAAGGGGGCATTTGAGTTTTACGTTTTGTAGTGAAGAGGGTGTGGAGAAAACCATGTTCTGGAGGGACCGTGAGAGGGAGAACAAAGAACTTAACGGTGGGGTGCTATGTGGCCAGGTCAGAGTCCTCGTTGTCGGTGACTCAGGTGCATCTTCTTTTTCTTTTTTCTTCTTAGTTGTTTAGTGTTAACCTTTTTCCAATTTTATGTGATTTAATGTTTGGAAATATGTTATCTAAACTCCTGGAGTATTCGTTCGGTTTAAATTTATGGTGATCTTAACCCACTAAAATTTAAGGTAGATGTGTATTTACTTATGGACTTGAGAGCTAAGTGCCTTGTCTTTATTTTTATTCCTTTTTTTTTTGTTATTGGGAATGGGAAATTCTGAAATTGTGTGGTTGGAGAAAAGCCAAGTTGATTGAGTGCAAGAGGTTGCACTGTAAAGATCCGTTGGAATTTTGTAGTAGTACTGCTGAAAATGTTAGATCAGGGGACTAAATAAGTAATTAATCTGGAGACACCATTGTAACACTCAATGGGGGATCCAGAAGATATGTTATTGATATTAGATTTAGCTGCCATCTGTGTGTTATGCGCAAGGTTATAGATGTTCAATTCGAAATGGTTTAGATGATATATATTTCTTATCAGCTTGTGTTGTGGAGAACCTAGTTATGTTGGCTGCTTTTAAAGGATTGACATCTTATAATGTAAGAGAAACAACTAGGAATATGGTGGAAGTTATTGAGAAACCTTGCGTGATTTAACATTCAGCCGATGCAGTAAGTATGAAAGTAATGTGACAATTTCTTTGGGCATTCTTTTGACACATGTATACACGAATTTTCAAAGTTATTCAAAACCAAGTATTACAGGATAGTAGGTCTACTTCAAATTTGTTATGGATTTATAAGGATTGTAATTTTTTTATTGTGAATTGGTGACTTGTGAGCATGATTGGATTAAAATGTGTTTTTTAAATACCATCTTAAGGACATACTGTCCTTGTGATGGAGAGCATCAAATGACTATATTTTTTTTATGTGAACGTCAAATCCTGCGATGAAATGTAATATTATTGATTGAAATAGCAAAGATCTGGAAATGAGAAATATGGGTGACATGAGCCCAGATCCATGTTCCTTGTACATTTGAGAGCCCAGACCCTCTCCTTTCACCGACTAACTTCCCCAAAATGTATCCTCTCCCCTCTACTCTTCTCCTCTTTATTCTGTCATTCAATTCAATTCCCTCCCCTGTAACCACCCTGTGACTATAGAAGTTAGGTAGTTACGCCCAACTGCCCTTCCTAGCATGCCTAACATAGAGTTTCTTAATAGGGTGTTTGTTAACATATTCCATTGCTGCAGTCATAGGGGCATATGCATTGGAAAATATCCTAGCATATGGTGTCTTTCTAAAGCTTTTTGGAAATATTGAGGTTGGGATTAATTGATATTATTGCATCATGGACATCAAAATAGGTCTTTAGGGCTTGCTTGGTTTAGCGAAACATTTTCCAAGATATATTTGTTGCATATTTGTCACATTTTCTCTTTCTTGCAGGTGTTGGGAAGTCTTCTCTAGTTCACCTGATTGTTAAAGGTTCTCCCATTGCTCGCCCTCCTCAGACAATTGGTTGTACAGTGGATGTGAAGGTAAACACTCCCCTGCAATTCTACTGTTCCTAAAGAAATATTTTGTTTCTGTATTCAAAGTCTTCACCAAACGTCTTCTGCTTCCTCTTCCAGCGCACTACTTATGGAAATTCAGGCAGCTCTTCAAGTAGCCTTAAAGGGGATTCTGAGAGAGATTTCTTTGTTGAATTGTGGGATGTCTCAGGACATGAGCGGTACAAAGATTGCCGATCTCTGTTTTATTCACAGATTAATGGTGAGTGAAAAAAGCTCCAATTGTTTTTGTTTTCTAAAATGCAACTGCTTATATTGTAATAAGTAGTTGTATACTTGTATACATATTCAATCTAATAATGTGAAAGTCTACAAAACGAAGGGTCAAAATTTGACCTAGGGAGAAAAAAGGAGGAGGATTTCTGTTCTGATATTTAAACAGTCATTATATATTCTTGGTTTCTCCTTTTCAAGCCTTGCATGCTTACAATTAATGAAATTTGATATGAAACTTTCAGCCTTTAATATTTTAAATTTGCAATAAGAAATGGTACAGATTTGGTGGTGTAAACTCTAAACTTCTTTTATTTGCAAATAATTACCACTATCATGAATAACTGCATTAATCTCTTAATGGTATTTGGGTATTCTGGAATTTTTTACAATAAAAAAACAGTTTGTTCATCTTTGCAAGTCAGCTGTCTGATTTTTAAACCTCGAATTCTTGTTTGAACTTCATATGCAGGTGTAATTTTTGTTCATGATCTTTCACAGAGAAGAACTAAGACTAGCTTGCAGAAGTGGGCAGCTGAGATTTCTGCAACTGGGACATTTTCAGCTCCTTTGGGTTCTGGTGGCCCTGGTGGCCTTCCTGTTCCATATATTGTTATTGGTAACAAAGCTGATATTGCCGCAAAAGAGGGTACAAGAGGAAGCAGCGGTAATCTTGTTGATGTTGCACGCCAGTGGGTTGAGAAGCAGGGTTTACTTCCTTCCAGTGAGGAGCTTCCACTGACCGAGAGTTTTCCTGGAAGTGGGGGCCTTATCTCAGTAAGTGTCTCAAGTAAAAATTTGTGTCAATTTTAGAAGTTTATTTTGTGCCACTTTCTATGCTTGATATAGTATGCTACCCCTTTGTAAATCAATAAGTTGTATTCAGGTAGATTTGAATAAATCTGATGTTATAGCTAAATACTAGGGAGTTTCAACTACTAGCAATTTAAAATTTTAGTTGATCTTGTTTTGTACTTTAAATCTGGCTGATGCTCTTCAAATACTTATTAAACGTGTTTAATTCAAACAGTTTCCACTTATTTTATTTTTTTGATCATATCACTGTATATAAAATAGTATTTTAGCTGATGGGATGGGATGGAATTTAATGTAAACCACAAAAAGCTTCTCCTTGCTGGCCCTTTACAAAATTCAAAACAAGTTAATATTGTATCTGTACCCTTCTACAGTTCTACTTTTTTTTTCCTGTCTGGCACGTTGTGGATATTATGGATGAATTGAAACTTCTTCACCTTTCACTTCGGTGCCATCTAGTTCGATTAAAAGTAGATATTTCAGCTTTCATTCATTTTCAAAATTGAGAGTCTAGCCATTAAACCTTTTTTATCTTTTTCATAGTAATATCTTGAATCTTATTAATGCATTTTTTTTTTGAGCCACTCACTGAGTAATGAATTTAGCTTAGCCATCTCCGGGCTGTGCTGTGCTTTGGAAATATGTTGAACTGAAAATGCTATACTTTGGGAATCTTGATTTCACATGTAGTCATTCAAAATGAAAGTACCAGTTGTGCCTATGAAATAACAAATCAAATCTGATAACATTTGATGCAGAGATGTGCCGCCTTTTGCATTCTGTTGAATAGTTGCTATCCAATCCATTTTTCTTATACTAGTTGTGATTTTTATGTTGGATGTCTACAGGCTGCCAAAGAAGCAAGATTTGACAAGGAGGCTGTGATGAAATTTTTTCGCATGGTCAGTATGGTCCTTGAACTCTCGTCTTATATTTTTGGGTCAAATGTATGGATTATGATATGAGTTTTCTGGTACCTCTCCTTTCAGTTGATCAGGAGAAGATATTTCTCAGACGAAATACCTTCACCAGCATGGTCCATTCCTTCTGCTCAGAGACCTGCCCAGCGTATCGATGAAAATTTCATTGAAGATGATCATCAGTCTTATAATACAGGGTATTTTATGCTTGTCTTAATAATCATTTGGGTGCTGGCATGCTCCTTTGTTTACTATCAGCAATTTCTTTGGCTTGAAGATGCTCTCTTGATCTTATTATTCAGCTTTAGAAAGACTCATCATGCATAGATGCAATTTCGGATTTGGCTACTTAGATTGAAAAAATTCCAGATCATAGTATTGATTGGTAGTTGTAGGATTGTCCCCAAATCCTACGTATCTTGGTAATGGAATTTTAGTACACCCTTATTCATGACCAAGTCTCTTAGAATAATAGAAAAGGAGGATTTTATTATTTGGCATACATAATACATAAGTATGATTTCACTATTTATATTAGCGGTGGAATAATTCTCAACTTATATCATATAATTGCTTCATTATATCACTAACTGTCAAGTGGTTACGAATCAACAAATTATAGCCTTTAACTAGGAAATATGGTCCTTAACACACACTAACTCACATCCTTTCATTGTTGTAACCCATGCAATATTTAATTATCTAATTATTATCTCTAAAAAAGTCATCATAGCATGTATTTTTTGGCTCTTTTTTATGTTCGATTTATGCTACTCCTTACAAAGTTATTGTTGATTGCAGTCGAATGAGTGATCCTTACAAGTATAACATGCTTCCGCCGCTTCCAGCACAACGCAATTTAACTCCACCACCCACGCTCTATCCTCAACAGCCAGTTTCAGTTTCAGAAAACTATAGTTTCCCTAGATTTTCTTTGTCTGGCTCCTCAGAAATCAGCACTTCAGCAAGAACAAAGCGTTCTGATATTAATGTCTGAAGATCTCTGTATTTGGTAACTAGTCACTGCTAGTACACGGATGTATTCTTGCATGGAACGAAGTTATATGTCTGTTTAAATTTTTTGTTCCGATTGGAACATGTCCATTGATTCATTCATTTTTAAGATTGGCTTTCTCAGTAGAAGGAGGAGCTAGTTGTCCAAAGTTTGGGAGAATTTTAATGATATATGGTCAATTCTTTTATATCATACCCTTTTCCTGCTATTGAAACTGTCAACAGTACTATGGTTATCACTCTCCGAATAAAATGAGTTATTCCATGTCCTAGATAGGGGAAAATTTTCAGTCTCTGAGATTACATATTTTTTGTCCCTTAAAATAGCAACACCCACTTTTGTATATGAAAATTTTTACCAAATTTAATTATTTAAAAAACTAAGCACAAAAAACCTATTAAAAAAAAACTGCACAGAAAGAAACTGTATTCCCAGATAGGCCTAGAAATGGCTTTAGTTGATAGATGCTTATAACCAAAATAAAGCAATTGTGCCACTTATTGACATGTAAGCTCTTCGCAGCTTTTGACGTATCTTAATTGTTTTTCTTACATGCTTGAACCTGAAGAACGGGGTACTCTGACTGTTTGAAAAAAGTAATATTTATTGAACTTAAACATGCATTCAATATTTGTTTATTAAAGTTTCTTTTTTATAGGAGAAAAATGTGAGGATTCACGAAAAAAGATTTTAAAAATTTGTGAGGTGAGTTAGATCTTATGAGGCAGCTATTCCAGAAACATTTTGGAATTAGAAAGATAATTTCATTATTAAGAAATAAAAATGAAAATGCTCACTTCACTACAAAGCCGGGGGAACATCAACCAGTCTAACAAAAACACATTATTAACCTTTACATTTTACATTTTCCTTCTGTAAAAAATATTACAATTTTTAATACGTAACAAAATTTGTTTCTCCTTATAATACTTACCGTCCACGTCCTAAAGCTGTTGTAAGAGAACCATCTTTAATTGTTAAATACAAACCACAGGGTAAGAAATAAAACTTCAAAATGGAATATGCAGTGCAAAAATATAATTAGCTTTCCTAACAACCAAAAATAAAATTTCCAAAGCTTTTCTTTAACTCATTTTAGTATTTCTCGTTATTTTTGGAGAAATAATTACAATGTTTGAAATATTCAAGGACCACTACATGCAAGATGCGAGCCTCACGTAGTAGAACCGGATCAAAGTAGAGAATCAGCAAACTAGTAACCTACCAAATCTGCCAAATACTTTGGTATCCCTCTTCTCTAATCTTGAACAAATCATCAAATACTAACATGGATAAATTCAGCAGAACCACCCTTTTCTTTCTTCTTTTCTTCGTTCTGATCATTCTTCAATTCCAACGTGCAACACTCGATGAAGGTGGCCAAAATGTTGCTCAAAACTACCCAGATAAACCACTTCTTTCCAAGCTACTGATGGATACCCTTTCTGTACTCAGAAAGTCACAAAAAAGTTCCTGGGACAAAATCAAAACTGTCATACATGATCTGCAAATGCAGTTCTCCCCACCAAATTTGGAGTAAGTAAAAATATTCTTACAAACCCATTTAAGATAAGATTCAATAGTTAAGATCTGTTCCTTTCATTCTCGCGTAAAAAGAACGTTCTCATTTGATATCTTTTTTATGCATGCATGCGCGCGCACATATATATATCATCCATATATATTTTCATATAAATGGCAATGTAGGCAATGTAGGCAATGCTTTGTGTTTTTTTTTTCAGTTTCAGAGGTGTGGGAGAGGTAGGAGAAGGATCTCATGGCGTGAGAGAAACGTTGAAAGAAGCAGCTGAGAAGAGTTTCGACGTAAGCAAAGATGCAGTTGAGGAAAGTGCTAAATCAGCAGCAAAAGCGGTAGGAGGAGCAATTCATAAGACAGCAGAAAAGATGAAGGATACTACTCATGATTCTGAGAAAGAGTCAGAAGCAGAACTTTAATTTATTTTTTTTAGGAGATAGCAATCTCTGTCTGAAACAATTTATTCATGGTAAACCTCTTTTTCTCTGTTTCCTTACATTGTTCTAATTTCAGCCACATGCATGGAAGAATGGGGAAAAAAAAATGTTACGTAAAACTGCAAAGAATTTCTAGTACTGAAGAATAGGTGACAAGAACTTGTCCGCAATATATATTTAATTGTTTTTTAAAAAAATGAAATAAAGTTGTGGATAGTAATTTCTTGAAGCAAACTCCCTTCCTCTATTTGAATTATAGTTTTGTATGCAACCGTATATAGATCTGTGTGTTGAAACTTAATAATTATAAGAAATACAAAGAAGAAAACGAGTACATGATGAAGATATATAATTATCGTTTTTCATTTAGAATTTTATGGATATGTGAATTTATTTCGAGATATTTAAGATTTGCAATATTTAGATTTTTGAGTTAGTTTTTCATGTGTAAATAATATTATACTCTCAATAACAGGTTAAGTCCTTGTTAAACTACAATAAACCAAGCAATACCTGATTATGCCGCTTCACTATATGCTCAAACGGATAATATTTACTGATCTACAAGAAGCCAAAATATTACAATTCACTGTGTCTGTTAGGTTATTGAATTATAATATATTGTCTGTGAAAAAATTATAATATATTAAACTATGCCCTGGAAAATATTTAGAATCAGGGCGCATACATCAATTGAAATTTCATTATTTTCAAAGAAAATATTTTTTGTACATCTTGAAGAGACATTTTTAAGTGTCTTTCATGTTTCAGAGATATATTTTTGGAATAAATGTATATTAAAAAAATAAAACAATAAAATAAAAAGCAAATAATGATATACGACATCACATTCAATATCAATTTTTACTAATTTAAATAATAGGACTAAATTTAAAAATATGATGTGAGAAATGAAGTAGAAGAAGCAAACAAGGACTACAACAGAGAGGGAAAATGATAAGAGAACTGAGGATGGAAGGTGTTTAACGAAAGCATGGAACAAAGGTTTCTTTTTTTCTAAAATTACTTAAGTATCGTCAATGTGGACCAAATATTCAACTATCAAAACTTGGCTCTTTGCCCAGCTCCAAAGGCACCACCATTTTAGCCAAAGGTGTTTCTAAACATTATGTAAGAAATACCCATTTTCAGTCAATGAGGGTGTATAAAGCCTAGCACTGCCCACTAATATTTCATCAAGAAACAAATAAAAATAACCTTAACATGTACCAAACTAAAGGTGTGTGATTATAAATACCAGCTTGTCATGCATGCGAATGAACTTTTCTTTAAAAATGAAACACACTCTTAATAAATTTCGAGTTTATTAAAAAGTATGTTGTTAGAATTTTTCTTTTTAATATTTAACGTCTCTTTATGGTTGATGTTGACTAAAGAGAGAAAATCTCAAAATCTGATGAACTAAAAATACATATACCTTTTTTTTTATGTGGTTAAAAATTATGTAATCGAAAAGAATATAAACCATTCATGTTCGGTGGTCGATGCTCACCGTGAAGAATTAAGCTTTCAATATAAACGTCACGCTCAAATTTTTAAAAATTAGAGGCTCGATAGAACGATTGTGTTTTTCTTTTCTTCTATTTTTTATTTGTGATTCGACGATGTCTAGGTAGGACTTTTATGTTTATTAACTTTTCAACATAAGAATAAATCCGATTGAATAGTCAAATATGACACATTGAATCAACTTCATTGACTAATCAATTGCTTATTAACTATCACATTCACCTTCTGTTGATAATAATGGTTGGGCAAAATGCTCAAGGAGAATAACCAATAAATTAATCAACAAGAAATATCTTTATAATTACTTGTATTTATTTGTATTACCTTTATTTGAAAGGGCATAGATTAATCTTTTTAATGTTATTGTTTTTTTAAAAGCTTAGTTCCAATCTCTCTTTCTTTCGGCCTAACCTTGTGTGAAGAAAAAAGAGGGTATCCCGTATCCATCCACCAAGGTAAAGTGAGTAATAAGGCCAAGTCAGACACAAAAGAACCAATAAATGAAGGGAAATGTAGAAGGCAGACACATAATATATTAAATGAAGTAATAATTTTTTTCAGTTTGAAAATATTTTTTAAAAATATATTTACTTTAATAAAAAAAATTGAAAGCCTTTTTCTATTGTATTTTATATGAAAATAATAAATATGAATAGCATTGAGATGTTAATAAATTAAAATTGATTTGATAGATGATGATACAATAATGTTAAGTCAGTCCAATTGCATTGTGTAGTAAGTTTCATAACAGCTCTATTTGGCTGCCGCATCACATCAGCAAAGCGGGACCTCTCTTTGTTTTCTTTCTATTGTGTGTCTCACTCGCTTTGCTATTGCTTCATTTACGATTCACTCTCTCTATAAAAACACGCTATTACTTCAAAACCCCTTTCAAGATCTGAAATAACTCTCATGGAACGTCGTAAAGAGGTAACTTCTCTCTCTCTCTCTCTCTAATCTAATCTAATCTATCTTCAGACTGTATTGATTCGAAGAAAAAGCAATCACCTCGAGTGTAGTGGATTTGCGTATCACTGTGTATTTAGTTTAGTTGCGCTTGCTGCATGCGTTTTTGTGGGAATGTGAAATTCTCTAATCGTCAGTCAGATCATGAATCTGGAGACTAAATTGCATGATACAAATGTTGAATCACACGAACCAGAACAGAAAACAGAGTCCCCTTGTCTTTTAATTTTGAAATCCATATAAGAAAACTTTGATTCTGTTATTTAATAGCTAGCGTGAAATTAAGAAGATTTAATTACTGATTAGCAAAGCCTTGAAAATCCGTATATTGTTTTGATATTTAATTTTGGTCATCGAGTAATGATTGTTATTGACCATGCATGATGCATCCTCAGGGATTGTTGCGTTTTTCGCTATGATTATTTCCTATTTCCTTTTCATCACTTCAATCTGATAAACGTAGACGCGAGGACGACGATTCGTAGCCTTTCCTTTCCACCTCGGATTAATTAATCATTTTGTTTTTTAAACCTTGAAATGGACCCCGATAACCTGGAGTTACTGTATTATTCTTAAATACTTTGCTACTCATTTGTCTATATTTTTTAACATCACAAATTCTATTTTACCGTTTCGTGTAAACTTTTTCTTTTTAAAAGGATGAAGATTCTCTAATCTCTACTATTGTCTTTAACCTCGAAGGAATCTTGATTGCACTGAAACGACAATAACTGTGTTGCAGTCGTACAAGTAATCATAAACTCCTTTCTAAAGCAAAGAAATAGTCAAATTCATCACTGAGATTCTTTCTTTCCCGCGTTTCCTTTTAGAGTTGATTAAATTGTGATATGCTGTCTATGAACTCGTAACAACGTCCCTTCTCGTATACATCTCATTGACATTTCTTTTATATATGCTACATTATTATTAACGTTAGAGTTTTATTGATGGCAGCTTTAAGAAAAAAGTAATAAAATTATATAAAAAATTATTTATTATATTTAATTATATTGAAAATTTATTTATTGTACTTTTTATCTGATAAAAAATTATTATTTTTAGTTATTTATAATCGAGCTGATCAATAAAATTTTATTATTTTTCCCTTAATATTAACTTGATTAAAAATTAGTGGTGATCAGCTGACCAAGTTGTTCATCTTGTCTTAACATAGAAAAATGGTCCTTGGCTATCAGTGCCACAATTTGGGGACTGGGATCAGAAGGGCGAAGTGCCGGACTACTCGCTTGATTTCTCAAAAATACGAGAAACTAGGAAGCAGAACAAGTCAAACATTTCCAGGGCAAGCCTTGGTAATGAAGAAGAGTTCATGGATTCAAGCTCCAACAGCGTCAACACTGGCCATAGCAGTGAGCCCCACCACCCCCAATACCATCAAACCCACTCTCCAACTGTAAGATTCTTAGATTCTTGGCTTGCCCACCTTGGTTGTTCTTTCTCTTCTTAGCTATTTTTTTGGGCAGTTACCATCAAGATGATATATATATATAACTTTAATATTCCAAAATAAAATGTGGTATGTGGCAAGAACATTCTTCATACTTTTTTTAATTAAAAATTACTTAAAAAGTTTAAAATAAACACTATCTTTGTGCGACTGTGAGTGTGTTTTAAATTTTAAATGAATGTTTTTGTATCTATGCTATGTCCTAGCGAAGTTGAGCCATGCAAAAAACAAATAAAAAGACAAGCGTGGTCAATGTGTTTTGTGAGACATGTCACTGTACCAAAATGATGTGGCTTAGCTTTTACAGAGTTACACTGAATTTAAATTAAAAAATATATTTTTCTTGCTACTAAAATTGAACAGTAGTCACCAAAAAAATGGAGATGTTCTCTCTTTCTGACTTTTTCTTTCTTTCTCGTCTCCTTGAGCATTTTTGCGATTAATTTTGACTGATTAATTCATAATTTGGATTAAAAAAACTCAGTTGACATTGAGAATTTTTTGCCAGAATTTTCGTTTCTCTTCAAGAATTTTCACTTACATCAATGTCTTCTCTTTCTGTTTTTTCTTCTTCAAGTTTAATTCCCTATTCTCCTTTCATTTTTAGTATTAATTAGGACTTAGGATGACCCAGCCTTACTAATCTTCATGTAGTTGAACAATTAATCTTTTCCATACTGCATCACAGAAAAATCTTTGACAGACTCTTGAAGGAAATTAAGAAAATGCAAAAACTTTAGGGGCATGTTGCACAAGTTAATTAACAACATGAATCCATGGTTTCGAACTTCTCCTGCCGTTGTACCATATATTTTTTTCACACAGAATATGAGAAAAAGTAGTGAAGAATAATGTAGTGGAAAACTACACAAATATTTTCCCATCCAGAGAAAGAAGAGGGTACTATCCAAAGAATATTATTGTGGGACCCAGATTAACTTGATGGATATAGATGTAAGGCGAAGGCTGTAAATTATTTATTTAAATACCTAGGCAGCACGCAATTCAAGTTGCTGCACATGCAATGGATGTCCGAGGCAATTGCATTCTATTCAATGGTAAGAGAACTACAAATTATAAAATTAATATATTGGGATAGGTTGCTCGTGTTTGTTGTTTGATAATGTCCCTTTATGTGGTTATGAGAAACGTAGTAGAGAACCCAATAACAATGTCTCTGATGGAAGTTTTAAATAGAACTTTACCGCACATCAGATTCATTCTCTAGATCCCCAATAGATTGGTCTCAGGTACATTTGTGGTTTCAAGTATTGCTTAACTATGTAGCATATACGCATGACCCGGCATCCTTTACATCTTTTTGACTTTTCTGTTTATTTTTTCCCCTACAGGCAAGGAAGAGCTTCCTCAGTTATTTCAATTGTTGTGTGAAAGCCTAATATTTAAGGGCAAATGCAACCTTTCTCTTGTTTTCTGAAGATTTCTGGATAGGAACAGTTATGCTTCTCTGTTCATTTGGTGATGAATACTTAGCTGTCGCTCTTGAATTAAAAAATAAACCTTTCCTTTTCAGTCCTAATCTCCCTAAGACACTTGTTATGGTAGCTCGAAATTTGGTTAATATAACTAGAGGTAAGGATGGAAACCATTAAAAGGGCGCTCATGACAAGAACCTGCATTATTTTGAAAATGACTAATATACCCGTATGCTCGAGACAGCATTATCTTAAAAACAAATAAAATACTTCAATAAACCTCTACCTCTGGCAGTCTGGATGAGTGGTCATGTGTTAATTGCTGATCACTCTTGCCAGCCTATAATGTTGCATTTTTGTGAAGACAATCAAATAAATATGGGAGTTGGAGGCTTTTCGACTTAAATGGGGTTTCCCTTATATTGATTGCTTTGGGAAGCACATGGACGAATTTAGCTGACCTACATACAAGCGTCCATATAACAAAAATGGGAGTAGGACCACCAGCATACACCCAACTGAATTTTCCTCTTCAAGATATTCCAACAAAGTTTTAGCATCAAAATTTATTTTTTGCAAGTCCTCTACCAAACTCTATCCCATCATACAATTCATATCTTTAGGCTCTAGCAAACCCTATTCTCACAAATCATACCATCCATAATAATTTCTTTTGGTACAGTAGCCGTAGAATAAATCTCCAAAGTTCTCGCAATTGTATGAATCCTGCATTTTATTAATTCCTAAAATTTTAAAATATTTGTTAGTCACCAAGTCTACTAAAAAAAGTTTAGTTTTTTTTTTCTTTATTTAAAGTGTTTTTTTTATATTGTAAAAAAATTAAAGTGAAATTCATTTGCAACATTAAGAACTATGGTAAAGCTTTTCAACAGTTTTTTGAGATAAAATAGCTCAAAAAAGCTGTTAGTATTTATTAAAATCATATTTGAATAAAAAAAAATTAAAAGCTACAAATTATTATTTTTTTTAAAAAAAAGCTAAAAATTAGGCATTCTCTTTTAAAAAGCTACTGAGACAAAATAAATTTTTTTAATAATCACTTTTCAATAAATATATCCAAACAAAAATAAATTCTACACATAATTAATTTTACATGATTCTTCAAATAATCTAATTTTTACAACTATTCCAAACACGCTCTACATACACGACACACATAACAACCTTGATGACAGAGCAAATTTTTAAAAACTAATTGTCAAGCCTCTATTTTAATATTTTCAAATAGAAATTTATATAATTATAAAATACTTCCATCTTCTTAACCGGGGGTTACGCATCAAGTAATATCACATAAACCATTCTAATATGACTTGAAACGTGATATAAATATAATTAAATAAATGTCAAGTCATAATTAAGTGTTGACACATAATCTCAAAAAATTTAAAATTTATGAAAAAATTATTTTTAAAAAACTACTAATACATTTTACTCTTCATTATTTCAAAAGAACCTCCTAATTATTTACTTACTCGCAAATAGCTATCACAAGTTATTACAATTTTAAAGATTTAAATATTTTTATCTTTAAATATATCACATTTTTATTTTTATTCCTTCAAAAATTTAGTTTACCTTTTAGTTCTATATTTAATTAAAAGAATGATGTTGTTTTAATCTCTCACTAATCACTACAAATGAAAAGCATATGATTTTTGCAATGTTTAATAATTCAAATAAATATTTTTTAATTTATATTCACCCTTTCTATTTTTTAACCTAACCAAACAAAAGATAAAAAAAAAAACACAACTAAGCATTTACAAATAAAATGAGAAGAAAGTTTAACCATTCAAAGGTACCTAAGTCACAGCATTAATCTTTCAATTTTTTAAATTATCAAATTAATTCCTCACTGCATTAATATTAAAATGCTACGATATTAATTTAAATTTCTAAAACTACTGACACAAAATTAACATTTCAAGTACCTAAAATATCACAATATTTTAACATCATAATAATCTCAATGGTTAAAATGCAAATTTATCGATGAAAGTTCTTAAAGGACTAATATGTAAAAACCCATGTAAAATTAAGAGTTTTCCCTGTGTATATATTTAACACAACTATATAACACGTCTTATTTTCTAATGTACTAAGGTACTATCAAAACTGCACCTGCCATAGAGACCTATTCGGAATTCCTAGTGTCTCATGTTCCTCTATACAACTAACATAAATTTTTGTTTTGGCACTAGTCACCAACCTTACTAATTACTACCTATATATGTGTTTCCAAGATCAGGATCCCTGCAGTTCTTTTTTTAAAACCACATGGAACAGGTCCCTTAACACAATAATTTCTTATTAAAATACTGAAGTAAAAATTCAATTTTTAAGAACTCTAGAGGATCCTTATCCCTGTTTCCAATATTCTTCGTTGATCGATCTAAGATGAAAGCCCCACAAAATATCTAAAATTCATACAATCAATAAAACGTTAACGAGCAAAATCCACGTCACAATCGATCACCTAACAAAATTTTACGTTCTTCCTTTGTCCGTTGCCAATAAAGTTATACGAGTGCAACTATTAGGACCAACATCAATCAAAACAGGATAGGAAAAAACATGAGCAACACTCCTCTTTTCTCTAGAAGACTAACTCGTGAGGCTTTACACCTGCCTTAAGGGAAAACCTGGCACCCAGATAAACCTTCAAGTCTGGAACACTTTCAATGGCTTTTATCACCGCAGAGTCTACAGTTTTCTGGTCATCTTTCTTCTGCTGGGGCAACACACTCTTTTCCTGCATTAGGACAAAGAAGGTAAACAGATCAACACACAGAAACAAGCGAGAATAACATGGATGAAATACATCAACAAAATAAGAAAGTTGACAATCCCACCCCCTTCTCTGCCTCAAAGAACTCGCCTTCACCCTTCTTTTTCTTTTTCTGGGCTTCCTTTGTAAAGTACTTGTCATCAAAGTTATCCACATTAACAGCAGAGACATCTACTTTGGTTGATGTGCCAATAACATAGGACTGATTCACACGTCTCAAAGGAACTCCATTAATCTTGAAAGGACCTGAAATGGAAAGTGAGAAACATGAGTCAGACCAGCGATAGGTAGAACTCGCGCTTCCACTTTGAGATCAATAGATACCAAAAAGCCAATGTCAAAGTACACTTTAAAACACACCCACGAAAATAACCACTAGCATTTGCTCACACATGCACATAAAAATACACAAAATGGAAAGTTAATACTATAACAAGAGACAACATTGAAACTAGAAACAAATGTATACACCTCAAGCAAAAAATGAAGAGGCAACATTTCCAAATCGATTACCCATCACAAGTAAGTCATCAACTTAATTAAAGTTCACAACATGAACAAAATACATGGCAATCAAAATCTCAGTAATAAAAAATTACACGATTAATGACAAAACTCACCAGTCACAAGAAGCAACCCAGAAGGAAGCTGCTTGAGAAATACTACCCTCTTTCCCTTGAATCGACCAGCAAGAAGAATCAACACTGTCCCAGGAGTAATGCTAGCCCTGAAAACACACCAAACAAAATAACATATGCCACGAGCGCCACATGAAAAAAAATACAAAACACAATAGTTTTTATTAAAAAAATAGTAAACAACAGTTCATTTCATCATTTGCCATTTAACACTGACTCCATTAGATCCCAAATTAATTAAGAAACGTCGCTATAAAATAATGAGATAAATAACTTAAATCAAATATAAACAATATATAAAAACTCAATAACAAATTTACACAAGTGATGATGGGATTCATAGTGTGTGAGAATGCACCTGAGCATAGTGGGTTTTGGTTTGTGCTTGTTTAGAAGAGGCTTCTTGACATCATCGGCAGGGTAAAACTTAGGGGGCTTTTGAGGAGTAGCTTCAGGTTTAGGTTTAGGGTCATGGCGAGGAAAAACGCCACCGTTTTTGGCCTTGATAGCCCAGAGACCCCTCTTGTGGTACATCGCCGACCTCGAGTACTTTCCAATTCCCCTTATCAATTCAGGGTTTCTGCTAACCTTCCGTGTTCTCTGCTTCGCCGCCATTGCTGCTACCACCACAAACCCTAATTTCGGTTCAATCAATCTACGCAAGTGAAAAGAGAGAGGCAAAAGTTCTAATACACCTTATTTGTAATAAAACCTATGAACGGGCCTTGACCTGACTCAGGCCCATTAACTGCATTTCTGTAGATCCAAGCCCAGTCCAATATGTCCCTGATTTTTTTATTTGCTGGTTTTTTGTTTAATGCGTATGGTAATTAATACACTGAAAGTATTTAAATAAAATTTTACATAGCAACGCATTAATATCGTTTTTGACATAATACACCAAAATTAAAATTCTTATAATTTTACATGACACTATGAGAAAAATGCCTAAAAATATATTTGATAAAGACTACGAAAACAATAACAATTCTATTTTATTTACCTTTACGTCTTTTTTTCACTAATGGTGACTCTCTTGTACTACTTAGTAATATTTAAACATCACCATTGTAAAATATTATTTTATATATAACAGTCAATTTGAAAGTAATCCCCTTTTTTTTCATTCATCTTTTTTACTTCCCAAAGTTGCTTTGAATAGACTCGCATTCAGGACAGAAAAAATATTTTGGTAGAACACATTAATCAAATACAATGATCTTATTCATGTGGGAAATTTTTGCTTTCTTCTGAGAAAGTATACAGACAAAGGTCATCTTTAACTGCATTCTTTACATAATTGTATATCTTGAGTAACTAAAAGTTAGCATCCTCGTGGAGCAACCATGGTATGTAGAAGTAATGTTACTTATTACTGAAAAATGAGTCCTGTTCATTTTTTTAATATATTTCTTGTAAGTTGCAGGGATAATAATGCACTAAATTCAACCTAATTGCAAATTCATTGTGGTGAATTACTCAAGTATTTGACTGTATACAACATTCTTATGTAAACAATAACATTTGTTATTAATTTTATGTTTTCCTCTCTTGTAGTGTAACAACATTCTTATGTTGCTAACGTCAGAGCAACATTTGGGAAAGGGTTTGAACAATGAATTTAAGCAATTGATTTCAACAGTTGATGAGCAACTTAAAGGCTTGGCTAATTGTAATACTATCACAGTTTGATTCATCTCAATCGTCAAGCAAAACTGCGGTAGAGCTATGCACATAACCAAACCCTTTGATCTGTAGAATCAAATTGTCTAAAATTAAAGATACAAGGGTAGAGTCACAATGGGTTGTGTCTCTGGCAATAAAGGTGTGTTGAGAAATATATTTAAAACAATGTTATGTCGCTGCATATTTGTGCTGCTCTACTTTCTTTGACATAAAAAAAGGGTTGAAAGGTTATACGAGTGAAAACTGATAAAGTCATGCAGCACCCTGAAATAACCTGTTATTATTTATTTTTTAATTTGAACGGGGCATAATTTTATGTTAGTTTCGTTTTTTAAACGAAGTAAACTTAATTTTTATTTTTTTTACTTGTAACTCACAATTACTCATTTTTATTTGAATATTCAGGAGTTTGCAATGGACTTTAAATTTAAAATAATTTTAGAACTTTAAAAATTTGTAAATTTTAAAAGATTTATGATACCTAAGATTGAGGTTTAAAGTGATTATTTCTTTATTTTAAGTAAAATTGTACGTTTTAAAATAATTTAATTGATTTAAAAACAAAATAAAATTTATGATTTTAGATAAAAGAAAATTGACAGTGAAACTAAATTTTTTTGAAAAAAAAAATTGTTGACGCTAAAACATCTGAGATAGTAAAATTTAAATTTAAATTAAAGCATAATTAATATTCAAATTATTATTTATAAACAAATCTCTAATCACATTTTAAATATTTATATAAAAGTTTCAATAACTTTTTATATTTTTCTTTTTCCACAACTCTCCTCTTTTCTACACCTCTCTCCGACTTGCATCACCTCTTCCTCCGCCTCTTCCCTTTTCCTTTTCAATGGGACTTTCACAAGATATATCCAGCTTGTGTGTGTAAGATTAATGTTGTGTTTGGGAGGTGCAATTGAAGGAAAGTATCCAGCTCATGGCATTTTTGGTCTCAACCCTCATTATTAGAAGCAACAATTGGAGGATGTATAAAAGAACTTGCCTCACCCCAATTAGTGCTTTGGCCACAAGTTAAAGAAGTGTACATTATCTTATTATTTTATTAGTAATTATGTCTTCTCCATATAGAGGAACTCTAACTCACTTAATCTTTGCAAATAATAATTAATAGAAACTATTTTTTACTTACTTAATTTTTGCAGATAATAATTAGTATAAACTATTTTCTCAATTGTTACAGTAAAATTATCTGTTACTATTAAGAATACACTTATCTTTTGTGTTTTCTCTCCTTATCTTCTGATATAATATTCTTGGTATGACAGACGTGAATATTCCTAATTCTCTTATTATGACGTGGGAGTTACCTACAAAAGACACTCAAATGGTAAAGTCACATGTTAGTTTAATTTTCTTTTTATAAGCAAGATATTGGACTAATGGACTTCATGACTAAGTCCTGTCTTTAGCCTTCTTATTAAATAGATAATTAATGATCATCTATTTTAGTTTCTTTAATCATTTTTATTAATTTATTTTAATATGACTGAAGTGATGTCTGTCTTTAGGTCAAAGAGGTATTCGGATTCCTCTTTTTGTTGTAATGATCAAGTAATGTCTTATTGAGTACACTATCTTATTCTTATACTAAGTCAGAATAATACTCATTAATCTGAGCAAATTGAACTTTGTCGTTGTTAATAGAGTTCATATAATAAGAAGAGCCAACATGAATTTTTTCTTAATAAATATTTTATTGTGTTGATGAGGGATAACAACCATCTAAAAATTGAAACTTCAATCATTCACTACATGACACAATTTTGAAAGGGAAAAGAAAAAAGGTTGCAGGAGGGAGAGAAAAAAAATGAGGGTTTAAGGGTGTAAGAAAAGAGAGAAAGTAGAATAATGGATAGGGAAAAAGGATTATGGAGGAAGAGGTAGGAGTGAGGTGAGAAAACGGGTGTTAAAATGTGGATGTGGAAAAGGAGAGAGTGTGCAAAGAAGAAAGAAATTTTTTTTTAATGTAATTATATAAAATATATTAAATAATTTATTTATATTATATAATTTTAAATAAAATAAATTAAACGTAATTTTATGTAAAGTGTGTAAAACTGGCTCTTTATTAGTCAATTAATGGTAAAAATTAATTTTTTAAAATAAAAATTTATCATAAAAAAACATATATATTTATATGTATATTAAAAATATAATTAAACCTTAAATAAAAATAAAATAAAGTTGCAGGTAAGGGTAGGTAGGTTTTGTGGCATAAATGGTAGGTAAGAACTTTCTTCTCGTCGAATATTTCAACTTATCAATCCCAAAGCATTATAATAAAAGTATGTAATTTTAAAAACAAAAATGGGTCAAATAGATTAGCAGTCAAATATAACTGTTTATAAAGGGCAAAATAATCAACCCTACGGCAAGCCAAAGAAAAACAAAAACAAAAAGGAGATCAGTGTTAATGCGAAGTACTGCGAAGTGCCAAATCACTGAATGAATAAATTAGACTAAATCCTTGTTCCGGTTCTCGAGAAATTTTGAGTCCGGTATTTAAATTGGTAATTAAATATTACTTTACTCTTAAATTTTTATCTTTATCATTTATTTTAGTTTTTAAACTAAACTATGTTAATAAATAATAATAAAAAAATTAACATATCATGTTAAGTATTATGTTAAAAGTATAGTTAGTTGAAACAATGTTATTTTTAGATGATAAAAATAGCATCGGTGAAAAAAATTGAAAAAAAACTTCTTAATTATTCAAACATTGTTCAAACATTATTGTATAATTTTTTTCTTTTAACTTAGAGAAGAACCCTAAAATTTATTGTATAATTTCACTGAAATTATGTTTATGTTTAGCGTTGAAATATTTAAAGATTAAAAGATAGAAACTTTACTTGAGAGAGAGATATCTATTTAATGAAGTATATTAAATAGAATAGAACGAGGAGTCTAATTTGAGAAACTTCAAAATTCAAGAGATGAGATAGATTGAAAATGTTTTTATGAAATAGAAAAATATCTTAAAAGAAAAAGTTACTTAGTTAAAATGCAAGATTATAAATATTAGCTAGTTTTAGGTGTAGATTTTTCAAAGATTATACTAGTTCAACTAGACAATTTTGACCATCACGAGATATTGTAAATAACTTAAAAAAAAAAACTTCTCATAGTGTAAAATAATGGTCTAAAATCAAGGTTAGAGAAAGTTAGATTGAAAGCTATAATATAAGTAAGGACAAAATATGAAAAAATCTCACATCTTTTGATCTAATTCTTTATTTGTTAAACTTATATCCGTTTGCATTTACTATCATTAAATTGATAAAAATGTTAGAAAGTGAATAGGCGTACTAGCCACTTAGTGTAAAAGTCTAAATAAACTTTTCCTCATCCTAATTACTAATTTCAGCATTTCTATTTAAACTTCCTTTATTTCAAATTTTAAAAATATTGAAGAAACTAAATGTGAAAGGAGGATTTACTCATAAAATTAAACAATTAGAATAAAAAATCCTAAAATTAAGAGAAAAATCCTAACTATATTGTTACCAATAAAGAATCCAAATCTAAATACAAATAATTCTTAGAATTTTTTAATATTATTTCATCTAACTAAACTTTTAATAGTTAATATAACATGTCAATACCTGTGAATATATGATTGTATAGTATCTACTAAAATAACTGACACAAATAAAAATAAAAATTAAGAACTAAGGTGTCATTTTAAATTTTTTAGTAAATTAAAATGCAAGAATCAAAATCTCGCAAAGTATCAAATTGAAGGTTTGGTAGAATAAAATAACTCTATTCATGGCCATTGGTTATACCCTCGTACCAACCCATTTTTTTCAATTCTTATTTATTTATTTATTAAGAGAAGCAAAAATCGGTGGAGAAGTGCGTAGTGGTGAAAGTTGAATGCTGAATCAGAAACACAACGTGAGGAAATTATGCAGAAAGAAAAAGAACGTGAAAACTGAAAATCATTTCACTCCACAATCATAATCATTCATTCCTACCTTTTTTATTTTTCAGCTCTCTCTCACACCATTCTATATATCAATCTCTGTTCTCCTCCCATTCTCTCTTTCTCTGCACTGCAACCACTTCTTCTTTTTTATTTTTCAAATCCAAGTAGCAATAGATTACAGGTTAGTGATGCGTTTTGGATTCAGGTTTTGTCGCTTTTGTTGATCGATGACTGATGAAAACGCTTCGTCGTTTCAGAATGGATGCTAAAGCTGCCCGGAGGTTACAGCTTTCAGCGGTGGTTCAGCCGCAGAAGATTGGGAGAAGACTGACTTGTAGTTTGGGGATGTCTCGGGAACCGCAGAGGGTTCGGGTTTTTGTTTCGGCCAAGTTGTCTTCCACGATTCGGCGCAGGACGACCAAGTTGGAGGTTGCTTGTTCTTACGACAACATTCCAGGTTGTCATAAAAATCAATTACCCTTTCACAATACCCATAACTTGTTTTTTTTTTTGTATATTTTTTATTTGTGTATCGTTGGATTGCGTTTTTGCTTTTCTAGCTTTGGATTTTTATTCTCTTTTATTGTTGGAGTGTTTTTTTTTTTTAATATAAATACACATAATGAACCATTCTTGTAAATTATCAATGAATTGGGATCAAGGGTCTGTCCTTGTTGTGTGGAAAATTGCAAATCTGCCCCCAAAGGTACCTTCCCTTTTGTTATTTTGATGACTTCATTATTTTTCCCCAATCTGAATTATGCACACAAACATAGCTTTTTCTAAGGTTTTTTTTCCCCAGTAATGTTTATATTGAAAAGCATGATGTGATTAATATGAAATGATAGTACTAATAATCACGGCAGCTGGTCCCTTGAGACAGTAGTTTCTGTCGAGGTGAACCTGGTATAACTACATTGCCCAATTTTGAGCCAGCTTTTATTATTTGCAGATTGAATTAGCCTTCCTATCTATTGATTAGTTGAAAAAATTAACTTACGACATCTTTTAAGGAAAAGCATGGTGGTTGAGATGTAGTGTGTAATATGCCTGCATTGGATCTAGTTTCTTACTGGATAAAACAAGTGCTACCCATTTGGAATGTTCACGTATTATTTCTAATGTTATTTTTTGTAGCTTCAATATTGGAATCTGGAACTCATCACGCTCCTCTTGATGAAGAATTGATTCTGAAGGTAAAACTATGATGCTCTATGTCATTTTTAATTAATTTAAGCCATTTCAGTCTACTAATGCTATATACATATATCCATGTATAATAGAGTAAGCAGAATGCAGAAGAATCAAGATAAAATAATGTTAGCTCAATTTGTTGCTTGCTTAAGTATCTATATGCCATTATCTTACTTGAATCAATAAAATTGCAGAATAAATCGCAAGAGATCAAGTCATATTTAAATGGACGCTGTATATTTCTTGTTGGTCAGTTTCTTGGTTGACTTCTTGTGCTTATGCAGTATGCTTTGGAAATATGATTACTTTAGCATTCAAAATGCTTTGAATTTGACGTGCAGGAATGATGGGCTCTGGGAAGCCGACTGTTGGGAAGATAATGTCTCAAGTGCTTGATTATGCATTTTTTGATAAGTTAGTAGGTTAATTGCTCACTTTTTCTTCACAAGGAGAAATTTAGCTTAATAACAAGTAAATCATGTGTTGGAATACCCAATGGACCAGTAGAAGTAGAACACAGAAAGAATGATATCTGGCCATAAAGCACTCTAGTACTCTATTCTTTTTATTTGTGCAATTATTTCATTATATTTAGTATCTGATATGAGCTTCAACTGGTGATTCGTAATCAAATTGATATTAGAGATAACTGAGGACATGTAACAGATATAAATATGTGTGATTGTATTCAATAAATGAAAACAGGTGGGTATCAATTACTGTGGGGAAGGTGATCTACTCTGGTGTACAATATTTCTATTCAAGATCCTTATACAATCGTGTACATATTCTGTCACTTTACAATTACTCTGTTTCATGATCACATTAGTGGTCTTGCTGAATATTTTCTCTATTTTGTTGCACCCGTGGGTGTTTTAGTGATACATTGGTGGAGGAGGTGGTTGGTTGGAGATCTGTAGCTTATATATTCAAGCGCAATGGTGAGGATTTATTTCGTGATGAGGAGGTCAGTTGAAAATATGGTTCAGTGTGTAGGGAATTTAAGTTGTTTTTAACTTTTAGATTTTCCTGTCTCTTTAATCACATCCAATATGCTTATGTTCACCTATATTTATATCATAAACTTTGGCAAGGAGATGGGAGATCAAAGTCAATGTATTCTGAAATACCAATGAATGACACTATCCTAGTACTGTCATAGGCAGGATGGCAGAGTACAAAATCAAACCAAAAAATACAATAAAATTTAATAGTTTGTGACAATTTACATCAGTTACTTATTTAAATCAAGTCAGTGAGATGTATGTCCTACATTTTAGCATCATTTGTTAGAATAGATGAAGTGCAGTGCTCCAAGTAGTTTGGATTTCTGCTAGGATTTGATTGAGTTTGGTCTGTCAGGAAAGTAAACAACCAAGGAGAGAGCAGAGGCCTATAATGGTTGATTATAAGGCATGAAACTTCTATTTGTTGACTGAAGGGGTTGATTTGTTGTCAGTCTGACTTTTAGGCATAGGGTCTCTTCTGCAATCCTAACTCTATTTAAACATTTTAACAGAGTCACTGTGCCTACTCGTAAAAATAAATCCTCCTCCCATAAAGGATGTTAACGGACAGTTTCTGGTTGTAGTTCATTGGGGCATTGTCATAAGAGCTCTTTATGTGTTAACTAACCATTGCTCCGTGTCTTCATTGGCCCAACAGGGCTTAACTGTTGCATGGGACTTTTTGTAGTTTGGGGCCACAGACTATGCTGTGAGTTCCCACCTGGTCATGGAGCTATAACCTAATCCAAGCCATGCTGGCAGACACATTATTCTTTAAGGTCTACAATTAGTTTAGTCCTAAGCAACATGCCAGATTAGTTGAGGGTATAGTTAGTTTGAAATAAGGCCAAGTTAAAATTTTGGTACTTTGGTAGAATAATTTGTCATAAGGTTCTGGAATATGATGTTAATAAAAGTCGGTTCGCTTAGTATCTGACGAATGTGACAACAAGCCACTACATTATCTCTGAATTACTGTTCTTCTGTTCAACTATTAATGCATTTAAGTGTTGTGAATTGTTTTTGAAATATTTTGTGTTGTCATCACATTCACCGTTCAGTTTCTTTACTTACTGTTTCAGACTAGGGCATTGTATAACTATTCCCAGATGCGTCGACTTGTTATTTCTACTGGTGTTGATGCTGTTACGAGGCCCATCAATTGGTATGAGAATTAACTCTCTACTGGAGAAAAGTTTAGGCTTCACTATTTTTTTACCAACTCTTAAGTCTTACATGGACTGGTGTGTGGATGGATTCTCAGGAAATATATGCACAAGGGGGTTATTGTTTGGTTGGACGTACCAGTGGAAGCCTTGGCACCGAGAATTGCAGCTGTAGGAACTAATTCTCGCCCCCTTCTACGTTATGAAGCAGGGGATGCATACACACGGGTAAATTATTTATGTTCCATTGTGGGAGTATTTTTCTTTGGTAAACATAATATAATAATTTAAGAACTAGTCACCGTAGTTGGAGCAATTTATCATTATAGGAATTTGTACCAAAATGTTTTTTCTGCCAAATTATTTTACCCTTTGAATTTCACATGCAGGCTTTGATGCGTTTTTCTGCTATTTTTGAAGAGAGAAGTGAAGCATATGCCAATGCCCATGCCAGGGTCTCATTAGAAAGTATGTCTATTGATCTTTCTTTTTTGTTGAGAAATAAAATATGTGGAATTGTCCAGACTCTCTGGGAAAGAACAAAATTGCCTTGTATTTACATATCTGGCATTCTGTTTGGAGCTTAATATTTTTCTCGTGTTCTGACTCAATTAGTATTTCAAGATTGCCCGAATACAAAGCATGTAAATTTCATTTTACAATCTTTTGTGAGGCTCAACCCCCATTATTCCTTCATATTTCTGATGCCAGTCTGTTGCTTTGTGCAGATATAGCAATAAAACTGAGCCAAAGTGATGTGTCCGAATTGTCTCCAATTGCGATTGCAATTGAGGTATAAAGCAATTTCTGGCCCTTGCCCTTCTAACAACATTTCATTTTGTTGGCCTAGGCAAACTTAAAATTCATGGGCACTTAAAGTTGAATCTAAATTTTCTATCATTGATATGCTTATCTAACGTATCCAATTGTGTCTTGTAGGCGCTCGAACAAATTCACAACTTTTTGAATGGCGAAGGTAGCTGTTATTCAGAATGCTAGTACATACTTTGAACCCAAGCGTGTTTTGATTGTTTATATTTTTTTCATGCAATTTGAGATTGCAATTAAGGTCATGCTCTTATGCAGTGTCTTTTCATTTGGACTGAAAAAGAAAGAAGTAATGCAACATGGCACTTATTTAGCATAATCTGACCGCCGATAGCAAAAGTATTTAATTTATTTGTTTTGTTTAGTGTTGATGTATGTGGAGTTGTTTGTTGTAATTCGAGTTCGTTTGATCAATTTATGTATGCCTTCTTCTAAAGAGGTTTGTATGCTGTAAAGTGACTATAGTATATTTTTAAGGAAAATACTAACCAATGTCTGAAGGTATTGGTTAAAGAATTAAAAGAAATTATTGAAAAACATAAAAAGACATTCATCTTCGTAATTTTTAATAAAACTTATTGTTTATTTATTCTTTAACAAATGCTCTTACATCATAAATTTGATAATTATTTTTTCGTACTGTATACAACATTTTTATGTAAACAATAACAAGTTTTATTGTTATCGATTTTATGTTTTGCTCTCGTAGTGTAACAACATTCTTATGTGACTCAGAGCGCCCTGATGGACTACATTCATCAACATTTGGTGAAGGCTTTGAACAATGAATTTAAGCAATTGATTTCAACAGTTGATGAGCAACTTGAAGGCTTGGCTAATTGTAATATTATCACAGTTTGATTCATCTCAATCCTCAAGCAAAATTGCGGTAGAGCTAGGCACATAACCAAACCCTTTAACCGGTGGAATCAAATTGTCTAAAACTAAAGATATAAGTGCAGAGTCACTATGGGCTGTGTCTCTGGCAATAAATCTGTGAACTTCATTATTCACTTCAATCCAACTCCAACCTGGTTCTTTCACTGCCCCACTTATGTCCATTTTCTCCCTCACCCTTCTTACTTTTGCCCACATACCTTTTGATGCAAAAATATTTGAAAGTAATATGTATGATCCACTATCTGATGGATCACACGAAATTGCCATCTCAGCAGCATATGTTCCCAGTTCAACATGACCTAAAACTCTGCATGCACTGAGCAGGCTCCTCCACACTACTGCTGCTGGTTTTATTGGCATCTTCTCAATAAATTCCTTAGCTTCATATATTCTACCAGCCCGGCCCAGGAGAGAAACCATGCAAGCATAATGATCAATCCCTGGTACAATTCCAAACTTTGACATTGATTCAAAGTAATGAAATCCAAGGTCTTGAAGCCCAGCATGGCTACATGCTGATAGAACACCTACAAAGGTGATATAATTTGGCTTCATTCCCTCCAAAATCATGTGCTCGAACAATTCAAGAGCTTTTACTGCCGCTCCATGCTGGGCATATGTTGAAATCATGGAATTCAAACAGGCAATGTCTCTTTGGTTTGTGGAACTGAATGCCTTGTGAGCCTCTTTGATGTTTCCACACTTGGCATACATATCCACTAGGGAATTTGTGACAAAGGGGTCATCATCAAGACCCATCTTTATCACCTGGTTATGAAATTGCTGACCGTGTCGGAGACTTGCCATGTTACTTGCTGCTGTGATTACTGCAGCAAAAGTAAATTCGTTGGGTTTTAGTCTTGACATCTGTAAATCTTTGTATAGTTTGAGAGACTGCTCATTTTCCAATTGTTGGCTGTATCCAGAAAACATTGCATTCCATAGTACAATGTCTTTGTCATTTATCTCCTCAAAAGCAACTCTTGCATCCCCAACACATGAGCATTTTGAATAAACATCTATCAGTGCACTTCCAGCGAAATTATCTAAAGAAACACCATATTTAATAATCAGGCCGTGGATTTGGCTGCTTAGTTCCAGGTGAAATAATGATGCGGATAGCCCAAGAAGGCTTACAAACGTTAATAGAGTTGGTGGTGATAAACTTAGCCTCATTTCACGAAAAAGATCCAATGCTTCGTACAGTTTGTCTTGTCTTGAGTATCCTTCTATCATTGCATTGTAGGATACTACATTTGTTACAGCCACCAGGTCAAAGACTTTTCTTGCTTCAGTCAAGGAATCACATTTGGCATACATATCAATCAAACCATTTTGCACAAAGTCATCATGATCTATGTTGACCTTAATAGCATAAGCATGCACTTGTCTTCCCGTTTCTAGGGCCTGGAGTGAACCACATGAATTGAGAATACTAGTGCAACCAAATGCATCGGGCTTCCAACCCATTTTAACCATTTCAACAAACAGATCTATGGCATCCCCGTGGAATGAATTCTGCATGCAACCAGCAATCATTGTGGTCCACGAAACAACATCTCTATCTATCAGCTGATCGAATAATTTCCGCGCTGTCTTCACGTTGTGACATTTCAAATAAAAATCTATAATTCCATTCACCACCGAAACATCCGTGTCAAAGGCCCTCCTTAACACATAGCCATGAATTTGCTTCCCCCCTTCAAGAAACTCAAGCATCGAACAAGCACTCAAAACGCTAGAAATTACATATCTGTCTGGACATGCATCTTCCTCTCTCATTTGTTTAAATATCTTCAAGGATACGTCACTTCTTCCCTGTTTTGAGTACCCTGATATAACTGTAGTCCACGTGACAGTGGTTTTAACTTCTTGGCCATCAAAAATCAACCTTGCTTCATCAACATAACCTTGCTTGGCATAAAAATCAATCAAAGAGGTACCCACATAAACATCTTGAACAAATCCACCCTTAATAACAAAACCATGCACCTGGAGAGCTTCACTGAGACTGCCCAATTGTGTACAAGCTCTAATGACACTGGCTAAAATGTACTCATTCGGTTCCTCGCTGCAACTTCTCCTGAACCGGCAGAACAACACCAATGCTTCTAAACTATAACCATGTTGGGTGTACATAGAAACCATGGAAGACCAAGTAACTAGGTTCTTCAGAGGCATTGTTTCGAACAGCTTTTCTGCATCACTTATAAGGTTTAGCTTTGAGTATGCGTACACGAGAGTGTTAACAAGGAAGACATCATGTTGATGAAACCCCAATACCACAACGTGGGCATGGATTTTCTTATAGTAATAAGGAATAGAAATGTTTGTACATGGCAATTGTAATAATTTGGCCAATTCACGACCAATTTTCCGTTGTTTAAGGATTGGAGAATCATGTAATTGAAAAATATGAGGTGACAAAATGGAGGTGTGGAACGTTTGGCTAACATTGAATTTGTTAAGGAATTTTAATTGGAATCCTAGTAGCAGTCGATGCTGGCTTCGCATCATAGATACGAGGTGAAAGCATGCTCTAATGAATCTTAGTTTAAGTTATGTCAAAATCAAAATGACCATTCGATCTACTTCGAATTCATGAGTATTATTGTCATGCCAGGCCGAAAAATTTATCTTAAAAAATATGAAGTCCGAAAAGCCCAATGTTATTAAGAGATCCACTAGTAAGGCACACTTCATAATTGGTAAATTTGTAAAATATTAAAATACTTACCTTAAGAATTGATCCATTTATAAAGATGTCTACGATATTTTATAAAATTTACTAATTACAAAAGGTGTGTTGAGAAACATATTGAAAAGAATGTTACGTCGCTGCATATTTGTGCTAGTCTATTTTCTTTGAAAAAAAAAAGGTTTATTTTCGTCATCTACGAGAGAATTTTGTTATTAAGATACATATTAGTAAGAATTTGCACAAATATACATGAAAAAATAACAATAATTATTATGCAATTGAGAGTGAGTAGACGAAACTATGTTTTAAAATGTTGAAAGATTATATGAGAGAAAACTGATAAAGTCATGCAGCACCCTGAAATAACCTATTATTAATTTTTTTTTTCTTTTAAACTGGGCATAATTTTATGTTAGTTTTGTTTTTAAAATTAAGTAAACTTAATTTTGGTTTTTTGTTTTTGTTTTTGCTTATAACTCACAGATTACTCTTTTTTATTTGAATATTTAGGAGTTTTCAATGGACTTTAAATTTAAAATAAATTTTAACAGTTTAGAAAATTCGCAAACTTTTAAAAGATGTATGAGACCCAAGATTTGGGTTTAAAGTGATAATTTTTTTATTTTAAGTAAAATTGTACGTTCTAAAATAATTACCAATTAAAATTTTATGATTTTAGATAAAAGAAAATTGACGGTAAAAGTAAGTTTATTTGAAAAAAAAAATAGTTGACTCTAAAAACATGAGGTAATAAAATCCCAATTGAAATTATCGAGTCAAAAAGTATAATTAAATAAAAATAAAATAAAGTCGCAGGTGGTGGGTAGGTAGGTTTTGTGGCATAAATGGTAGGTAAGAACTTTCTTCTAATCAAATATTTCAACGTATTAATCCCAAAGCATTATCATATATCTGATTCATTAACCACACCCAGAAAAAAAAATGACTGATTCAAAAGTCTTCTTCAAAATTATGACCTGAATCTACCCTTCTCATTGCATGACTCATATGCGGCCCACACATTTTAGATAACAAAATGCATTTTGACTCCAAGGAACTGGTTTTTCTTTACTACGTTCTTTATTTTGAAATATAAACTTAGCTATTTTGAAAAGGTAAGTGATGTCGCAATAACAAAGCGCTTAATTAATTAAATGAATCCGTGTATAATTAACCACTTTTATATATTAATGATAAACAGATTACTTAATGAAATTATTAGTGTGTAACATTATGCACTCCAAAATATCTGTACAAATTATGAAGCTTGTGTTTGGTTATAAGTTAATACACGCTCCAATGCAATTAGTTGATTTGTAATGCAAATTTAATACACAATTCTGTTTGTGTGTGTGTGTGTGTATGAAAATTAAAAAGTTTAATGGTTTATATAAAAAAATCAAGGATTCAATGATCAATTGGAATATAAAATAATTTTAAAAAAGTTTAAAGATAGATTTTATACCACAACACGAGAATAAATTTTGAAGATAAAAAATTTGAATGTTTTATTTTAGGAAAAACGAATGGTTTTGGTTGTCGAGTTTAGGCAATAAAAGTGTAACATATTTTAATTGGTTTAGTTTGTAAAAAAATTAATGGTTTTGTCCACAAACAAAAGGCATAAGAATCACAATTACTTGATTTTAAAATTAAAAAAAATTCAAATTTTTTTAAATACAAATATTTCAAACAGCATGAAGAAAAAATATAATTAAACCTTTTTCTTAAGTAATGGCTCAGATTCAAACTTTACAAACAAAAAAATTATTAAAAATTTGGCCTTATTTTGCCTTAAATTAAGTGAAAACTAGTCCAATTTTCCTTCAAAACACCCTCCCCTATAAAAGAACTATATATATTACGAAGTAGAAAAATATTGTGAATATGACTAACTTTACGACAGCTTTAAGCATCAACTCTTATTTTATCTCCTACCAACAAAAAGTAAAATGCGTAGCATTTTGAAACTAGCATTACCATCATACCGCTATAGAAATAAAGCTATCACTATCGTCATTGGGATTAATTAATTATGCAGCAATTGAAGCATTTTGCTTAAAAAACCTAAGTTTGTATGATATTGCTAACATTCTTTTTTTAAACTAGAGATACGACCATAAGCTTTTGCTAAAAATTAATTATACGACATATCATTACCTTGTAAGCTTTTGCTAAAATTAATTATACGACATACCATTACCTTGTAAGGTAATAACCTACTCTGTATTTGTTTCAGGTCCTATGATTATTGCGAATTTGTAGTAGACTCATGTTCCTTGCAATTGCCTTGGACGCAAAGACATTAACATAATTGAACCCCCTTTTCTTTGTCGCAGATAACCTATTAATAGGCTGTGGGAAACATAGCAAGTATTCTTGTATCCCACAAACACTCACAACAAACCGTAAAAAATGAAAAAAAAAAAATGTATAAGAGAAAATGTTGTTTTATTAGTAATAACATAATAGAAACTGATATATGAAATATAAGCATTTGATTTTCTAAAATTTTGAAAAACTACAAAACTCCTTTAATTGCATGAATATTTAAAGAAGAAAATATCAATATGAAACATTCACAAGACATGCATATCACAATATGGGAAATGAGAGTGTGTATAAATGTCATCCTTTTAAAGATGAAGATTCAATTTTTATACTACAGGAATGATTGTTTTAGCACATATTTGCTAAAGAAATGTTCACTACAAATTTGTGACAAAAGATTTCCAAATTGATAAGGAAACTTTGCCACAATTTCATAGAGCAATTTCTACTTCATTGTTAGTAAAACTAGTACTCACAACCTTGATTTAGCTAGATTATATTCTAGAGGCAACCTATTGAACCTAATACTCGTGGATGTTTCGTTAAAATTTTATCAAAAAGTTCCCTACGTTCAATTTAGCAGCTTCACGTGGGCCAGTGCCCTGAAAAATATCTCAGTGGTTCATAAAATGACAATAAATGATGAAATAAAGTAACTTTTTTTTTTATACTAGACCCAAAGAAAAAGAGAGGAGAAGTTTAACTTTACATATGTAAATCTAGTGCATGTATAGTAAAAAAAAAGCATGCAATTTGCTCAAACCAAGTTATAATGATGCACAAAACAAAGTCATAAACAGTGGAGAGAAAAATTATTAAAGGAAATAATTAATTTCATCAGATTATGTTGGACAAATGAACTTTACAGTGATACAGTAAAAATATAGAATGACTTGAAAAAGACAAAACAGAACCTGTGATCAAAATTAATCGAAGACGATGGAGCGATCGTTGTCTCACCAAGAACGTTGAGTTGATGTGGCGTCAATTTATCGCTCTCTGTTTGTAAAAAGACCCCACTCTCCAAACCGTACGACCACGCCCACTGCTTCCACCAACTTCAAAACTCGTGGTTGGTGTGCCAGCACAATGTTAAGGACGCACATGTCCATTTAATATTAACTGTACATTTTTATGTTTTTTATAATTTTTAAATCAAAATTGATGTTTTAGTTTAATAGAAAAGTATATATCTAATGTTGTTTAGCAGCTGTTAAAGTAAAATTTTTAAGATTTCAATATAATTACAAATTTTAGATCATATATAAACCGACACTCAATTTTATAAACAATCTATTTGGACAATAACCTTTCCTTTTGGTAATTAATTTAAGTTCAAATCTTCTAGATGAGTATTTTTAAATTTTTAAAAAAATATTAACATCTTAATTAATAAAATAAAAAACTTAGATTGGAAAAAAAATGTATTATGCTACATGCGAATGCGATCCCGTGACATGGCTGTATATATATACGTAGGTACGTACGTATAAGCCCTCTACAGCTACGCTTCTGAGTGACTGAAACCAAACCTACCACGCTTTCCACCCATCCAATGATAAAATAGGACGAAAAGTCAAAAGGGTCAATGGTCGTGCCAAAAGACCCCCACTCCTCAATTCTCTTATTATTTTTATAAATTATTTATTTTTTCTTTTTCGTCATTAGAAATTTTTTATTTTTTCATTTTTTCATTTTGTTATCGTTGGAAATAATTTTGTATGAGGATTGTGATCGTTGTTCTTCTAAATACCGTTTCGTAGTGCTATTTATTGGGGCATGTAAGGTGTTTAAAATATCGTAAAGCTATTTGTCAATGAGTCAGAAATATTATTCTTAAATGATTGAATATAACATTTTAAATAATAAAAATTTCAGACACGATCAATAGACTTGTAAAAGACAATTTTGAACAAATTTTGGTTTATGAAGAGTTAATCATGTGATTGTTTTTATTTTGCTTTTAGCATATAGATTAACAAAGTCTAATGATTATATTTTTAAATATATTAACAGAATTCGATTACTAATTATGTATATGAAAAAGATTTTATTGAAAAAGGCAAAAATCATACAAATAAATAAAATATAAAAAATTACAAAAAATTGTAACCTTAAGTTAAATAATGAAATAATATTTTACAGAAAATTGTAAACATTTGATAATACCCAACAATGATTAAAAATGTAATTACTATTCAAAAGTTTCTGAATTAAAAACATGTATGAAAACTAATTAATTTTAAAAACAAATAATGGTCAAATAGATTAGCAGTCAAATAAAACTGTTTATAAATGGAAAAAATAATCAACCCTACGGCAAGCGAAAGAAAAAGAAAAGGGAGATCAGTGTTAATGCTAAGTACTGCGAAGTGCGAAACCACAGAGAAGGAATAAAATAACTCTATTCATGGGCATTGGTTATACTCTCATACCAACCCATTTATTTTTCAATTCTTATTTATTTATTTATTTATTAAGAGAAGCAAAAATCGGTGGAGAAGTGCGTAGTGGTGAAAGTTGAATGCTGAATCAGAAACACGACGAGAGGAAATTATGCAGAAAGAAAAAGAACGTGAAAACTGAAAATCATTTCACTCCACAATCATAACCATTCATTCCCACCTTTTTTGTTTTTTTCAACTCTCTCTCACACCATTCGATATATCAGTCTCTGTTCTCCTCCCATTCTCTCTTTCTCTGCACTGCAACCACTTCTTCTTTTTTATTTTTCAAATCCAAGTAGCAATAGATTACAGGTTAGTGATGCGTTTTGGATTCAGGTTTTGTCGCTTTTGTTGATCGATGACTGATGAAAACGCTTCGTCGTTTCAGAATGGATGCTAAAGCTGCCCAGAGGTTACAGCTTTCAGCGGTGGTTCAGCCGCAGAAGATTGGGAGAAGACTGAGTTGTAGTTTGGGGATGTCTCGGGAACCGCAGAGGGTTCCGGTTTTTGTTTCGGCCAAGTTGTCTTCCGCGATTCGGCGCAGGACGACCAAGTTGGAGGTTGCTTGTTCTTACGACAACATTCCAGGTTGTCATAAAAATCAATTACCCTTTCACAATACCCATAACCGGTTTTTTTTTTTATATTTTTTATTTGTGTATCGTTGGATTGCGTTTTTGCTTTTCTAGCTTTGGATTTTTATTCTCTTTTATTGTTGGAGTGTTTTTTTTTTTTTAATATAAATACACATATCTGTCTTTAAAACAAGATGAAAGATTACTAATTATGGTAAGAAGGTATAATGAACCATTCTTGTAAATTATCAATGAATTGGGATCAAGGGTCTGTCCTTGTTGTGTGGAAAATTGCAAATCTGCCCCCAAAGGTACCTTCCTTTTGTTATTTTGATGACTTCATTATTTTTCCCCAATCTGAATTATGCACACAAACATAGCTTTCTCTAAGGTTTTTTTTTCCCCAGTAATGTTTATATTGAAAAGCATGATGTGATTAATATGAAATGACAGTACTAATAATCACGGCAGCTGGTCCCTTGAGACAGTAGTTTCTGTCGAGGTGAACCTGGTATAACTACATTGCCCAATTTTGAGCCAGCTTTTATTATTTGCAGATTGAATTAGCTTTCCTATCTATTGATTAGTTGAAAAAATTAACTTCCGACATCTTTTAAGGAAAAGCATGGTGGTTGAGATGTAGTGTGTAATATGCCTGCATTGGATCTAGTTTCTTACTGGATAAAACAAGTGCTACCCATTTGGAATGTTCACGTATTATTTCTAATGTTATTTTTTGTAGCTTCAATATTGGAATCTGGAACTCATCACGCTCCTCTTGATGAAGAATTGATTCTGAAGGTAAAACTATGATGCTCGGTGTCATTTTTAATTAATTTAAGTCATTTCAGTCTGCTAATGCTATATACATATATCCATGTATAATAGAGTAAGCAGAATGCAGAAGAATCAAGATAAAATAATATTAGCTCAATTTGTTGCTTGCTTAAGTATCTATATGCCATTATCTTACTTGAATCAATAAAATTGCAGAATAAATCGCAAGAGATCAAGTCATATTTAAATGGACGCTGTATATTTCTTGTTGGTCAGTTTCTTGGTTGACTTCTTGTGCTTATGCAGTATGCTTTGGAAATATGATTTCTTTAGCATTCAAAATGCTTTGAATTTGACGTGCAGGAATGATGGGCTCTGGGAAGACGACTGTTGGGAAGATAATGTCGCAAGTGCTTGATTATTCATTTTTTGATAGGTTAGTAGGTTAATTGCTCACTTTTTCTTCACAAGGGGAAATTTAGTTTAATAACAAGTAAATCAATCGTTGGAATACCCAATGGACCAGTAGAAGTAGAACACAGAAAGAATGATATCTGGCCATAAAGCACTCTAGTACTCTATTCTTTTTATTTGTGCAATTATTTCATTATATTTAGTATCTGATATGAGCTTCAACTGGTGATTCGTAATCAAATTGATATTAGAGATAACTGAGGACATGTAACAGATATAAATATGTGTGATTGTATTCAATAAATGAAAACAGGTGGGTATCAATTATTGTGGGGAAGATGATCTACACTGGTGTACAATATTTCTATTCAAGATCCTTATACAATCGTGTACATATTCTGTCACTTTACAATTACTCTATTTCATGATCACATTAGTGGTCTTGCTGAATATTTTCTCTATTTTGTTGCACCCGTGGGTCTTTTAGTGATACGTTGGTGGAGGAGTTGGTTGGTGGGACATCTGTAGCTGATATATTCAAGCACAATGGTGAGGCTTTCTTTCGTGATAAGGAGGTCAGTTGAAAATATGGTTTAGTGTGTAGAGAATTTAATATTTAAGTTGTTTTTAACTTTTAGATTTTCCTGTCTCTTTAATCACATCCAATATGCTTATATTCACCTATATTTATATCATAAACTTTGGCAAGGATATGGGAGATCAATGTCAAATGTTTTCTGAAATACCAATGAATGACAGTATTCTAGTACTGTCACAGGCAGGATGGAAGAGTACTAAATCAAACCAAAAATAAAATAAAATTTAATAGTTTGTGACAATTGACATCAGTTACTTATTTTAGTCAAGTCAGTGAGATGTATGTCATACATTTTAGCATCATTTGTCAAAATAGACGAGGAGCAGTGCTCCAAGCAGTTTGGATTTCTGCTAGGATTTGACTGAGTTTGGTCTGTCACGAAAGTAAACAACCAAGGAGAGAGCAGAGTCCTATAATGGTTGATTATAAGGCATGAAACTTCTATTTGTTGTCAGTCTGACTATTAGGCATAGGGTCTCTTCTACAGTCCTAACTCTATTTAAACAACATTTTAACAGAGTCACTGTGCCTACTCCCAAAAATAAATCCTCCTCCCGTAAAGGATGTTAAGGGACAGTTTCTGGTTGTAGTTCATTGGGGCATTGTCATAAGAGCTCTTTATATGTTAACTAACCATTGCTTAGTGTCTTCATTGGCCCAACAGAACTTAACTGTTGCATGGGACTTTTTGTAGTTTGGGGCCACAGACTATGCCATGAGTTCCCACATGGTCATGGAGCTATAGACTAATCCAAGCAGTGCTGACAGACATGTTATTCTTTAAGGTCTACAATTAGTTTAGTACCAAGCAACATGCCAGATTAGTTGAGGGTATAGTTAGTTTGAAATAAGGCCAAGTTAAAATTTTGGTTATTTGGTAGAATAATTTGTCATTAGGTTCTGGAATATGATGTTAATAGAAGTCAGTTCAATTAGTATCTGATGAATGTGACAACAGGCCACTATATTATCTCCCAGTTACTTTGCTTCTGTTCAACTATTAATGCATTTAAGTGTTGTGAATTGTTTTTGAAATATTTTGTGGTGTCATCACATTCACCGTTCAGTTTCCTTGCTTACTTACTGTTTCAGACTGAGATATTGTATAAGCTTTCCCAGAAGCGTCGACGTGTTATTTCTACTGGTGGTGGTGCTGTTACGAGGCCTATCAATTGGTATGAGAATTGACTCTACTGAGAAAAGTTTAGGCTTCACTATTTTTTTACCAACTCTTAAGTCTTACATGGACTGGTGTGTGGATGGATTCTCAGGAAATATATGCACAAGGGGGTTAGTGTTTGGTTGGACGTACCAGTGGAAGCCTTGGCACAGAGAATTGCAGCTGTAGGAACTAATTCTCGCCCCCTTCTACATTATGAAGCAGGGGATGCATACACACGGGTAAATTATTTCTGTTCCATTGTGGGAGTATATTTCTTTGCTAAACATAATATAATAATTTAAGAACTAGTCACCATAGTTGGAGCAATTTAGCATCATAGGAATTTGTACCAAAATGTTTTTTCTGCCAAATAATTTTACCCTTTGAATTTCACATGCAGGCTTTGAAGCGTTTGTCTGCTATTTTTGAAGAGAGAAGTGAAGCATATGCCAATGCCCATGCCAGGGTCTCATTAGAAAGTATGTCTATTGATCTTTCTTTTTTGTTGAGAAAAAAAATATGTGGAATTGTCCAGACTCTCTGGGAAAGAACAAAATTGCCTTGTATTTACTTATCTGGCATTCTGTTTGGAGCTTAATATTTTTATCTCGTGTTCTGACTCAATTAGTATTTCAAGATTGCCCGAATACAAAGCATGTAAATTTCATTTTACAATCTTTTGTGAGGCTTAATATTCCTTCATATTTCTGATGTCATTCTGTTGCTTTGTGCAGATATAGCAATAAAAATGGGCCAAAGAGATGTGTCCGAATTGTCTCCAATTGCGATTGCAATTGAGGTATAAAGCAATTTCTGGCCCTTGCCCTTCTAACAACATTTCATTTTGTTGGCCTAGGCAAACTGAAAAATTCATGGGCACTTAAAGTTGAATCTAAATTTTCTATTGTTGATATGCTTATCTAATGTATCCAATTGTGTCTTGTAGGCGCTCGAACAAATTCACAACTTTTTGAATGGCGAAGGTAGCTGTTATTCAGAATGCTAGTACAAACTTTGAACCCAAGCGTGTTTTGATTGTTTATATTTTTTCCATGCAATTTGAGATTGCAATTAAGGTCATGCTCTTATGCAGTGTCTTTTCGTTTGGACTGAAAAAGAAAGAGAAGTAATGCAACATGGCACTTATTTAGCATAATCTGACCGCCAATAGCAACAGTATTTAATTTATTTGTTTTGTTTAGTGTTGATGTATATAGAGTTGTTTGTTGTAATTCGAGTTCGATTGATCAATTTATGTATGCCTTCTTCTAAAGAGGTTTGTATGCTGTAAAGTGACTATACTATATTTTCAAGGAAAATACTAACCAATGTCTGAAGGTATTGGTTAAAGAATTAAAAAAAATATTAAAAAACATAAAAAGACATTCATCTTCGTAATTTTTAATAAAACTTATTGTTTATCTATTCTTTAACAAATGCTTTAAAGTAATAATTTGTAAGATCCTTACTTTATCTTTCATATTCGACTCCGATGGATGTGCAATTGGCCTTTATCAAATTTTGAGATAATATTTTAGAGAGATCTAACTATTCGAAATATGCAAGTCTAATGTGACATATATCCGATTCTAATATACAGTGTTTTGTGTAAAAACATGCTAAAAATTGATATAAAAATGACAGCTAGTAATATTAAAGTATACATAAATATATATTCGTTTAAATGAGAATTTAATCGTTCTAATAGATTTATTCTTATTTTCAATTGGGTCAATTGGATTTGAATTTATTTTGTTTTGTTTTTTCGGTAAGCAAGCAAGGAAGTTAGTTCATACATATTATCGGTGATTACTTTGCATCATATTTGAGATGACGTGATTCGACGTCAATACCCTCTTAAGTCGTATCCGCCATTGCCATGATGCTTTTTTCAACCCAATCCAAAAGAACCCGATAGAATCTTTAATTAATAATCCCTATTGACTACAAATAAAAATAATAGGCCCTCGAAATTAATTCAAATGAATTTCGGTAAATACTAATAATATTGTAGTTATTTAGCTGAGGTGTTGCCTTTTGTGGAATGCATATATCGTGAGGAGTCAAGTCAATTGTAGATTTGACTCAGTAAAAAAATAAGATTTATTCATACTTAATTTGAATTAAAACATTTTATACATTTAATTTACTTTAAATTAATGATAAATAAATTTTCATTATATAAATCCTTTTTTAGAGTTAAATTCATGTGTCACACGTCACTCCATATCATTCAAGCCATTAATTTCATTTATATTTCTGTTTTCATATTAAAATTTAGCAAATATTTAGATTATTTAATTAATATTTTGAACCAAATAACAACAACGTTGAGATGGCCGAGTTGGTCTAAGGCGCCAGATTAAGGTTCTGGTCCGAAAGGGCGTGGGTTCAAATCCCACTCTCAACATATTAATTTTTTAGTTTTTTCTTTTCTACTTCTTTGGTCCTACCAAGTCTCAACTCCTTATCTGAACAAAGCTACAGCCTCCAATAATCCAACAATTAGACCATAACAGATAGCAAAGGGATAATGTGGATGACAACCATGCCTTACTCATCTCTCCCCAAACTCAGTTATTACCATAATTTCCATTTTCACCATCAAAGATGCTTCAACATCAACCTCTCTAAATTGACAATTAGAGCATCCTCTGCTGCCCCTCGTGTAGACCTCAAGACTCTAGAATCTGCCATTGCCAAGGTCTTAGCACCAAACTTCTGTTTTTTTCATTACCAATATTTCAAAGTGCAATAAACAGTTTCCGTGTTTGTTACTGTAGTCACCATCTAAACAATTTTTTTTTCTATAAGATATATGTCAACAAGATATGTGGGTATGCTTAAAAACAATGAAGAATATTAAGGTTTCCTAAGAATTAACTTCAAATTAGATTCTTTGGATTTATACTTATGCCCCCGTGAAAATATTCATATTAAATCAATATGATAGATTGGTATTTTAGTGTTTAATGTTTTGCATTTTTGGTGCTGCCACTGGTGATGTAAATGACTAACAAATATATAATATAATCATAAAATAAATATCTTTGTGCAGAAAGATAGTAATGATGTTAAAGAGGCACTTGATCAGCTGAGTGAAATTGGTTGGGCCAAGAAATGGAGTTCTCAGCCATATGTTTCACGTCGCACGGTCAGTCTCCAGTTACAAATGTGAAGTTCTTGGAAAGTGCCACCTAAGCATTAAGTTTATCAACCAACTATAGCTTTCATGTATACCGTTCAGTGCTTCCTATACTTATTCATATGCATTGTAAGCTTCATCCATCATACAAGTTTTGAGCTTGACTTTTCAAAATGTGTAGCAGACATCACTCCGAGAGTTGACAACTCTAGGAATAAAAAATGCAGAGAACCTTGCAATTCCTAGTGTCAGAAACGATGTGAGTTTCTGAAACCTCTCTCACTATTTAGTATCAAAAGGAATGAGAAACATTTGTTAATCTGTAATTTGTACAATATCTTGAAAAGAGAAACTCTTCAATAGGCTTCCTATGATTATTTGGTCCTTTAAAATGTCAAAACAGTTTTTTAAAGATGGCTTACTTATAAGAAATGTGCTGTGTGTTCAAAAACGTGGGTTGCTTGCATTTCTTGTCTTTAAATTACGCATGTGGCAACCTCTGTGTCTTTATGCATTTGTAAAGAGAGATTGTTCCAAGTTCAACAAGTGATATTGATCTTTGATGATGCAGGCAGCTTTTCTTTTTACTGTGGTGGGAACAACTGGATTTTTGGGTGTTCTGGCTGGCCAGCTTCCCGGGGTATCCTTAGCACACCTCTATGTTGCTCTGTATGTCTGTTTAATGTTCTCATGTCATGAACCATTTCAGAAGTATGATGAAATCTTATAATGTTGAAACATGCATTTGTAAATGCGGATATGGCAGCCCAGTTTGTTTGTACTCTTGTACTTGATTCCTGGAAAAGTAATCTCAATTATTCAAGTAGAATATATTTTATGGATTATAAATGCTGTCTCGGCAACCAGAGTTGAGAGCAACCAAAATGGAAGATTTGGCAATTCTGTCCTTTCCTATATGTCATATTACTACATGCTATCTCACTCTACATACTATATTCTACTTCATTTGAATAATTTGCCAACATTGGTGATGCTTAGACTGTATTTATGCTTTCTGTGGTTTCGAAATTAGAATTGTCACCTCTTCTAAGTTGACAAACATGCATTTAGTTTACGAGTTTACGTAATAAACAGAGCTTAAGGGTGTGCTTCGTTGAGTAGTAGGAAAGTGATATTTTTGGAATGAAAATTCTTTTACACTTGCTTGGTATAGCTACAAAAATATGTAGAAAGTGGAAAGTTTTGGTTGATAATACTTTTTTTTCTTCCTTTTATTCTTCACCTTGCTACTTTCCACCTACTCAACCAATCAGACCTCAAAAAGAATTTTGACTTTCGTTACATCTCTGATTGATGCATGCTCACTCTTGCAGGATTGGGGCTTCTTTCTACCATACTTGATTGGGAGTATCTCCTTAGTAGTTTTGGCTGTGGGCAGCATATCCCCCGGGTAAGAATTGGGTTTACCATGCATCAATGATCACCCTCTTTAGTTTTAATTTGCTTTAGCATTAATATTCTTGTGTTGCTATTGTAGGCTTCTCCAAGTAGCTATTAGCAGCTTCTCATCACTTTTTCCTGATTATCAGGAGAGGATTGCCAGACATGAAGCAGCTCACTTTTTAAGTACTTTTTTCTTGCTGATTTACTTTCAGAAAGCATCAGAGATTTGTGACTTTGCTCTAGCTCATTTTTTAGTCTTTTGTTCATTCTAGTTGCTTATCTGCTTGGGGTACCCATTTTGGGCTATTCACTGGATATTGGGAAAGAACATGTCAATCTCATTGATGAGAGGCTGGAAAAGCTTATCTATAGCGGTCAGCTTGATGCCAAAGAGCTAGATAGGTACGTACCATGCACCTGCAATTGCTCTTATCCAATGTTGAAGAAATAAGCCATGCCAACTCATAACTTTTAAAGTACTAATATGCCTATGATTTGAAAATTAACTACCAAGACTTCTCTTGAAGAAATAGGTAGAGTTGTAATTGCCCTTTTTTACTATCAGATTGGCTGTTGTGTCAATGGCTGGACTGGCTGCAGAAGGTTTAACATATGACAAGGTGGTTGGTCAATCTGCCGATCTTTTCACACTCCAGGTTTGAGATCTCTATTTTTGTAAGATGTGGATATTTATACCATTCACTATTATCCCAAATAATCATGATAAAAAATATCTTTTCCTACAGAGATTTATTAACCGAACCAAGCCACAACTCAGCAAAGATCAACAACAAAATCTCACAAGATGGGCCGTATGTTCTTCTAATACAACATATATTTTCACAGTTTTATCAGTACTTAAGAATACTCGTATCCCCAAATTTAAGCATTTTTCTGATAAAAAAACTCATGTTTGCAGGTTTTGTTTGCTGCTTCTCTCTTGAAAAACAACAAGGTGACTCATGAAGCCTTAATGGCATCGATGGCAAAGAAGGCAAGCGTGCTGGAGTGCATTCAAACAATCGAAAACGCAGCATAATTCAACATTTAACTGTTTAAGCTGTGAAATACAAAGTATGACCATTCAACATTATCCTTTGACACAATCTATTGTGTACAAATTCTCCCACCACTTCTTGTTCATACAAAGCCAACACATTAGTTTAAACCTATTTGATACAAGTAAATAGTTGCAATTATTTAGATAATGACATAGGATTGAAAACGGCAGTTCACATAATAGAAATTGAAAACGGTAGTTCACATAGTAGAGTCTTGGAGTTCTTAATGATAAACCCATCCACGTTACAAAGAATACATTTCATTAGCTATGAATGCTCAAGAAAGGGAGACATATTTGTTTACAGTAAACGTCCAATCGTGAAGCAATCTGTGGACTATGATGCGCATCATATTTTCTTTTTTAGTTTGCATTGTGATGGCATCGCTTTCGCTTTTCTTCGTCTAACCATATGTGTATATATATTATTTGTATTGCATCTTAGTCTTAATGTGACTAAGATTTTTACACACATTTAAGAGTGTAAAATGGTAAGAATTATAGTAGCTAGTGCATCAAAGTTCATCAGACCAATCGATAGGGTCGCCGCTATCATAGAACAGGCCATCGACAATTTGGTCAATTACGGAGTCTATGAATGCGTTGCAGCTTACGGTGAAGATTCGACCAACTCTGTTACGGGCACTGGTGAACCAAGCAAAGAGTGCTGCACAAGTTACCGCACCCAAACACACCCCACCCGCCTCTGTGATTGCTTCAATATCCATCTTTCTGAACACAGAGTTTCCTGTCACCAACTCCATTGTCACCGTCGCTGCAAACACCATCTACACCAAACCCAATATCTTTCAAACTTAATATATCATCAAAATGAAAATGAAAACATTGATCTACCAGAAATGTATCTATAATAAATTGATAATATTAAAAAATATAATTTTCATATAAATTTATTGTTTATTAATTTCTTATCGGTTAAAAATATACGTTCTATAAGAAAAATTCTAACAGTACACTCACTCTTTCAAGCATTATCCTTATTAATGATTAAATTTTATTACAAATTACAAAATCACGCTCCTAATTGAATAAATTTCGCCGTTAATTTCATAATTTTTAATAAACTTGAATCATTAAAGTGAACAGAGTGAATTAGAGAATGTTGCCAGAGTGTTCTTCTATGAGGTTAAGACTGTGATAAATCTTATGATATACTCTGAAAAAATTATTATATATACAAGATCTTGTTGGTGTGCAGCGCATCATAGTATTAAATTTGTAAGAGAAAGACAATAGGACGTCACCTTTTTAACTTCACAAACTTTATCACTCTAAGCAACTAAATCCTCAAAATAAATACCGAATCCAACGAAAGCAACTCACCAGACTTAATCAATTTACTATTTTCTAAATTAAGTATAATTTTCACAACAATGGAATAAAAAAAAGTTAAAATAAACTGTGATTGGTTTTGATTAGCTTATGAAAATAGTAGTAATAGTTACCATAGCGAGACGACCAGATATGATCTCAAAATCGTGACTCTTCTTAGAGCTCTCAATATACTCCGAAAGCGTCGCGAAGAAAGGAGACACGTCGTCCTTCCCGCTCTTCATCACACCCAGACGATCCGAACCGTACGATCTGAGAGTACACAACCGCGGCTGCAACACGATGTTATTCGTCGCTTCCGCCTCCACGGATTTCGGTTTCGGAATCGCTAAGTGAACCGAACCGCCATGTTCCTTCTCCGGAACCGTTGGTCTCGACGACGACCTCAGCTGGCAGTGCAACACACGCGCCGCAGACGCCATAAGAGACAGAGTGAAGATTGTGCAGAGTTTATATTGTGCAGTGAAGGGAGGAAGGTGCTAGAAGCTCTACGAGTACGATTCGAGATGGTTACGTGTCTTCGTCTTTGTTGCGCAACAAATTGAATACGTAGCACTCTATAGTATCAGATATAAATCATGAGGTCCTCTTTCTTCCACTAGTTCTATTAATTCACGTAATCTTGTGCTACTGCTAATTTAAATGTTTATAGTAAATGCACATTTAGTCAAAGCTATGGCACAAATGGTTCCTTATTAATTCATGCACCTCGTTGCTTCTTCTTTGTTTATTTTCATTTTTGGGCCCTAAACGGTCCTCTTCTCTGGCCCAATTCCAAAACTGGACCAGCCCCCTGTCAATAAACTAGCCTAACCACCGTAGATCACACGCATCGTTTCTCTTGCCACACTTGTTCACTGTTGTTGCTTGCATGTTGCACACTCGTTGCTTTCTTCGGAAGTTATGTTTCAAATATCTCATTTTTTTATAATTTTTATATATATTGTTTAGAGACTTTAAATCAATAATTTATATGTAGGTTTATATTCATTAACATGAAGGCAAATTCGTTGACCTATTTAAAAGACTTCATTATAAAGACCAGTTCTACCCAGAGCGCGTGTCAAACAATCGCTATTATTTTGTCGTTTACTTGCTTATCATTATGTAGTTATTAATTCGTTATTTTCATTTCAATGACTTGTCAAACGACTGTTATGCCAAAATTGAAAAATAAAAACGCGTCACTAATACCTGTGTCGTTCATTTAATTATTATCACATCGTTATTAATTCATTGAAAGCTTCCCAACAAGTGTTATGCCAATTGAGAACAATTTGCTTTAAATTGTTTTTTATTTATTTATTAATAGATGCTTTAAGAATCTCGATTATAACTTGTTATTAATATTTGCTATAAAAATAGTTTATTTATTAAAACTAATAAAAATATCTATATATCCTAAATATATATTATAATTAAATAAATATTTATAATATTGCGATTAAATTGGTAAATTATATTTTATATAAACAAATAAATTTAAATAATTCTAAAATTTGTTACTTCTTATGCATATATACATATAAATTATTAAATAAATTAATAATTTATTTTTTATATTTTAAATATAGCAAATTTATATACTTTTTATATAATATCTTCTTTTAAAAGTAGTAAAAATATCATTGCAAAGACATGTGAAAAGATATAGCGCATTTTATATTTACTTACATTAGTAATGAATGAATGTTCCTTTAATATAATTTTCATAATAAAAAAATTATATACAAATTAAATAATTAGTATATAAACAAGTGTTTTAATTCTTATAATTAGAAAATAATTAACTGCCAATTTTATAAAAAAATATAAACAGTGATAATTGATAAAAATATATTTTTAAAATTAAGTTAAAATAGATTAAAAACTATATGACTAGTGTGTTTTGGGTCTTTAAACTCTGTTTATTAGAAAAAAAAAACATGTTATTTGGTATTTTTCAAGTCAAATATAATAAAATAAATAAGTACAATTTTTAGATAAAAAACACAGTGATAATTTATTTAAATGAAATTATTAACAGATATATCTTTTATTGCAGTAGGGTAAATTAAAAATCGTTATCCTACAATTTGGCAAATTGCACAAATTAAAGTAGCACGGGATGTATTGATGGGAGTGGGCCGCACAATGCATGGAATATCTGTTTGTTTTTTATTAAAAAATAATAACATTTTGTTGATGTCATAATTGTTAATTTTTTATTGAACTTTATTGAATACTTTAGATTTATTTTTTATTATTTAAATTTCTACAGCACATCATTAACAACAACAACAATAAATTTTTAAAAAGGAAATACGTGCACATCTAATATTTATGTTAAATAATACAATTTTACATACTTTCACCATTGATTAAACTTTAACACAAGTTCCAAAAAATTAGTTTAAACATTTTAAGTGTGTTTTGTTTACAAATTTTACAGAATAATAATAAGAGTAATTGTAACGTACTTTTAACACGATTTTATCTTTGAATAAATTATAAACTAGTTAATTTAAACTGTTTAAACAAATATTTTATATAAAATACGTTATTAATATTTTCATAAAAATGTGAAAAAAAGAGTTTGTTAGTTTAGCAGTGTATTATTATTGATTAAAAAATTTTAACAGTGATTTTTAAAACTGAGTTAAAGTAGTTAATAACAATAACTTTTATTAAAAAAGAAATGGTTTATTATACATTTATAATTTTAATATAATAAATATTTATAATAAGAACATTAAATTAAAGTATATTAAAATTAATTTTAAGAATTAAAATTAATAAAATCATTATTATTATCATTGTAAGCGAAAAAAGCGTATTATTGTTTTTCTTTTGGAGGATCGTATTATTGTTATTACGGTGTTAGGTTTGTTTTATTGTTGTGATTCATATTTAGACGATCCCGAGTGGCCATTCCTCTGGGGTCAGTGTCAAATCCTTTTTATCTTTCAACATAGACTGTGTGCCACTTCGTTGTTTGTGGCGTTCACTTGATACATTAACTTCAACTCTCTTCCTCTCCCCCATTTTCTCCCTAATCTGATATGTTGGATTTTGGAGAAGAGCTCACCTTAGATAGTTTCAAGATTCCATGGCTCATATGGATTCAACTTCTCATTTTGCTTCTTCTCTTAGCCCTTTTCTTTTTCTCCTCCATCATTGCTTTAGATCCCTCCCACGATACCGTTCCTTCTTCTGCCTCTTCAACTCAGCATGATTTTCATTCTCAATCACTCCCCAACACCAACCATTCCACTGCTGTGGTCAACCGTCTTCACAACACACGGGTACACCCCATGTTTCTTTAATTTTTTCCCCTTATTCTCGTACCGTTTTGGATTGTCATGCTTCTCGACATATAAAGTTTGTGTCTTGCTTGCTCTAACTTATTTTTTCTTTTATTTTCTATTTTTTTAAAGAAACTAAGGGTGTAGATCTTTTTTGCTAAGGGTAAAGAAAACCCAAAAATTTGGCTTTGTTTGCATAGATTGGTTTTCGTTTTAGGTTGTTTAATGTCTTCTGAGAATTTTGGCTTTGTTTTGTTGTTTGTGGCGTCTGATTTGTGGTTTTAAGGTTAAGGAAATTCGAGGTAGGTAATTAGGTGAAGAAAGTGAATTGACTAAACTCCTTAATATTTTGTTGCAATTTATTTGTTCTTTTTCTTAGATTTATGATAGCCTACCTCTATTTCTTTATTTGGTAAACACTAACCAAAGAGAGACAGAGAGAGAGAACTTTCGCTCCCTTTCCTTTATGAATTTATCGTAGGCCGTATTTAATTTATTTCCATCTCATTTCCTCCTTCAAAATCTTGTCATATGCAAAACTGGGCTATACCCATATTCTAGATTGTTGACCTTTTGGTTACCGTATATTCATGTATATTGTAAAGGGTTGAAAAAATTACTCGAAGCCATTAGCCAAAGCATTCCTTGATCTCTTTTGTTTTCCAATGTAAGTTGTAATCCCGTCTAACAATACTACAGTTTTTTCCCACTGTTTTTCCATTTGATTTCTAGTTTCCATATTTGACCTTTCTTTTTTATTTATCCTTAGTATAAAACTCTAAATGATACTGTCTTTTTAATCTAAGGGCCTGAAAGGTTTCCATTCCAATTTACTGAATAATCACGTCATTTGTTGGTCAGTGTGGCTGGAAATTCGACTCGACAGTTTAACTAATAAATCCAAAATTACAAGTAATAAATAGCCTCTCTGTATTCAGTACGTTGTTGCCATAATTTTTGGAGTCTTAATTTTGATTTTTCCCCTCAATTTGGCTAAGTATTTGTTATTTTTTAAAAGTTTGGATCTTGCTGATCAGAAAAAAAACATTTTTAAGCGATAATTTCGGCATGCAATTTAATATTGGTATGGTGCTGATATCTTGTTGATGATGTTGAATCTAAAATAACTAAGTCAGTTTTCCTGTGTACATATTAATTTACAGTTGGGTCGGGGGGTTGAGTTGAAGTGGGCTGATATCTTGTTGATGATGTTGAATCTAAAATAACTAAGTCATTTTCCCTGTATACATATTAATTTACAGTTAGGTTGGTGGTTGAGTTGAAGTGAGCTGTGAGAAAAATATGAACACATGTAATTATGTTATTATCTAATGTGTGTGAAAATGTGGGTCCTGTTTTGCAGGTATTTGTTAAGAAAATTAGTAATTGGGAAGAGTTTATTAAAATTCATGGGGGGGGTTACATTAGAAATCACGGTTAAAGTGTGTTTAGAACTATTTTTTATAAACTTTTTAATCTTTTGATTCTTTGACGAGCCTAAAATTACTTGTTAGCGTTCTCTTATATAATATTAACTGACCTTGCTTTAGAAGTTGAAAACTTTTCTTTTTTGTTATAGATATATATATATATGTGTGTGTGTATTTATAGGCAAAAACTGAGGATTACTGTTGAATTCTAAGTGGGCAAGTATGAAATCCTAAATCCAACAAGAGGTAGAAAACCCATGTCCATTTGTCATTGAACATTTTTTTGTTGTTAGAAAAACATGATAAAATCATTCTCACTGAACAACACAAAATCATATATGCATGTTAATTAGCTCATTGATGGGGCATATGCACTGACTGAAAGCATTTTTGGCAGGGGGCAGAGAACGTAAGTGTTAAAGGGGAGATAGTATCAATTGCAAGCACAGGAATAGTGAGTGAAGAGATTGCAGAAAGGGAGGGTTCCTCACTTTATTTCCTCCACCCTTGTTATTATTTAAAATTAGCTAGAGTAGCATTTCTCAAATGTTTAGGGCTCGATTCTTCATCTGAATTTGATAATCCTTCATCCCAAAAGCATAGGAAAACAAAAGAAAGCTGATTATCAAAACTATGTTCTCCTCATTTATGACAAAAGGATATTATCTCAGCAGTTTTCTTATTTTTCTTTTATTGGGTCCCACTTTCGCATCATTTGGTCTCAGAAGGAAGCTTCCCTTTTTATGGGCAATGATTCTTTCATTATCTAACCAACAGAATGGATAAGCAAAATTGTAGGAGGATTTTTTTTTTTCACGTGACAATTTTCTTTTTCAAATATTTATACATGGAACACTAAAAATAATCTTTAATGTTTTTATACAATTTTTTTATGATTGGGAATTAATATTTGGTTTTTTATTTGGTTTTTTAAGCAAAATTGGCCTTTTTTATTTGGTTTTTTAAGGTTTTTTTTTCTTTTTTTGTATAGAAAGTTTTTATGTTTCATTTGAGTTTTTAGTTTTTTTATTGCCATTATGAAAATCTTTATAATTAAATTGTATTAAAATATACTCAAAATAAAAAAAATTCAATAATTAATTTTGGTCTTCAATTTTAATATATAAATTTTTTTTTTATATTAGTATAAGTGTAAAAATTTTAACATTTAATCTAAATTTTTTATATAATAATTTAATAAATTATAACTTGTTAGATATAAGTTAAAAGAATGATTTATATAATGGTTTAATAAATACTATAAAAACATTTTGACTTAAAAATATCAACTAAAAATAAAAAATATTTAAATAAATAAATAAATAGTTTATAGTAAAAACAAATCTAATTTGGTTTCTGCACAATTATTTTTTAAACTAATTTTTTATTAGTTTTTTTAGTATGAAATTACTTAGAAGTGTTTTACATATATTTGGCATATCAAATGTTAAATATTATTAATCAATTTCTATGTAAAGTTATGAAACACTCACTTTAAATGACTTGAAATATTTTAGTTTATTCTCTTTGGAAAAATATATAAAATTTTAATTTTAATTCACCACCTGGCCACTATAGAAAAAAAATGGTTTGAATTAGTATAATCCAATTTTCTTTTTGTTTGATTATTTTCAAATAGAGTAATAAAAAATAATTAATTGAGATGACCAAGTCCAAAATTATAAAAGTTTAAATATTTAAATATATTTTAAAAATACATGATGTATACTTTTATTCAAATAATGATATAACTTTTTTTTTTCATACATGCATGAATGATTTAAAATGTTTTAACTGTCAGGTATAGAAAAATGTAAACTAGACATAATGACCAATGAGAGAAATATTTGGATATTAATAAACGGTTACTTGTTCTTATAAAAAATAAATCAAATTCATTTATTATTACATTTTTTGGATTAAACATTTATTATATTAAAAACAACAATTTAAGCTAAAACATGCAATTATGATAGAGAAAATATAATTATTATAATAAGATGTTCAATAGTTTTATATTCGTTTTTTTAATAAATAAAATAACTTTAACAAAAAATAAAGTTTAAATAAAAAATTGAATTCAACAAATTACGTAAACTAGGAAGGCAAGTAGACCTTTATCAAGTTCATCACGCAATATACTGTGTTGTCCTTTGTCTATATTCATTTTAAATTTGATACTTAAAACCAAAACCAAATAGTGTAATACAACTATTTAATAAAAAAAATAAACATTTCATAAATTAAAGCGACCGAAACCTTTTTTAATAAAAATATATATTTCAGTGAATACTTAAATAAAAAATTCTACCTTGTTATATCTATAACACTGCCTTAATTCTATCTGCAGTGATGGAGAAACAAAATGAAGAGAGAAAAATTTTAAAAAAGGAACAAATCTAAAATTTTATTTTAAAAGTCAATATTTAAAAATATTATTATTTATTTATCTTTATTTTCTTTCCTATAAACTAAGTGAATTACTTAACTAATAAATTTTTGGTAAATAACTAATTTTGAATTGTGTGGTAAGTTGGACCCCTAAAAAAACAAAAACAAAAACATTTGGATGTACCAATTAACTTTTAAGACCATAAATATTTGTTTTTGGTAATTATTTAAAAGGTTTTTTTTGAAAAAAAAACTCTCATGAATCATATTGCAATATTTGTATCTACAAATTAAAATACATTAATAATATATACCTTTTTGGTATAGATTCTGATATCGATAAAAATGATTAGTAATTGTGATAATTATTTAAAAATATACTTTTTAAAATAAAAAATGTAGCATTAAAATGAATTGGTAAATGTTTAAGCGTGGTAATGATTGATTACATAAAATGAATACGAAATCCAACGAAAGGTGATAATTAAACTGTTTAAAGATTGGACAAGAGCCGCGTCGTTCTCACGCCTTAAACCCTCCCAATAAAATCAAAAAGTAATTTATTTAATAAATTTTCTGTAAAATTGCGTTTAAAAAAGTCTCTGGCGATTTGAATCCGGATCCAGCGCCTTCTATTCAATTCACGCTCAAACCCAAACCCTATTTTTCTCTCTCTGTGCTCATTCTTCCCTGTTTGGTATCTGGCCATATATTCTGCGTTGTCTGAGCGACCAAAATGAGGAAAGGAACTAAGAGGAAGGCAAAGCAGGAACAAGAACCCAAACAAGACGCTACAGCATCGTCATCCCAAGAAAACAAGACCAAAGCACCTTCTCGAGCTAAACGCGCCAGAACTTCCAAGCCTCAATCCGAACCTGAGTACTTCGAAGATAAGCGCAACTTGGTAATTACTTACTTTAACTTTGCGCCGAACGAAGAAGTTGTCAAGAATAATGGAATCCAACCTTTTATTTATTGAGGAGAAACGAACCTCACTGAATGGTTGATTCTTTGTTTTTTCACTTTCCTTTTGCTTTCTTTTAGCCATACTTGGAAGTCGCTGTAATAACTACCTGTTTTTTTCTTCTTTTTTGTGTGGTTTTACTGATAGAAGATGTCTTTGTGAATTTGGATTGTGTAGGAAGACTTGTGGAAGGAAACGTTCCCTGTTGGAACTGAGGTTTGTTCAAATTTTTTAATTTTTAATGAGTGATGTTTTTGCTTTTTTTCTTTTTCCTTACTGCTTTGTGTTGTAATGCCAGTGGGACCAGTTGGACTCGGTCTATCAATTCAAGTGGGATTTCTCTAATCTAGAAGTGAGTAATGCGGGCTGCTTAGGTTTTCGTTGGTGATCTGTGTTTGAGTGAAGTTAACTGCTTCATTTGATGACGTTGTGATTTGCGTGCTGTTTGTGTTTTCAGAAAGCGTTCGAAGAGGGTGGTGTTTTGTACGATAAAAAGGTTTACCTCTTTGGTTGCACTGAGCGTAAGTAGCTTGGGAACTTTATTTTTTCTGATCATTTTGTAGGCTTCTGATTTGCTTGGTATTGGTAGCGGTTTTATCCTTATTTGTTCGTTCATCTTACAATTATCTTATCCGTCTTGTTGTGGGCAGCTCAACTAGTCATGTTTAAAGGGGAGAGCAAAGTTGTCTGCATACCTGTTGTAGTAGCAGTAAGTTGTTGAACTGTGATCTTGCAAATGTGCAATAATAATATGTTCCTTCTAGCTGTGACTTGTGTGTCTCTTATTGTGGAACATGGTTTGTGAGTATCAATTTAGATTAGAAACACATGTTGTGGGTATCAATTTTGATGGTTTGAATTTTATGTGACTTTAATTTTAAGAGTGTTGCAACGTCCTATGTCACACAGGTTGTATCACCTTTCCCACCATCTGATAAAATTGGGATTAACTCGGTTCAAAGAGAGGCTGAAGAGATAATTCCCATGAAACAAATGAAAATGGACTGGGTTCCATATATTCCTCTGGAGGACAGGTATTCATCCCAATTTATTTATTTGTTTTTGGTGGTTCCTTTGGAATCTATATGAAACATTCATATGATTTTATGTCTTCAACAGAGATAGCCAGGTTGATAGACTGAAGTCTCAAATATTTATCTTGAGTTGCACCCAAAGAAGGTATACCTTGTTTTTTTCCCTTGCATTTGCAATTTGGTATGCTATATCAAGTTTTAGACCTTCTGAATGGGTTGTTTCTGGAGGAATATATATACCTTCATGAATAATATTGTTATTCCGCTTTTGTCTGCTATCCAGTTATTTTTATTGTCATCATTTTTCACTTTTTAAGGTAATTTTATAGTCAATATGTCTCATTAAATTTTGTTTGGTAGTTGCATCATATCCTTCTCCTGCATTTAGCCACAAAAACAATCCATAGCTTTTTATAGTTCTTCAACTGTGTGCATATTTTTCTGTTTTACCCTCCAGTACATGACTTGTTTAAGTATTCTGCGAATGTAAAATTTGAAAATTGTTTTCATTATCCTTGTGTGTTCCATTTGCCATGGTTTTCAGTCCACAATGCAGAAATTTGCTGAACCTCCCAAATTCTGCAACATTTAAATTATAGTTAATTTTTTAAATTTTATCACCTGTACTGTTTCCTTTGCTTAGTAGCATCTGGAATATCTGGTTCTTATAGATGAGTTTGTGGGTCTATAAAAACTTAAAATAGGTGTTTTTGGTAAAACTGAGTATTTGGCAGATTATTTTGTATATGCAACTTGATGAATTCACCCTTCACTGCAGTTGTTGGCATTTGCATGTAAAGATTTTTGTTAATGTACAATTGACCAGTTGATCTGATGTAGCGCATTTATGAACATGACTCATCTTATCTGCCCTGGTTCAGGTCTGCTTTGAAACACCTGAAGTTGGATAGATTAAAGAAATATGAGTACTGCTTGCCTTGTAAGTTTTCTGACTTTGACATATTATAATTGCTCTCATGAATTGGTATATGTTTATTAGTTCTTTCTAATAGAGGGCAGAAGATAATGAATTTGATTAAATTAAAAATGGGAATGATGGAGACTTATGGACAGTGCTATTTTTCAGTTGATCAATTTGGTGCTTCATTTTGTTTAATGCATAACAGTTCATCATCAGTTATTGTTAATGTTCTTATTAAGATAGTTGTTTATGACTTCTATTCTTTCTGCAGATTTCTATCAGCCATTTAAGGAAGATGAACTTGAACAGAGCACTGAAGTTCAAATAATATTCCCAGCTGAGCCAAAGCCGGTAATTATGAAATTTTCCTAGTTTGGATTGTTTGGGTTTGCTTTTTTTTTTCTTTCCTAATTGTTTGCATGATGAATATTCTGGATAATTTGTTGTTAACGAGATGGGCAGGTTAGTGCCATAATTGGTTTTCTAATTCTATATGTATACTTGCTTGTTGCAGGTCTTCTGTGAATTTGATTGGGAATTAGATGAACTTGAGGTAAGTTAACGTTTTGGTGCCTATGGTTTAGAATATTTCAGATTTAGCCAGCTAGCAGTTGCAATTAGAAAATGCAGTTATCATTTTACAACTCACAATCCTATAATAGTCAATTTTGTGAAAGCAACAAATCATGCAGCTTGACATTATTCTGCTGGAAATTTAAGGTTTCTTCTGTTTGGCATTTTGCAATTACTGTTGCTGACTCTAAATGGCTGCATGTTGCTGACTCTAAAGTCTTTCATTTGCTATTGTTTGTATGTGTTTTACGGTTTCTCCACCTTGTTGCCCTCTTAATAAAGGGTGGAATTAACAATTATAGGGCATCAAAAAACAATGAAAAAAGTTCTGACATTCACTTATTCTATATTCTGCAGGAATTTACTGATAAGCTTATACAGGAGGAGGAGTTATCTGAAGAACAAAAGGATGCCTTCAAGGTATCATATAATAGAAAATACCAATTGATCCATAATTTCCATACCCTTTAAGCAATAAAATAGGCTAATTTTTTTTTTAACATTTTTTTAGGACTTTATCAAGGAAAAGGTTCGGGAAGCAAAAAAAGCTAATAGAGAGGTATTTTTGGTGTTGTTTGTTCTGCACATAATGTGTTGCTTTCTGCTTTTTTTTTACCTAATTTGTGTCATGTAGGCAAGGGAAGCTCGGAAAAAAGCCATTGAGGAAATGAGTGAGGAAACTAAAGCTGCATTTGAGAATATGAGATTTTATAAGTTCTACCCTGTGCAATCTCCGGATGCACCTGATGTATCAAATGTTAAGGTAGGTGTTTGGGCGTTATGATGTACAACTTTTTTCCTGTCTTTTTGATAAAAAGAGAAATTGATTTAGGACTAAGACGATATGAAATAGTAAGGAGTATAAGATGTCCTTATAATATACAGAAAATAAAAACTATAGAGAACAAAAAAATAAATATTGATGAAACAAGGCTAGTAGGCTACCCAATCCCTCAGCATATCATGGCAGAAACTACTTTAGAAAGACCACATGTTTTACACCAAAATATAAGCTGATTGCCTTATCTTATTTTTAAGTAGCTGCTCTATATTACTTTCTTCAGTTTTGATTTCTGCTGCTAACGTCTGAATTTGGCCTTGTGGTGTCTCCTTACACTGTTTATTTGCAATTCCTTTAAGGACAAAACTGAAGTACTATAAGTGCTTTTGCTGCTGTTCTTCAATTGAGATTTACCTCAATAATGTGTCTGCTTTTAATATTTACTTTTATTGCGTGGATTACTGAAGTAAGACTCCAATCTTAATTGAAAAAAGGCCCAAAAATACACAGAGTATCACGCTTGAGTTTTGTCCTTCCTTTGATGTAACATTTAATACTTGTAATACATTTTGAGAATGGCAGGTGTGTTAAGTGTGTCTGTACAGATACATGTGTCTACTTGAAAGCACTGATGGAAATAGATATTCAATTTCTAATTTCATCTTTAGATTGTGGAAGTGAAGGGTCAATGAGAAAACATGCTATACTTTTTAAAAAAAAATAAAATCAACTAGCTATTCCAAATTAGGTTTATGAAATTGTTGAACTACTAGCCACTGCAGATTCGGTGGCCCCCCTCTCCTTCACTTCAACCTGCTTCACATTGACTTTATATTACTTCTTACAATTTATTGGAGCGAAAAGAAAGTGAGCATGTGAACATCTTTATGTCTGTAACCATTTTCTTCCGGGAATGCATGTCCCTTTTAATTGGCTGGATTGTGCTTAATTCAGCCATCCAATTTCTTAAAACAATTTAGTCTCATACGGGAAGGAAAAATGCTCTTTGAGCTTTTAAGGCATGTCATTTAGAAAAAAAATTAACCAAGCAAGCTTACCTGTATGATCATGATGGCTCTACTAACAAAAGTTCAGAAGTTGAGACAAATGTTAAAAATAGTGGCATGACTGCCGAGGATAGAAAGTCCAAGCTAATGAGGAAATAAGCAAGGAATGCAAATCAGAAAGAAAATAACTTCACAGCAAAACGGTCTTGAAAGCATGTTCATGTAAAGAACATATGTTTGGATGAATATATCCATTTAATTACATAAAAGGAAGCCAATTCATGGCAGGATGGCTGCTGATATTGAAGATATTATATTTGTTCGGTTGAATTTCTAGTTTACATTCAGAATGCATTTTCTTTTTACCTATAATTTACAGAGTATCATTCTGTGTCTGCAGTCTCCATTCATAAACAGATATTACGGAAAGGCTCATGAGGTTCTGTGATTGGCTTCAAGACAGTAATGGCAATTTTCCTGGCTTCCTTTGCCTAACACAACAGATGTTTTGTTTTATATGAAGTTGAGGATGCAACCCCCTTGTGCCCCATCAAATTTTCTTTGCCAGTGTAGTTGTCTAAAGCGACATGAAATGTATAACTGTAGATCAGAAATCCTAGAGAAGTGAACTAGGTGTTGAGAAGAATTGAGACATGTTCCTGGCTTCCATTTTGATGAGAAATTTCTGAGCTTCTGGAGCTGCAATTTGCGTGGTTCTTGCATGTCTTGGTTTTCTCTAGATTATTCTTTTCCCATTAAAATTAGATGTATGACAGTTTTGGTTAGAAGCTAAATGAAGAAATAAATTCTTTATTGTTTCGTTTAAAGTAGCTCAGCTCTGAATATGCTGTTGTTGTTATAATATTGAACTTTGTATTTTCCAGTGGAAAGGCAATTTGATACTTGAATTAGGTAAGTTAATAATTCCAATATGCTAATAATGTTGGTATCAATTTTAAGGATTGGATTTCATTACATCGATTTCTTGTTCTTTGAGCGTTTATTTCCTGCTTGCCATCCAGATCAAATTGGTTGCTCTGAAGTGTTAAGCCTTATATCTTTGGACGTTTTAACTATGTTTTTGCACTTCCTGCTGATGTGTGGGAATGGAATTATTACAAAGGAAAAAAAATGTTTTGCCTTAGCGGAGGTTCACAACGTATAAGCAAACACGCTCTTAATTTATACAGCTTCATCGGAAGCTTCAATTATAGGAAGAGCACTTGTGTTACGGAATAGAATACATAAAGCTATTCATTTTGAATGAATGAAACATTCCCAGATTAGGGATATGGCAGAAATCAATTATCGTCTTCCCATTGGAAGAGATCTCCTAATTTTGGCATGTTCTTATCCGAATCTGTTTCTTTCCACCGTCACTAGAAAAATGTAACACTTTTTTCAAATATACTATTAGTTATGAATTAAAATTTATTATTATTATTTTTATGCTTTTATAGTGTTGATTAAATTAATGAATGACTATAAGTCTGGTAAAAGAAAGTACGTTATAATCACTGTGTTAGGTTGCTATTTACACCGTTGGATAGCTTTAAGTAAAACTTGTCTAACGCATCCTCCATGGAACAATTTTTACTTGATGTTCGTATAACAAGCTCCAATTTTTATAACTGCAGTCCACAATTGATTATTTAAGTTAGTAATTAACATTTTCAGTTAATTACTTACTGACTTTATCCTTATTTTATGACATTGAGAATTCATTATTAATAACTGGTATTTACAATATTTCACATTGTCTCTTTATATTTTTTATTCATCTCATACTATTGCTTAAATTTAGTCAATCAAAATTATTATTTTTAAAAATTTTCACACACATATTAAATTTAAAAACACAAAAATATTATGTCTTTGTTCAAATAATTTATTTCTATCTAATAAAATAGAGTCCAATAAAACATCCTTATCATATTTTAATATTTTTAGAATACACAGTTTTATCACTATTCAACGGTGATATTTTCATTTCATACATATTTTAAATTTACTTAAATTTTCGAATATACGTGACGGTAAATTTCTTTTTTATCGAACTACACTTAAGTACAGTACTAGAGATTTTCTTTATGTTATTTATCAAATAAAATTAGAAATTCACTTTGATGAAAAGTCTTAGTCACACATTATCAAGATATACTCTAGTTTTGATTAAAAAAACACCAAAAGAACTACACTTAAATTTTTTTTTAAACAAAAATAAAATTTAAATATTTTATAAATAGTCAAAGCAATCTCTTAGAGACAACGGGACACGAAACTCATCATTTGTCTCATGGCATGTTGGTGGAACTGTGCTTTAAATGTGGATGAAGATAAATCATAATGGGTGGTTCTGGTATAAATTCGATTATGGGAAGGAAAAGTGATTGCACCTTAATTCAATTATCAACACCAACAACGGCTTAAGATAGAAATGTCTACTTTTCATAATGCTTTAGTGACTATAGAATAATTTGTGGAAAATACATAATTGAAAAAGTAAAATCGTATTAGTGGAATTGTCTTTGAATATCCTCTGAATATGAATGGCAATTGAGAAGACCAAATTGTTAGAACTTTCCTAAGACAAACTATCTTATTGTCTTTTGTGTAAAACATAAAATACTCCTAGTTTTGATAAAAGTGTCCCAAAGTTTTGCTTTCAAAAGGCTTCCTGAATAGTATTTTAAAGAAAAATATATAATTAAATAAATATCCAGTGCTTTTTGTTTTAAATTGATTTTTATATAAATATATTCTTTGATAAATAATACTTTGAAGGAGCAACTCTTAGTATAACACTATTGTGGTATTAATAATTTTATTAATTTAAAGCTTTGTGTACTAAAACCATGTAATAATAGATTGAAATAAAATTTACTGTGCTTTGACTTCATGAAATTAGAATGACAAAACGGGTCAAATGTCAACCAATTTAATTACCCAAATTAATGGATTACGTTGTGTTTTGTTTTTAAGTAGATTATTTGAATCGATTTTGTATAACCTGTGACTTATGTAGCTTGAAGCATCTTGACTTGTTAAATCACTTTTTTTTTTCAGAATTTAAGTTACCATTTTCATTCAATTTTAGGTTGTGTTAGGTATATCGGTCAACATGTAAGTTGGAGCATAACCTGTATTTTTTATTCATGTTTTAAAACAATTGAGTTGACGTATTAAGCTATAAACGAGTTAAGCAAACCTTTTAACCTATTTTTTAAAATAAATTAAATTATCTTATTGTATTGTTGAGAAATGTTGATTAAATAAAGCATCGTTTCTTGCTCAGAATGACAAATGAAATTGCTTAGAACAAAGCAAAATTATAACTAAATCACTTTTTTTATCAAACATGTTTTAGTAAAACTTTATAATTATAAATAATTAATAATTTGAATTATACTCCTAAATAATAAATTTTTATTAATTACGCTTTGACGAAATTTTATAACTAAAAATAAATTTTAAATTTTTACATCATACAACTAAATAGTAAAATTGCATTTGACGTTAGAATCACAGTTTCATGTTTTGTTTCTTTATAGTTTATACAGCCCAAAAATAAAATTTAGGATTTTAAGCCAACTTCATTTGTGAAAGAAAATCAAAATTTTTATTTCAATTCCAATTCTAATTTCTCCGTCTGAATGAAAATTTTATAAATGAAAATCTTGCCGTGATATGTATGTACGTATGTATCAATATTTAGATTATAATTTACAATACTTAACTAATTTTCCGCTTTCCCATGATTTATTAAGTGAGTAATTAATTTTTCATGAAGAGGTTATTATAGTACAGTTCGTATAAGCCTGTAATGATAAACAAGACTTCTGTATAGAAAGACTTGATTTTATTGATGATAATTAACACATTAAATTATCCCATATAATTTTAAATATCACTTAATTTAGGTTCTAAAATTATTAAATATAAGTCATTTTGATCTTTATTGTCACAAATCAGTGACTAAAATGGCTGTCATTTAATTATTTAAGAGTTAAAATAACAATTATTTGATAGTTTAGAGATTCAATTAAATTTTATAATTTCAAGAATAAATTGTCATTATTTCATAGATTAATTTGATATATTACTCATTATACTAGGAGAGAATATGAAATTAGACTTGATAGCCAGCTAGATGTTTCCATGCTAGACAAGAGAATCTCTCCAAATGCCCAGAAGTTATTCCCATCACTGAAAACATTTCTATTAAACATTTGAAATTGTATCACCCATCCATATGGAGGATGTATAGTTGGAACAGGGACACTGATCAACATGCCTGTTAAAACTTTCCCTTTGTTCGAATGTCTTATATTGTGTATGGCCATTGTTCATAATGGTAAAAAAACGCTTGAATTTTGAGGTTCATATGTGAGGCTTGTTCGCAAGTACTCTGTGAAGTTGCATTATTTTTGAATTGATAGATTATGAGGCATTTGAAAACTTCATACACAACTTTGAAAAAATAACTTATAAATTTTATAATCAAATATACAATATAAGTCTTTATGTAATACAAATTTGTTAAATGAATATTAACAAATCATTTTAGCTTTAATAGAAAATACACGATCTAATAAATATTTATAATTAAGATTTCTTTTTGCAGATATTTTAATTACATTCAACAATTTAAAATGATCATAATTAATACTATTTAACTTTAATACAATCGTAGTTAAGTAAAACAGTACATCACAAATAGGAGCTGAACGTGGATTACATATTTCACCCTTGAAGAACAAGAGTGTTGGTCGTGGATAACTGGAAGCGATTGGCTCAAACAACATGAAGAATATTTGAACTCGATCACCTTTTAGCTTCCTAATCGTCTACCGTACGATCTCATAGATATTCTGGAGAACATTTTGACTCAAACACTATGGAGGAATTATGATAGAGAGATAACTACTAAACAACTCCAAAGCCCAATAAACAGTGTCACATGCAGCAACTAATTAACAATTCAATACTATATCCTCTCTAATTGTATGAAACATATAATTATATTTAAAGTAATTAAACTAATTCGTTCCCTGGTCTAGCCATTAAGCAACGAAAGTTATATCATAATGATAAAAATATTATTTATATTATATATAATATATAATATATAATAGATATATAACTTGAACTTGTTGCTATCATGTCACATCTACCATTCAACCCTATAACGTAGGTGGGGTGGCATCATTCTATTACCACTTGCATCTTGATCACCATTGACCGCACTTTGAGCAATGACCCTGTTCATGGAACTCTCTCTATAACCAGTGATTCCTCCAATCTCAGTGAAACTCTTTGAAGTAGTTACTTGGGGCCCAACAGAGTAGAATCCACCATTGAAAGTGTTGAAATCTCCTTTGGTTGAGACAGAATGAGCCAACTTGTTGATTTCAGCTACCCCATCATTGGGTTGATCTGTTGGAGAGTGATGATCTTCTTGTTTAGCCATAGAACTCTTTTCTCCCTCAGTTTCTCTGTAGTTGTTGAGATAAACCTTCAAGGGTCCAACATAGTTTTCAAAACCAAGTGTTGTCATGGCCCAAAGAAGATCATCACCGTTAATTGTCTTCCTTTTTTCTCTCTGACACTTGTCTGAGGCTTCACCAGTGATGAAGCTTATGAACTCAGACACACATTCTTGGACTGTTTCCTTAGCTTCTTTTGAGATTTTGGCATTGGCTGGAAGTGCCCTTTTCATGATTCTGCTAACGTTGGCTATTGGGAGGAACCTGTCTTGTTCTTTTGAAGAACTGTCTGAGATGTTACCAGATGTGGGACTTCCTACAGGACTGGTTTGGTTTCTCTTCCCTGTCATGATGAAGAGAGAATTTCAATAGAGTAATTGAAGTTGAACAAATATTCTATTTCTACCCTTAATTTCTCTCCCTATGAGTGCAAGTGTAAATGTGCAAGTGATGCTTAGCTTAGGTGCTGCATGCGGCTTTTAATAAGGGAACAAAAGTTGGGGATATATAAAATGGAAAAGCGGAAAGGTGCTTTGATGTGGAATATTAGAAGAAAGCAAAGGGTGATGAAGAAGATCACAAACGATGGTCTTTATATTGGTTAAGAGGACCCGCTTGGTCATATAAAATAAATGTGGTATTCAAATTAAATGAAAACAAGAAAGTAAACAAATAGTACTTTTATTCAATGACCTTGTACAAGTGTGTTTAACTAGACCTTTTTTTAATGTATCAAGCCACATATTGAGAAAATGAACAAATAGATAGGTTCGGCAATGTTGTTTAAATAAATATCATTCTGGAATCTTGTGTCTAACTGGTCATGTGAGAAATTATTATATAGATTAAATCAAATATTGAGGGCCAGAAGAAAAGAGACAGGAAAATTCAAAGTTTAAGTTAGAACTTATTCATGAACATAGTGCACTGGATTAAGTTCAAAGTAGTGTGTCTTTGGGGTTTGGCAAAATATTTCGTATATATCCCATCTTTGTTGAGGTACTTGTGAAAAAGAGAAAATGCTTTCCAGATAGACCAAGATCTACCACAATATCAAAACCTGTCATTGTTTGAAATTGCAAGCTAAATGATGAGAAAATGATTATGGAAAATATTTTACTAGATGACAGCGCAGTTTGGTTAATTGATGTTGGCTTTTAATTGGTTTGGAATTCTTAATCAGACCCCATAACATGAATTATTCGTACTAGTGCATATGTTATTTTTGTACGGTTTTTAAAAAAGGGGCTCAAAAAGATGAGGCACCGGGATATATGCTTTCACTTTGTCATGCTTTTGTGTTGCTTTGTCTCACTGAGATTCTTCTATCACATACATATTATTGCAGGACAGTATCGTCTCAAGGCATCTCAACCCTCAGTCCCCAATTTTCTTCTTTTCAACATGACTATTTCTTGAAACAATGCAATTAATGCACGAATGTTTAGCTAAATTAGGGAAATAAAAGAAAATACTTATATATAAAGAGACCCTTTTGCTTTTGTGTTAATACCCTTATCGAATATGTCTTAAACTGGCTCGGTTCTTTGATCAGTTCCAACCTGTCAAGTCTCACCTGCAGGATTCTGTGGAAAAATATCAGAACCTCACAGTGTGAAGCTATCAAACAGGCTTCTGACACATGGAACCTTTTGAAGCTACAATGTACTAAATATTTATATTGAACCGGCTCTTACGTATTGTCTTAGATTTTTGTTGTTAAGAGCAAGCTGCAAGGTGCACTTGCAAAATTCAATTATTGGATTGGACATGATAAATGATTATGTGCATTATACCATCACAATAGTGTTTATTTTAGTTTGACAAAGTTGGGAAGTTTTTTTTAGTCAATCTCAGAATTATATTAACAACGTACGATGATATGTGATCAAAAGCATAAAATATGATACATATATAGAAAGAGCAAATTTGTCAACATCTGAATTATGATATCCTCCCAACTGCAAATATAACTTATTAATGATATCAAATTAACAATTACGGTTTCTAATGATTAATCAACCCAGCCCTTCATTCTTTTTATTAGATTTTTTAGCATACATGTATACAGCATAATTATGATTGATTATTGTCAAAATTTGGTCTTTCTCCAAGTGAAATGGATTGACAATTTTGGTTACAATTGTTTGACAATGTTTTCATGGGGCGATTTTCAACACTAGCTCATTTCTAGATTCTAATCTAGCTGTTCACCAATTTCTGGTTTCTTATACCATTGCTTCAAATATCTGCTATTCGTTTCTTTTTTGTTTGTATGCTAGCTGTACTTCTCAATCCCTTCCACTAATAACTAGTAAAGTTGTCTATGTAGTGCTCTGCATCATCCAGCTAATAATAGGCACTGGTTTAATTGGAATCATCTTGCATGTAGGTAAGTTAAAGAGATGAATCCAACATCTTTGCCTATTTTAATTTGCAAAATTGAGTTGTTTATGCATTGTTGCTGTGAAACTAATGGTACTTATGGCGAGTTTGGTCAATTGTGTACATTATAAGCTTATGTTTTATTGTGTTCTTTAAGGTTTGAAAATACGTGAAGTGGGATTACATCATGATTGATTAAAATATTCATATTATATATATATATGAATACTCTTCACTTGTGCTTATGCTGGTAGCTGGAGGATTATTGACAAACTGAATAAAACAATTTGAAGATATTATTACTACTCCTATGGTCAATTTGAATAATATATATACCATTTGCAAAACTGCTAGTCAACTTGCCGGCTTTTTGAGAATGCTAGAAAGTCAGATAACATCAAAATCAGAACTCAGAAATATGGCGAAGAAGATTATAAACGTGATGCTGATGAGAGCTTACTACTGTAGCAGGCCATTCATAATAGTCATAAGATTCTATTCTGTTTATCTAATATAGATGAATGAATGAATTACACCAGTCTTCATACTTATATGATGTGATTTTAATTATTTAAATTAAGTTAGATACCTTAAAATTTTATTTAATGATTAATGTAAATATTAAAAAGTATGACGTATTATTATTTTTAATGAATTAACAAAGAAAATTATATATATATATATTTAAATAAAAATAAGAATATAATGAAGTAATTTTTATTCAACTATTATTATTTTATTTATATATATATATTTTAAAAATTATACAAATTTATGATCTATTATATCTATCTTATATTTTTTATTAATTATTAAATAAAAGTTTAGATTAAGAAACTTAATTTAAATAATTGACCTTTGTAAAAACTAAATACAAGTAATTAAAATTAAAATATTGAAATTATATTTAAACTAAAATATATGAAGGTAAAAAAAAAGTGTAATTAAATCTATAAAAAAACACTCTAATGCTTTTGTTTCTTTATTTTCATACACTTCGCTTTTATTAAAACAAAATAGTATGGTGGTACTGGTAGGTAACATGAGCCTTTCTAGACTAGCCTCAACAAGGAAATTATCTATGCTTTAGTCTTAAAGTAGTCATCATTTTTATAAACGCATGCTGGATGCCATCATGATTTTAACATGAACAGATCTTTGCAGTTTGCGTAATTATGCTACAAATATATTATTTTAATAATTGACCGAATATGTAGATCAATAAACTTAACCCTTTGAATAGAATAAATAATAGTAGTAAATATTAAATTTAGACATTATATTATTAGATATAAAATATTTCTTTGATGATTTAAAATTAAAATATTTTTAATTAATAAATTTATAAAAAATCTTAATGTAACTTATTTAATAAATAAATCTAACCTAATCGAAACGTTACATTAGTTAGATCATAAAAGTCAAACTTATTTGAGTTATTTCCATATCCAAAGTAACCTATAGTCTTCATTTTTGTTGGAACACGAAAGTGGGAAATGCGGGTTGGGCTTGGGCGAGAGTGTTAATGTAAGATTGGAGGCCCATTGAACCAAAGTTTCAATCCAAGAAACAAAAAAAAAAAAAAAAAAGCAAAAGATGTTAGCTGACACGTAAGCTTAAAGCGTCCAAATAACTTCCACGCGAGCACAGAGCGTTTGTGGCTGAAGAGGAGTTGGGAAATTCCTCCACCAATCACAATCTCCCGAAACCTTCAAGGCTCATCTTTTCACTGCCACGTGTCCTCTTTATCACCACCCCCCTCTTTTCCTTTTATGTTTCAATTCAACTCTTTCTCTGTCTTTTCTCTTCAACTCTTCTCTTCTTCTTCTTCCTCTCTTCTCACTCTTACACTTCCTCGTTCGAATCGAACTCCCTTCTCTCACGCGCCATGAAAACTAGGGTTTAGCGTTGATCCTCTCTCTCTCTCTCTCTTTCTCTCTCTACACTCATTAAACAATGGCTTCCTCATCTCTACTCTTACTCGAACTCAAATTTCTTGCTCCCAAAATCACTCCCAAACGACGTCGTTCTCTCTCTAGATTTTGCTCTCGCTGTTCCGTTTCTAGGAACTCTAGGTACAATGTTGCTCTTCGCACGCGTGTTCGCGCCGTGAAGGAAGAAGGTGCTTTGATTGAAAGAGTGAACGGTGTCAAATGGAGTGGAAACGGAGCTGCTACAAGTGTTGCCACCGAACGCGGTGGTAATGGCTCCGTTAACAGTGGGTTGGGCGTTAAGAGTGAAAATGGCGATGGAGTTGGGAATGGAGGCTTGGTGAAGTACGTGAACGGCAATGGCGTAGCGGCGGAGGTGGTGGAAAATTCTGAGGAAGCCTCGAAACGGAGGGAGGATGGGAGGAAGAAGAGGTTGGAGGAGATTGGGAAAGAAGACGCGTGGTTTAAACAAAGTGGTGAAGCACAGATTGAGGTATGAATATAATTGTTTCGTGTTTTGGAATCTGGTTATGAAAATTTTGTTGAAGATTTGAATGGGTGAGATGAGTGTGCGATTTTTGGTAGGTGGCGGTTGCGCCTGGAGGTCGTTGGAGCAGATTCAAGACTTACTCGATAATCCAGAGAACGTTGGAAATTTGGGGATTTGTTATAACGTTTATCTTCAAGTCTTGGCTGAATAATCAGAAGTTTTCTTATAGAGGTTTGTTTTTTCTTATCTGTTGATTATATAGTAGATTGTTTGGAAACATGGGTTGATACTACTTAGCTTCAAGCAGCATTTCTTCTTCTTCTTCTTTAACGATGCGAATGAGGTGTTCATGAATCTGCTGAGATCGCGCCATGTGAGTTAGAGTACTTACTTTTGGGGCACTTGTTATCCTTACTGGAAACTAGAATTAGTAATCCTAATACTGATATGATTAAGCGTCATTCTTTACCTGTTTTAGTTCTAATATTATGTTAATTGAGTGACCATTTGAGTTATTGCATTCATAGACCATCCACAAGAGATAGAGAAGTTTACTATTAGCTATGGAAACTGGAAACTAACAGCAATCACTTAAATAGGGAGTGTGAGAACCATATGTTATTTACCATTTTCTTTTCCCCGATCTGGTTCTGGTTCTACCCTCCTGGAAGACTCTACCATTTTGGGTATTTGGTGTATTTATCCTTCCTGATTTCTACGTAAACTTATGTTATAGTCACACTTTGATATAGTGAAACTGCTAGCTTATAAAGCTCAAGAAAAGCATAACTAAATTTGTGATATTTATCAATTTTGTCTGTTTGGAAATCAATTCATAACAAGAAGAAATAAACCTGTTAACATATGAATTCTGAAGTGCTTTTCATTGAATTTTCAGAAATCTCAACAACGTTATTGTTTGTTTTTTATTTGACTCCCTGACACCCAAGATAATATTTACAGGAGGAATAACAGAGGAAAAGAAAACCTTAAGGCGGAGGACCCTTGCCAAGTGGCTGAAAGAGAGCATTCTGAGATTAGGTCCCACATTTATAAAAATTGGCCAGCAATTCTCCACAAGGGTGGACATTCTTCCACAAGAATATGTTGATCAGTTGTCTGAACTTCAGGTTAAATTGGAGTTTTTGACAGAAATTATTATTTCCCTGCATGAGATGTTTTAAACTTGCTTATGTTTTGTTGCCTTTTATTCTAACTTTTTAATTTATGCTATTTATAGTTTCAGAAAAAATAGGAAAATTTCCCTAGCTTTTAGATTTTCTCGTCAATTCTATTTTTATTTGTGATTTGGCTTTCTATTATTGACATTTTATTAGTTGCTTGTATTCTATTATTATCTTCTTTTTGTTTCTCATAGAGTAAATGATTATCAATAATATTTTTACTCTTTTAACATCTTTATGATCTCATGAATTCAAGTCATCTATTTGTTGAAAAGAAAAGAAAATACTTTGGAAATATGTAACAAGTGAATGCCTCTGCCTGTGTGCATTTAATGCTAATATTGTCTGAAAAATTGTTCCTTACATGTAGTCATGAACCCCTATGAGGATATTTGTTCACCAGGCCATTAATCTAAAAATTTAGTAATTAATTTTTGATAATTGAATGCCTATATTTTCTAAGCAATCACATGTAGTTTTCTTGCTTAATTCATTTAGACTTATGCACATTTATGTTGAAATTATTTTCTTGAGAAGTGAATTTTCCTTTTATAAGGTTGGGTAGAGGCTTTGTGATCCATGTATTCTTGAGGTGTTAGTCGTAAATCTTGTTTAGAAAACTAATGGCAAAATAGTCTTGAGCACAAAAGCAAGAGAGACTAAAAGGTTAATCAAGAAGAGAAAAACATATTAAGGTTGTATTTCTTCAAAGCCTAAGTTATCTCATTTTTTTGGTTCAGGATCAAGTTCCTCCATTTCCCTCAGATACTGCAATAGCTATTGTTGAAGAAGAGCTTGGTGCTCCTTTAGTGAGCATCTTTGATCAATTCGATTACGAACCAATAGCTGCTGCAAGTCTTGGTAATCAATGCTTTACTTGACATGTATTTGTAATAGAAAATGTGCAGTCATAGATGGAAACCCAATTAAGTGTGTTGTACCTAGGTTTTAGGTGTAATATCTGATTAGAAGAAAGGAGCACTGAATATCTTTCCCCCAATGCAGGTCAGGTTCATCGAGCAAGATTAAGAGGACAGCAGGTGGTTGTTAAAGTGCAAAGGCCTGGTCTTAAGGATCTTTTTGATATTGATCTTAAAAACCTGAGGGTTAGTGTTACACTTACAGTTCCTTGTGCAAATGTAATATCACTCTTTGATAATTCTATTACTCTCTCCTTAATTTATCATATAATTTTGGGTAAACTTCCAAGATCAACAAATCTTCAAAATTCGAACTTTCTTTTAAATTTTTATTCTGTGCATGAAGGATTTTTAATAATATGACCTCCAGCCATGGAGACTTGCAGCACTGCTTAAAACACTTATAATTGGGATTTTTCACCGTCCAGGTTATTGCTGAATATCTTCAAAAACTTGATCCTAAATCAGATGGTGCAAAGAGGGATTGGGTTGCTATTTATGATGAGTGTGCCTCTGTCTTATATCAGGTGATGGTATTCTAGAATGTTGCTGCATTCTTAGGTTACTTGAGATTAACTGAAGAAAGAATATGTGTGGCTATTCATCATAATGATGCGATCGTGCTGCAGTGAATTCATATATAAAGATTGCATCAGAATGCTACTTGTTTAGAGTTTGATTAGGTTCAGTTGCATTGGATGGTTCAAGAAGCTGGCTCTGCCTCATGGGATTGCATATGGCAAAACCAATGAAGTTTTTTAGATCAAGGGAGATTTTTATAACAAAATTCTAGAACATTTCTGAAGGTTGATTAAGAGGCTCTTTATGCAAATTGCAAACACAGAGGAGATGACTGAGTGTTGCTTGAGTTGTTTTGACATAAGGGAAAAGGTGGCTTACAATTTTACTTGGCTAGGTGATGCAGTCAATTGGCTGATAGGGATTTTTATTTTACAGGTGTAAATATAGTGCTTCAGATGAAAAAGGCATACTTGTTGAGAATTTCATACGTCATAGCTGTTTTCTAAAACCTTGAACAGTATAATTTCTTTACAAGGGTTACAGTCTAGCCAGTGTTAGGGACTCTAGCAAATTTGAAGGGAGGGGGGGGGGGGGGGGAGGGGTTGATTTGTGGATCTTGTTTTTCAGCATGATGTTTGTATTTTTTGGCCCATCCTCAACTTTATCTGATCCTGTTAATGTAAAATTAACAATTTTCAGGAGATTGATTACACCAAGGAAGCTGCTAATGCAGAACTGTTTGCAAATAATTTTAAGAACATGGATTATGTGAAAGTCCCTACAATCTTTTGGGATTATACCACACCACAGGTTTAACCTTCATTTCTCATTGATATATAACAGTTGTACATCTTTTCCATTTTTACTTATGATATCTTTCTTATTTATCCTTATTTTAACGATTTTCCCAATGCAGATTCTGACAATGGAGTATGTTCCAGGGATTAAAATAAACAAAATACAAGCCTTAGATCAACTAGGTGTTGACCGTAAAAGGTTAATGGAGTTTGTTTGTCTTCATGCAAAATTACTGTTGGCATTTGACCTTTAACTTTCGTGCATCTCAACAGCTGATGATGGCATCTAAAATTCAATTTAACACAATTTTCACTTTATTTATCTTCTGCAGGTTAGGGCGATATGCTGTGGAGTCTTACTTGGAACAGATTCTATCACACGGTTTCTTCCATGCTGACCCTGTTTGTTTCTCTCTCTGACTTTTAATGATTCTTTTGGATTGTCTTTCTGTTGCCTCTAGAAGCCTCCCTAGGGTTTTTCACGAGGGCATTAGAAGTAACTTCATTCTCATGATGAGTATTACTGACTGCCAAACAACCAAAACTATGTTAGAAACTATTTGAAATATTGCCCTGCAATGTCCCTTTTCCTTTTTCTGAGAAGAAACTGTGTTAAGTGAGGAATAAGAAATTCTCATAATTTATGATTATCATGAAAGAAGTTTGATGTGATGCTTCTTGTATGTAACAAATATTTACATTGTTCATGCAGCATCCAGGAAATATTGCAGTTGATGATGTCAATGGTGGAAGATTGATCTTTTACGATTTTGGAATGATGGGAAGGTATCTTATTTATCTTTTCTGTATATTTAAAATATGAATTTACAACTCAAGCATTTTATACACGGTGAGATGAATTCCTTTGGTGAGATGAATTCCTTTGCAATTATGATTGCTGTTGCACCTTACAGTATCAGTCCAAATATCCGAGAAGGTTTACTTGAGGCTTTTTATGGAATTTATGAGAAGAATCCAGACAAGGTAGAGTAACTATATCGTGGATGGTGTCTCTATGTCATGAACACTCTTGCATGATATTCTATTCTCATGTTTAAATTACTTACCATACGAAGATTGTGTTCTGTTGTAGGTCCTTCAAGCAATGATTCAAATGGGTGTTCTTGTCCCAACTGGAGACATGACTGCTGTTAGACGAACAGCACAGTTCTTCCTCAACAGGTAGTTTATTAAACCAATATAGTAGGAATATGTAAAAAATAGAGACATCTACAGAAACTTGGTGGTAATATTTCTATAAATCAATATCATTATGTAGCTTGGAAATTATTGATTTCAATACCTGCAGATGTTGCTTAGAACTACTTAAAAATGTTCTTAATAGGAGAATCTAAACCTTTTATTTTGGGAAAGGCAATTTTTTCTCATTGATTGGGATTTGTGCACTGCTGAAGCACTTGGATGTCCTGATTAGTTATGTCAAGAATATAGTGATATTAGGTTGGCTCAAGCAGTAGGGTCAAACTGTGTCAACTCAGTTAAAGTTCTCAAATTTGATTCTTGTTGATCTTTCATTGGTAGGTCATCTTTAAGTACCACTGTGAGCCCTTGTTGAGGCTTATGCTTGACCATGACATAATGCCACCTCCCATCCCTCTAAACCTTCTTTCAACAAAAGAAAAAAAAAAGGATATTTATTTGAAAATCGTTACTGCAAAATTCTGATTAGTTTATATTTTAAGCTTATATTTTCTTATCTCACTAATATTTTATGGTTAGAGTTACATATCTTCTGATTGGTTGTGGTAGCAATCTACTGCATTCTCTGACCTTGAGCTCTTCAATTTTAATTCTTTATATAGTTTTGAAGAGCGTTTGGCTGCACAGAGGAGAGAGAGAGAGATGGCAAAAGCTGAACTTGGATTTAAAAAGCCATTAAGCAAAGAGGAAAAAGTAATGAAGAAGAAAGAACGCTTGGCTGCTATTGGTAAAGCACCTGGTCTAGTTGTGGGTCTTTAGGTTTAGATTATTTGGAAGTATATGCATACATGATACAACAATTAAGTGGGTCATTTACAAAGATGAAAGTTCTAGGGAAGAATATATTGTTTGAGGCTGTTGGCTATGGATTAGTAACTTCTTATTTTATCCAGTAGCTCTCAAGTAGGTGAAAAGCTATGTGCAAATCCATATACTATGTTTTTTGAACTTAAATTGGTTTTCCTAATTGGTTAAAGTGATTTCATCCACGATGGTTGATATGACCTGCAATGCTAGTTTGGTTGGATGGAGTGGATGATCATTTGCATTCCCATTCCCATGTTTGGTTAGGTGACTTAGATCATTGGAATGGGAATTGGTATTCATGTACAATTATGGGAATATGTATTCCATTACAAAAGTGATGGAATCCAATTCCATTTTCCAACGTGTTAAAGTAGGCCCAGCTTGTCTGGCTGACCTGTTCAAGAGCAAGGTCATTTTGAACCAATCTGTTTGTTTTTAAGCTAACAAAAATTATATTAGCCTGGGCCAACATGGGCTCTGCCCATCCCAAAAAATTGGCTGCCTCACATCAGACCAGGCCGAACCTATTTAATCCAAAATATCATAAATTATTTTTTCTTGTATCAATCATAGAATATGAACCTAAAAAAAATGGAATGAAGTAACCATTTCGTGTCTATTCATAGCAAACGAAACATAGGAATAAACATTCACCTTCCATTCATCGTTCCATCAAACAAGACATGATTTAGTTCAATACATTATGCAATCCATTGGCTCATCACTGTAGTTCTCATACTTTAAACAGGTGAGGACTTACTATCCATTGCAGCAGACCAGCCCTTTCGATTTCCTGCTACATTTACATTTGTTGTTAGAGCTTTCTCAGGTGTGTATTAAAAGTTTAATGCATTACTTTGCACATTCTATGCATGACACTGCAAGGTAACTAGTCAATGTTGTTTCTGCAGTATTGGATGGCATTGGAAAGGGCCTTGATCCTCGTTTTGATATTACTGAGATTGCCAGACCGTGAGTCTTGTATTCGTAACTCATAATTTTTTAATTCTTTTTAAACTCTGAAAGTTTTAAATTATACGCATTGGATATCTAACATGACCAGCCTTCTTGTTCCTGTAGTTATGCTCTGGAGTTGCTAAAATTCCGTGAGGCAGGGGTTGAAGTTATCCTAAAGGTTGACTACAAACTTGTTTTGCCATGTTTGAATTCAGTTTAAGTATTATGATTTCCTTTCTCATATTCTTCTACATGTACAGGACTTCAGAAAGAGATGGGACAGACAATCACAAGCATTTTACAACTTATTTAGACAGGCTGATAGGGTGGAAAAGCTTGCGGAAATCATTCAAAGATTGGTCTGTATTTGATTTTTTATTTATAATGAGTTTTTTTTTTTTAATTGTATCTTTTGTTTGTTCTGGATTTCTGGTATTTTATATCACATCTTCCTGCCATTCATTTTTCCACAGGAGCAAGGTGATCTAAAGCTCCGAGTCCGAACTTTGGAATCCGAGAGGGCATTCCAACGTATTGCCACTGTCCAAAAGACACTAGGGAATGTGAGTGAAGCTAGCCTCTAACTTAGTGGAAATATAAGTTTAGTCATTTCTTCGGATTTGGTTTGAGTCTGTTTAGTAAACTGTAAATGTTCATATATTTGTCACTTTTTCGGAGCTATGGCTCTTCAAATTATTATCTAGTATCTTGTTAATTTCTTTCAAGAGATTTTAAGTGAATGATGGACGTGCGGACACTAAGTTCCTTGACAGAAGTATATTCGATGCACGTACTTATTGTAAACCGTGTGCATGATTTTTAGAATCAAGATATATATATATATGACAAAAGACAAGAATAGTTGGCGGTAATGATATGCATATTTATGCGGCCTTTTTTGTCAACTAATAGGCAATAGCTGCTGGGAGCCTGATAAATCTTGCAACAGTTCTGTATCTCAATTCAATTAGGGTAAGCTGTTTCCATTCTACTTGCCTTGCTTTTGGTGATTATCAGTTTAATTAATTGATTGTCTGGTGGTAGTGGTACTTTCTCATTCCTCAGTCGGCATGGCTTTTTTTTCAGGTGCCTGGCACTATAGCTTATGTCTTTTGTGCAATATTTGCTTTTCAAGTTCTCTTTGGCCTTGTGAAGATCAAGAAGCTAGATGAACGGGAAAGGTTGATTACAGGAACTGCATAAGCAACTACTAGGTGAATTTACTAATTTATTTATTTAATTCAGAGTGATATAATGTTAAGATAATATACAAAATATCAATTAGGTAGTCAAAAATATTATTTGGCAAGTTTTTTGACATGGCAATTTCTTTTCCTTGTGGTATTTGTTTTTGCCTTTTGACGTGATGGCTATGGGTTCTTGTTGCGCTAAGACTAAGGGCCTCTCATTCATATGGGTCCTCTGTGCACATCTTACCCGTCCCAAAGACATGATGATGGATGAGGCTGGTGTATTGCACTGCCCTTTTTAAGGCTTATTTTTCTGGCTTCCCTTTTCCCATTGGTTAGACAGCAGCATACATTTGAGCCTCCTCAGATCAGACACCACAATGGTTGGGAACCTTGTGAATTGGGTCACTCTTTTATACAGTTCAGTTCTCAATTTGGAATTAACCTATGGTGTTTGAGACTAAATTTGCAACTTGCATACTTTTAGTTAGACGTGACAATTTTACTCGATGGCATCGCACTAGTCTTAAGCATATTGTGTTCTGATATGTAGCTAATTTTAAGCTCAAATGAGAAAATTTTACTTGATGCATGCCGCGTGTATTTATTTCTTTTGATTGATGTTATGCCATTACAGATTTAGGATGGATATGTAGCTAATATTAAGCTCACGGTTACAAGTCAACCTCCGGAGCATCGAAAGGTTTAGGGGCTGAGAGTAATAGCCAACAACTTGGAAGACATCAGCATATGCAAAAGCTTTATACTGGCAAGCATGCTGGAAGCTTCTGTGTTTCGACTACTTTGCTCAAAGGATCGGCCTGTGAGTTATAGCCAATTGGCGGAACCACATTTTTGTTATTAATATGTACCCATCCTGCCACTGCCCTGCCCCCTCCCTCCTAAAGCATATTCCCAAAGAATAGTTTATTAGTGTTGGTGTAGGGTTTGTTGTTGTAACCACCACCTGGTCTGGTGCAGCTTCCACCTTCCAATAAAATTTGACAGCGGGAAGCTTTGTTTGTAACTACTGCCTTCATAAATTTGTCCAATGAAAATGTAAATGAAAGTATTTGCCATCCATGTTTTGATTAAGTTCCCCATGAAAATACTTATAAAAGTTGCTTAGGAAATTATTATGTAAATCACAAATTATAGTTGATTTCTAGTATTCATTTCTCATTAAAGATTTTTGTATAAATTTTATAGTCAATAAAATAAAAGATGGGATTATGTATAATTAAAATAATATAGCATAATACAAGCACTTAATAATATTATACTTTTTGTTTTTAATATTAATTTTTTAAAATTTATATTAGATGATTTTGTGATATTCTCTTATTCCATCGTTTTTTTTTTTGTTTTCAACACTTCAATTTTTTTTGAAACATAATGTAATATTATTAAATATAATGTTATGATATATATATATATATATATATATATATATATATATGGTATATAATCTATTGTCACCAGGGGTAAATCTAAAAAATTTATATCAAATTTTAATTATATAAATTAATAATTTAACAATTAAAAAATTACTTTTTTTTACTCGTTTGTATTTTATTACTTTAGTAAAATAACAAATAACTTAATTAATAATTTTATTACTCTATATTATATATATAAATAAAAGATTTTTTTACACTAGTTATAATATGTTAGATTTAAATTAAATAAAATATTTAAATTGAGTAGAAAAATTATATAAAAAATATTTTCATATATATATATATATATATATATAATTTTGTATAAAAATAAATCGTTATTTTAAAAATTAAAATGTTATAAACAGTGATATTAAACTAAACAAAGAAGAGGTAAATAATAAGCTTTTTATATAAGTTATCAAAATAATTTACAATTAAATTTGTAAAATAAAGTATCATTTAAAAAATATTAAATAAACCCCAAAGATCAGAACCCAACGAGGCAGAGTGATTCATTGAAGATATAATGATTGTGCAATAGATGAGTAGAAGAGACCTCGATGCATTGTAGCCACTTATCTTCCTTCCCGAGTTCTTCAAAGAGTAAAAAGCAGTTATGAGGATCTTCACGTACTTGTTCAGTGTTTTCACCAAAGGCTCTTTGTCGCTTATCTTGCGCGTGAGATGACGAACCAGCTCCTGGGCTTCCCAATTGTCGCTGCTTTTCTTCCTCTTAGACATGAAATTCGGGTGGGTGAAGCCACGCGCGGATGGTTACCTGCGTAATTTGGAAGTGAAAGAGAAGAACATCAAGCTAAGGATGAAAATGGAAATAGTACCCGTCCCTATACATGCGGTTTAATCATACATGCTTTAAAAAAACAATATTCGGATCTAATTTAGTCTCGTATGAATATTAATCAATCTTCGTATTCGTATCTTTATACTTATCTTATATCCATTAGTTTGAAAAAAAAATTTATAAAAAAAAATATATTTATATAACTTCAGTAGATAATAATATAAAAATTTAATATGTAATTATCAAATAAAATATAAATAAAGAAATATATGTGTATATAAAAAAATTATATTTTTTTATTTGAAGAAAAAATTAACATATAAGAATTAACAATAATTTTTTATATTTTATATATTTTTAAAAATTTATTTGAACATAAATAAATAGTAAAAATAATATTATTTAGATTCAATAAATTATAATTGTACTTGTAACGCACATGTTGTATAGAAAAATATTATTTTAAATTAAAATATAAAAAAATTTAAATATTATCAATAAATAATAAGTTTATAGTAATAATAGGTAATTGTAAAATTTATAAACTATTTATAATATATTTATTATTTATCATTCACTTTATAATTTAAATATCAATACAACTTTATTAAAAAAAATATTTGTGTGAAAAATATTTTATATGTATCATATATAAATAATATTTTTTTAAAAAATCAATCTTATATCAACTATGTAATAATTAAGTTTTATTAACTTAATTAAACGATATAAAATAGTAAATAATTTTTTTATTAAAAATATAAACAAAAATAAATGTTTTGGTTTACTTTATTATTAAATATATTTTTATATTAATTTTATATAATTTTACATAAGTAATATAATAATACAAAATTTAATACATAATTATAAAACAAAGTTAAAGCATATATATAGTTGTACTTATATTCGCAACTATTCTCATTAAAATTTGTGAATTTTTATCTATATCTATATTCATATCTATATAGCAGATACATATTCTACCTATTATATATAAATTTTATGGGTGTGCATGTATACTTTACCCATTATAATACAGAACAAGTAGTGGAAATGCACCAACACATGGATGCCACCGCCACCGCCACCGCCACCGCCAACTCAAACTCAAACACACCCACTCAGCCAGATACCATACCTTCTTCAATCTACACATTCTCTTCCTGGGGCCATCATGGGCTCACAACACTGGCCCTGTTCTTTTCTTTCTCTTGAACTCCAATGCGGAAGCTAAAAAGGCCTCACGGCCCAAACTGTAGGAACAGATCTTGCTCTTGGAGCATCAATTGTTTGACCATATCGTTTTAATCTCCTTCCATTTTTTTTAAACCTGATCAACATTTTGAGAGTGAGCGAAAGCTCTCAAGAGAATGATGTATGTGACAATGTTGGGTTTACAGGGCTGCGTAGCTTTCATCTTCTCAAAGTAGGAAATTGCTTTGGACAAAGCCTTTGTTTTGTCAGAAGAATGAAGGTGGGCAGTGATGACTGCATTATAGACAGAAGTATCTGGACGACAGCCAGTGTTACGCATCTCAGAGAAAAGCCACATAGCCATTCTTATTTGGCCTTTCCTTCCCATAATTGATATAAGTTTAGAGTAAATTCCATTATCAGCAATATACCATCTTTGCTTTTGCATCCATCTGAAAACCTAAACACTGGGCCTGTGCTGTTCCTGGCCCATGAATCATTCTTAGATTGAAAACGAGGAAACAAGTGTTGACCACTCATACTTGAGTTGAGGAGGTTCTTTACTGAATGCACCAACGATGAGAAATGGTTACCCATTTTGGTGTTACTCCATGCATGAACCGTTTTTCAAACTTGACGTGGAACTCCAACATAAGACAGCTTGTGAATCATGGGCATCCCCAAAACGCCCTTCTTCTTTTCCGCCACATGAAGCGAAGTGGCGTTTCCCCCAACAACTCTACCTTTCCCTTCGTAGCAAAAGCCTGTGCCATCCTTTTCAATCTAATAAACTCCCAAATCATCCATGCCCATGTGGTCAAATCTCGGTTCCAATCCAATATTTATGTGCAAACCGCTATGGTTGACATGTACGTTAAATGTGGGCACTTGCAAGATGCATACAACGTGTTTGATGCAATGCCTGTGAGGGACATTGCTTCTTGGAATGCAATGTTGTTGGGTTTTGCTCACTCTGGCTTCCTTACTAAGTTGTCTTGTCTTCTACGTCAGATGAGGCTTTCTGGGATTCATCCGGATTCAGTCACTGTGTTGCTACTTATTGATGCGATTTTGCGTGAGAGAAATCTGGCATTTTTGGGTGCAGTTCATTCTTTTGGGATTCGAATCGGTGTTTGTAATGACGTTTCTGTGGCCAACACTTTGATTGCTGCATATGCCAAGTGTGATGACTTGTTGTCAGCAGAGGCATTGTTTGATGAAATTGAAAGTGATCTTAGGTCTGTTGTTTCGTGGAATTCTATGATTTCAGCGTGTGCGAACTTTGAAAAGCACGTCAAGGCTGTTAATTATTACAAAGGGATGCTAGATTGTGGGTTTTGCCCGGACATTAGCACAATTCTCAATTTGCTTTCGTCTTGTGTGCAATCTAAAGCACTATTTCATGGCTTGCTAATACATCCTCATGGAGTTCAGTTGGGTTGTGATTCCGATGTATGTGTGGTGAATACTCTTATTTGTATGTATTCAAAGTGTGGGGATGTTCATTCTGCAAGATTTTTGTTTGATGGCATGTCTGATAGAACTTGTGTTTCATGGACTGTAATGATTAGCGGGTATGCTGAGAAAGGGTATATGAGTGAGGCATTGACCTTGTTTAATACAATGGAAGCTACTGGTGACAAACCGGATTTGGTTACAGTGCTTGCTTTGATTTCAGGTTGTGGCCAGGCGGGGGCGCTTGAACTTGGAAAATGGATCGACAATTACTCTATTAACAAAGGGTTGAAAGATAATGTTGTAGTTTGTAACGCACTAATTGACATGTATGCCAAGTGTGGAAGTTTTAATGATGCTAAGGAACTTTTCTACACCATGGTTAACAGAACTGTAGTGTCTTGGACAACTATGATTACTGCTTGTGCTTTGAATGGAGATGTTAAAGATGCCCTGAACCTGTTTTACATGATGTTAGACATGGGAATGAAACCAAACCACGTAACATTCCTTGCTGTTCTCCAAGCTAGTGCACATGGAGGTTTACTAGAAAGAGGATTGAAATGCTTCAACATGATGACACAAAAGTATGGCATAAGCCCTGGTATAGACCACTATTCTTGTATGGTTGATCTTCTTGGTCGTAGAGGGCATCTTAGCGAAGCTTTAGAAATTATTGAAAGTATGCCTTTTGAACCTGATGTTGGCATATGGAGTGCGTTGCTCTCTGCTTGCAAACTTCATGGTAAGATGGAAATGGGTAAGTATGTGTCTGAACAACTATTTGAATTGGAGCCTCAGGTGGCAGTTCCATATGTGGAAATGGCAAACATATATGCATCAGCTGAAATGTGGGATGGAGTTGCAGCTATAAGAAGAAAGATGAAACATCTTCAACTGAGGAAATCTCCCGGTGAAAGTATTATTCAAGTGAATGAGAAATCTACTATATTTACTGTTGAGGATAGAGATCACCCTGAAACCTTGTACATTTATAATATGCTAGATGCCTTAACTTCTCATTCTAAAAAAGTATTACTCTCTTATTCAGAGGAGATTTTTGAATGTGAATAGAGTGAAGAGTGAAGCTATTCGCAAAGAAAGGCTGAGATTGGAGAGCTGTGTATAAATACCGATTTGGTGGATTGATTCATTAATGATTGAGAGTTTTTTTATTACCATTTCAAGTAAGCATGCGTTCCTGAGAAAAGGATAAAACAAATGTGTAAGAAGAGACATATCCTGTACATTTATTATACGGAAATTTTTTAGGTATTTAGAAGTAAAAATTTTAGCAAAATTTTATATAAAGAAAGAAAACTTTTAATTTTTTTATTTTTTATAAATTTTGATGTTTGACTTGTAAAGAAGCCAACAATAGTCTGGTTCAAGAAGGACGAAAAATTATAACATACCCCTACTTTTATATTTTATCGGAAATAACTTGTAAATTCATTAGAATTACAAACCGATTGTTAACTTTTAAAAATTTCGATTTCACAATTTAATTAAATTAGGAGAGCTGGTATTTATTACCAAAAAATTAACACAAAAGTTATTAAAAACAGAAGTGTTACCAATTATATTGCAGTTGATAAAAATACACAATTAGATATTAAATAAACAAATGGTTAAAACATTAACTCGTCATTTCATGCATCTTCAAAATTTTTCTAACATTGAACATTAAGCATATATTATCATCCAGCTGGAACACCGCATAAGCTTGTCGTAATCTTCTCTTAAAGAAAACAAAACAAAACAAGATAACAACGAAACTTAGGATGCAACACAGCACTCATCCTCGAATTCATACTTAAGGAATCTCCGTGCCGCTAATTAACCAGACTTACTGATAGAAAATATTGCTCTTTTAATATAAAACAAGTAATATTCGATAAATTCTAACTAAGATTCACCCTTTGCCTAACAAAGGACAGGCCTTAGAAAAATCCGTCAAAATTAATCTTTTCATTCATAAACGAATATAATTCTTACTTAATAAGCAATTTTAATATTTTAAATAAAAATACACTTTTTTCAAAATAAATTATTCCATAAAATCATTCAATTAGTTGCATATAATTTTGAAAATTAAAATAGTCACATATATTTTTAAAATTAAAATTAATTTAAAATTATATGAATTGCATTCTTTTTATGTAATAATTTTATTTTTTCATATTTTTAATTTTAAAGATAAAATTTTTTAGTTAATTTTTTATTAACTTATATAAAATTTCATAAATATTTATATTTATGAAAAATAATTTATTACCTTGTATAAATTTTTTATGAATAATTATTTTTATGTTTATAAAATTTATAATATTTAATTCATTATTTATAACAGTCCTAAAAATGTTTTCAGCAATTACGCATTTTTAATTTTATATAACTTTTTTAATCATGAAATCTACCACTTTCATTAACCTTTTTTTAAAAATCCTATTTTTAAACAATCACTCTCAGATCTTTATTCAGTTAATACCACAAATTTATTTTACACCGATTCCACCAAGAACAAAGTAAAAGTAGAATTTATTTCCTGTAACTCATTCAAATCGACCTCACCAAACATAAAATAAAACGTTGTTATCACATTTCATACACCTAATTAATCCCTTTCATCGTTAAGGCGATAGGTTGGAATAGCAACTAGATTATTGGCTCTACCCACCGTGACACCAAAATGTTCGATCATGTCCAAATCAGTTGGCAAGATTCCATGTGGTAACTTCCAATGAAAACAATGAACAAGTTGAGCCACTACTATCCGAACCAGAGTTAGACCCAATTGCAATCCAGGACACCCTCTTCTTCCAGACCCAAATGGTATCAACTCAAAGTCATGCCCTCTAACATCGATGTTACTTCCCTCAAATCTCTCTGGCCAAAACTTCTCTGCTTCACTCCATGCACTTGGCTCTCTCATAATAGCCCATGCGTTTATTATGATCCTTGATTTCTTAGGTATGAAATATTCTCCAACCATGCAATCTTCCATTGATTGGTGTGGTAACAATAACGGTGACGCCGGATGGATCCTCATGCTTTCCTTAATAACCATGTTCAAATACTCCAACTTCTCTAAGTCTGATTCCTCCACCTTCCTCTTCATACCCACCACACTTTCCAACTCCATTTGCACTTTCTTCATCACCCTTGGATTCTTTATGAGCTCAGATAGTGTCCTCTCAATTGCCGTACCCGTAGTATCTATTGAAGCCGCCAGCATATCCTGTGCACCAATAACAAAATCAAATAAAATGTGTCAAAGCATCATTAAAATCAGTATGAAGCCAACAAGCTTGCAGCTTGCAGCTTGATTGGTTTCTGTCAAACTCTTTGGTACTTGAGTGTGCCATGTTAATGGAGAAGATTTGTTCCTTTGTCTTATAGTCATATGGCAAATGTTATTTTCATATTCTTTTAAATATTGCTTTAAATTTTAAAAAATATATATACTAACTATGTTGTATTGTAAAGTGTTTCAAAATGTATTTTAAAATAGTGTATTGCTAGGAACATTTAAATTATATATATGTTAGGAAAATATTAACTATGTTATTCCTCTTTACCAGCAAAACGGCTTTGATATTGGAGCGTTCAAAACGGTATTCAGATTCTTCAGTACAGCCAACGCCCAACATGACATCCACAAAATCCTTGATCTCGTCTTCTCCTCCCTTATCTGATTGCATGTGCTCATCAATAATTTTGTCAAAGAAGTTGTCAAAGATTTTTCGAACTGCTTTCATGCGCTTTGTTAGCCCTTGAAGGTCAAGTGCACCAATGTAAGGAATGTAATCAGCAAGGTTAGGAATTGCTGCTAAATCCATTACCTCTCGTAGCACAGCCTTGAACCCCTTCCCACCTAAGTCTTGGCCCATGTAATGCTTTCCGAAAACCATTCTACAAGATATGTCAGCACTGAGTGTTGCAACTTTGGCACTGAGATCAACAGCAGTTTCATCATAACTTGCCTCCCTTATAAACTTTATCAATAGGTCAAGTTCCTCTTCCCTCACAGAGCTAAAGGAGTTGGTTTTGGTTTGGCTTAGCAATTCCAATGTGCACATCTTACGCATGTTGCGCCAATAAGAACCATATTCACCAAAGGTTACGTTCTTCCCAAGCAATGTGCTTTGCAGCCTCATGAGGTGGTCTACTTGCAAAGACAAGGTCATGGGTCTTGAGGAATAGTTCAGCAGCTTGGGGTGAAGAAACAACTATGGTGGGCACAAAACCTACTCGCAAGTACATGATAGGTCCATGCTTTTGTGCAAGTTTGTGAAGTTCACAATGAGGATTTGCACCCAACATGTGAAGGTTTCCTAAAATTGGTAACCCTTTTGGACCAGGTGGTAATTTCTTTGTATTCTTCTTGCTTCTCCATAGCCATAGAAAAGTAAGAGAAACTAAAACAATTGCTATCCAAATCATTCTAGCTATTGCAGTGCTATTGCTTAAGTGTATCTCCAATAACAAAAGCAAGTGTGACTTCTAGAAAACCATTGAAGGGTTTATATATAATCTAAAATTTGCAAGTGATGACACCGATGGTTTGATAAAGATGCGTTTTTATCAGTAAATTTGCAAGTGAACCCTTTCTCATAATTATGATATTAATTATTTAAAGTACATTTTTATTATACTAATCGTTATAATTAAAATTTATAATATCAAGTAAGTCTAATAAAATTTTAAAAAAATGTTTTCTCTTCTAATATATGAAGAACTTGCTTGATATGACAATATTTAAAATTTATATTTTTTTTATTTAATAAAATATGATTTTTTAAAGAATCTATTAAATTTTAAAATAATTATATAATATATTTTTAACTATATATTGAAAAAAAAATTTAATCTAATCATACATATGCATGCATAAGAAAATGACAGATTAACTTAGAAATGTTAGGTTTTATTACGGTGCAGTTGGCATATGTTGTCCATGCAAGGCAGGCAATGCCTAACAGCAAGTTCATATGACATGTTCATTTATTTAGGCTGTTGATGATGTTACGTTTGTTTAGGTGAAGGCTAATGTCCTCAAACTTTAGAACTGTTTGATGTATTTTTTATTTTTTATTTTAACTTTCCGTTTTATCTTTTAATTATAAATTTTTCATTTTGTTTTTACTTTTAAAATTTTAAAAAAAATCATAAAAGAACGAAAACATATTTTTTATGTTTTTTATACAAATCATAATAAAAATGAAATAGAATAAAAATAAAATGACAGTTTTATAATTTTAAAAAAATCTAAAAACAACAAACCCTAAATTTTTCTGATCTTGGAGGACCGACCTTTCAATATTTTTTAACTGTTCATTTTTAGTAAACAGTATAAATTGATGTTGCTAATAATATTTTGTCTACCAAATTAGCAAGTTTACATTGCTACAAAACCTATAAATATAGACAAATTTATAAATAGTTTTTTTAATTATTACAGACAGATGTTAGAATTATAAACGGATTTACAAATATTTTTAGTCAGTCTGTAATATGCGCGTCAGTAAATAATTATAGATGAAAAAATTCTTTTGTAATTACAGACAGAAAAATCTGTCTATAAATTACAAATGAACAAATCCGTTTGTGAAATTTTAATTTTTTTTCCATTTTTTTTACAAATATAATTATTCTTTACTGTTTCTAATTATCATAATTTATAAACATAATAAAAACTATAAAATTATATATTTAAAATCAAAAATTATTTATAAAATGTAAAATTAAAATGTCATTACAAATGAAAAAGTAAACATCCAAATAAATAATGTCAAAAATAAAATAATAGTGTATATCACAAATAATTGGTGTGAATTTTTTGAAAGAGCATCCCCATCAGTAGCGGAAGAGTCGAAGGAAGAATGACGCATTGAGCTAAAGATCAGTGATGTTAGAGCTAGTGGAAGAGGTATGTAGCTGCTTGTTCTCATGAGTTCAAAGTATGCATGCATCTGCATATGTTGCTGCTACATCTGCTGTTGCACCACTCTTTGCATCCTCGATACTACATTCTTCTCTATTTTGTTTGTCAACTTCTTCTTTCATGCACTTTTCTTGGTCTTCTACATCTTTTATTTTGTTTATGTAGTTCTTCATTGAAGGCATAAACCTGAGTGCAGACCATATCCTTCACTTCCTCAGGGGACATGGAGTCTGCAAAGCGGTTTCCTATGTTATAAATGTGGCCTTTATAAAGGTTACCCACTGTCTTTGACAATATAGTATCCTCATCAACTGATTCTGGATCTTGAAAAGATGTCTTCTCAAGCCTTTGAACATAGTTATCCTACAGTTCAGTGCAGATACTTATATATTAGTCTCGAGAACTATTTAATAAATCATTAATAATAACATATATTGTCAATAAAGATAACTTACATATGTGGTATGAGATTATGTATCAACCCACAAGGTTTTGTCTCCTTTATGAGTATATGTCTCCTTCAACGTCTCTCCATGTGTAGGTTGTCTTTTCAACTACTTCTCCTACAATTTCAATTAAATTACCATCTCAAATATCAATTATAAATTGAATAAAATAAATTTTAAAAAAAATTAAAAATCACATACCAAGTTTACCTTGGTGCCAGCAAAGTCATAAAACCACCAGTATGCAATAATCTTCCTTTTAAGGATACCCTGTTTGTCTTGTTCTTTATAAAGAGATTTTTAAACTTATCTATACCCTAATACTACTGTAAGGCATGAAGAAAGTTGGGTGCTATCCAATCATCAGATGATGGATCCTGATAAGCCTTAGTGTACATCTGTCTTAGTCGCTTTGTAGTGTGACTTTTCCAAGCCTTGAAAATCATCTTTCATCCTGGGAGGGAATGGAGAAGTTGCTCTACATAAATATAATTTTATTAGAAGAGGTACAAGAAACAATATCTAATTATACTTAGCTGAAATTAATTAATTGTTATTACCTTCCAATCTTTTAACCATTCCATCTTTATATCCTTAGGCACCTTTGCAAAACTTGTGTAAGACGCATCAAACATCTTCTTAATGGTATCTATTACTTGGTGGAGACCCTTATGTGGTGGTATCCAACTTAACACACAATAAAATAATATAATTATTATAACATTCATACTGAATAGAGTTATTAGTCATATTTTAAATTTAACTTAGAAAGTATATCCATCTCATCTTAAACTTATAAACAATCTCGATGATGCCTAGGTCTGTGATGATTGTTGCCCACTTACAGCTGAGACAGCAGTGAATCCCTCACCTATGCTCTGTGTAGAAAGAGGTTGTGTGACATGTGTAGTCGACAGTGTGAAACTCGCTGTACTGGAGGGAGAGGAGCAACATACACAGGGTTGGGCACCATGATAAACTGCTCTTGCCCCCGAGCCTGGGAGGTCTGCACAATAGCTGGTGTGGAGGTGGAAATGAGAGCGGTTGGTGAAGGAGTGTTGTCACGATCAAGATGTTGAGTAACACTTTTCTTACCTTTAACTGTCATATCTAAATCAAATATAATATATGTTTAAAGACCAAATACACAATGTTGTATCAACCTTTTATTTTACATTACACAAATTTCTAATATGAATTTTGGCAGAATTTTTACTAATATATAAATATTTCTTTACATTTGTTTACACTTAATACAACAAATTTTGAATGTAAATTTTGGCAGAATCTCTCCTAATATATGAATATTTCCTTACATTTGTTTATACTTAATACAAAAATCTAAATTTCTTTCACACATAATTTATATATTATATAACAATTTATTAATCAATGCATCAAAAATATACGCATCACAATCCTAAACTGTTCTAGAGCACATCTCCTTGTAACTCCACAACATGCATATTCTACGATCTTCGCAAGCATAAACAACCCCACGACACACAGTAATCAGGTTCGAGAAAGGAACTCCACGCCCATCCTCTCAATCATATAATCTCCAGTCCTACAACTCTATCTTAAAAATTTTAAGTCTCTATTATACATCAAAAATTAAAAAAACCAGCAATACAGTGATGCAAATTAATTTCCAAATGGATACTCCAACCACTCACAAAAGTCAAAAAAACTGATAATGCTAGAGAGAAACAGAGATAGGAAAATGAGAGAAAGAAAAAATAATGGAAAGTGAGAAAAAAGAAAGAATAGGTGCAGTTTTTATAGGTTTCACACATTATAGACGAAAAAATTTGTCTGTAAATGGTTTAATGAAACGGTGCGTTTTAGGAGTTCAATTACAATCAAATTTTTTCATCTGTAAATCTGCCAAAGACCATTATAGAAAAAAAAATCTTTCTGTAAATTGACAAATGAAAAGTCAATAAAAATACTCATTTTTACAAATGGATTTTTTTTGTTTGTAACTCCCACTTTAAAAATTTAGCTAATTTTTAAATTATAGATGAAAAGTTTTATATGTAATTCTATCTATAATTTTTTGCACCAAATAGTAAATTATTATACAGACAAAAAAATCTGTCTGTATTATAGATAAAAAAATCTATTCGTATTACATATAAATTTACTGATTTCTCAAAAAAAAATAAAATTGAATATCCATGTTTAAAATTTGTCTATATAAAATGTGTTTCTGGTAGTGTTAGTAATATAAGTAATACAAAATAATATTTTTATGAGTAAACATTTAAAATAGTTCTAAAAATACGATATGTTTTCTCTTAATATTTGTTTATTTAAACAAATATTTAATTATTCATATTGCAATTATATATATATATATTTTGTTATACTCTAAGAAATAAATAAATATTAGATTAATAATTATTTATGAAATTTTTTTAAATTTATCATGAAAATGTAATAAATATCATTGAATTTTCATATAGATAATATAATTTTAACTTTTTTAAAGTAGTCTATTTTTTAATTTTTTATATGAAATAAATGAATAATTCATTACTACTAAAATTAATTAATTAAATATTATTTTTATATTTTATTTCAAAATATCTACATTAGTAATTGAATTATAGTAGCTTGTATATTAAATGAATAAGTGCATTATTAAATTAAATTTTACAATAAATCGAGAATGTAAAAGAATCGCACCGAATATAACTTAAAAAGATATATACTTTTTAAATTAGAATAAATAATACTCTTTGTTTTTTCTTATAAAAAAATAGAAAGTAGCTAGTATCAAGGCTAATATGTACTGAAAATTTATTCTCTAGTATTTCTTTAATAATATTTTCTCGTGAAACATTAAAATTATGTAAACTCAAAATGTATCTTTTTAATGGTTATCAGTAATACCTTGTGAAAGATTTCAGAAAGACTTGAAACATAAGTCGTTAAAATTGGTTAATTAAGTTTATAAAATTGTAACACTCAATTCTATATTTCTTATTCATATTAACGTAATTATCTAATTTTTAATTAATTTAATTTTAATAGAGTATTTTGATTAATACTTCACTAAATGAGATCGAAGAGAACAAGATAAATTAGAACCCACCCAAAGACTCGTTATTCTCGGCCAATAGTCACAAGCGAAAGATGAAACCATTAGCTACAACTTAGTTTCTACTATTCCTTAAATTACTATATATCAATTAATGGTCCTTTTCAACCCACAGCCAGAATTTGTGGCCAAGATTAAGTGTAAGCCATAAAGGTATCAATTAACATGCAATTTTAGCTTAAGTTTGAGAAACATACACAATGAGTTGTCAAAGCTAACTTGGAATAGGAAAGACATGTGAGAAACTTTAATCAATTGGAGACACATAGCTGCCTTTCTGCCAAGCTAAATTTCGTTGCTTCGTTTTCCAAATTAATCTCGGCAATTGAACTAAAAAGAAAAGGAACATAAGATGCTTAATTTTTTATTGAAGGAGAGTCTTTAACTGGTGTGTGATACATGCTTGCTAATTTTTATTTTAAAAATTCTGATAAAACTTTATTCGACTTTACTTAATATCTACTTGAGTAACTGACATGGCAAAAACTTTATATTGAAAACTTGACTATATTTTGAAATTAACTGTATTGTAAACAAATACATGTATATGAATTATTTAGTTCTTTTTTATGTAAATATTCATTTAAACTTACAAAATGCTTATCTAGTTCCTCTCTTTGACTCTCTCTCGTGTCAACTGGTTCAGGTGCACAACGGACAGGTTAATTTATTTGACATAAATCTTATTAAAATCAACCTAATTATTATAACTTATTTAAGCACAGAGTACACACAAAGTTATTATCACTTATTTATTTTCTCCTAATCCATTTCATCGTGAAGGCGATAGGTTGGAACAGCAACTAAATGATTGGCTCTGGGCATTGCGAGACCAAAATGTTCAGTCATGTCCAAATCATTTGGCAGCATGCCGTGTGGTAGCTTCCAATGAAAACAATGAACAAGTTGGGCCACTACCAAACGAACCACAGTTAGACCCAATTGCAACCCAGGACACCCTCTTCTTCCAGACCCAAATGGTATCAACTGAAAGTCATGCCCTCTAACATCATTGTTACTTCCCTCAAATCTCTCTGGCCAAAACTTCTCTGCCTCGCTCCATGCACTTGGCTCTCTCATAATTGCCCATGCATTTATTATTACCCTTGATTTCTTAGGTATGAAGAATTCTCCAACCATGCAATCTTCCATTGATTGGCGTGGTATCAATAATGGTGCCACCGGATGGATCCTCATACTTTCCTTTATAACCATGTTCAAATACTCCAACTTCTCTAAGTCTGATTCCTCCACCTTCCTCTTCATACCCACCACTCTTTCCAACTCCATTTGCACTTTCTTCATCACCCTTGGATTCTTTATGAGCTCGGATAGTGTCCATTCAATTGCCGTAGCAGAAGTATCCATTGAACCCGCCAGCATATCCTGTACACCAATAATAAAATTAAATAAAATGTTTCAAAAAGGATCATTAAATCAGTGTGAAGATTTGTTCCTTTGTCTTATTGTCATGTGGCAAATGTTACTAACATATTCTTTTAATATTGCTTTGATATACTAACTATGTCATGTGTGTTTAAAAATGTATTTTAAAATAGTGTATTGGTAGTGACGATATACTTGCAGCTATTATATAACATTTAAATTAACTATGTAATTCCTTTTTACCAGTAAAACGGCTTTGATATTGGGGCGTTCAACACGGTATTCAGATTCTTCAGTACCAACAAAGCCCAACATGACATCCACAAAATCCTTGATTTTGTCTTGTCCTCCCTTATCTGATTGCATATGCTCAACAATAATTTTGTCAAAGAAGTTGTCAAAGATTTTTCGAACTGCTTTCATGCGCTTTGTTAGCCCTTGAAGGTCAAGTGCACCAATGTAAGGAATGTAATCTCCTATGTTAGGAGTTGCCGCTAAATGCATTCCTTCTTGCATCACACCCTTGAACCCTTTCTCATCGAACTCCTTGTCCATGTACTTCTTTCCTAAAATCATTCTACAAGCTATATCAGCACTGAATGTTGCAACCTTGGCACTGACATCTACAGCAGCTCCATCATTTGCATCTTCTCTTAGAATCTTTATCAACAGGTCAAGCTCCTCTTCCCTCATGCATCTGAAGGTGTTAATTTTTGTTTGACTTAACAATTCCAACGTGCACATCTTACGCATGTTGCGCCAATAAGAACCATATTCACTAAAGCTCAAGCTCCTTTGCTCCCAAGAAATGTACTTTGCAGCCTCATGAGGTGGTCTACTTGCAAAGACATGGTCATGGGTTTTGAGGAACAGTTCAGCAGCTTGGGGTGTAGAAACAACTATGGTGGGCACAAAACCTAAGCGCAGGTACATGACAGGTCCATGTTTTTGGGCAAGTTGGTGAAGATCACGATGAGGATTTGCACCCAACATGTGAAGACTTCCCAAAATTGGTAACCCTTTTGGACCAGGTGGTAATTTCTTTGCCTTCTTCTTGCTTTTCCATAGCCAAAGATAAGCAAGAGAAAGTAGAAAAATTATTATCCAAATCATCCAATCTATTTGAGAAAGTTCAAATTGCATTGCAAAGTGTCTATGGATTTATACAGTGGTGCCTGTGGTCTATAATATAGGAGATGTTACATCATCCACCGTAATAAATATCTTGTAATAATTGACGAGTTTCAAAATTGTTATTTACGGGTCAGACAAAGATGCTAGTCGATATTTCCGCGGCCACCGCTTAAGTTGAATGACTTCGCCTGCAAAAGATACTTTGATATTTGATATTTCCACGACTTTTTCATGTATAGCCAATTTAGGCGTGTGAAATCAAATGAAAACCAGCTGCAATGTTTGTCTCTTATTAATTGAAAAATATATCTTTGTGTGACATGATAATTAGTCACATCATAGATTTGTAGTACCATTATATTTCCTTTTAAACGGTGTTTCTACATCATATCTCAACCTTTGATTATGAATTCCCCTGGCTATTAATACTTAATATTATATTCCTAAGTCCTAACTCGGAAGACGAATTTGAGTTATATCTCCTGCCCCACATGGACTCTCCCACGTACAAAATAAGAAAATAAAAATGTATTTAACATTAATTTTTAGTAAATTAAGTTTATAAAATATGTTAATATAAAATTAATGGAGAAAAGGAAGAAGGCTTTTTTATGGTAAAAAAAATGGAAGGAGATTAAAACGATATGGTCAAACAAATGCTGCTCCAAGAGCAAGATCTGTTCCTACAGGTTGGGCCGTGAGCCTTTTTTAGCTTCCGCATTGGAGTTCAAGAAAAAGAAAAGAACAGGCCCAGTGTTGTGAGCCCATGATGGCCCAGAAAGAGAATGTGTAGATTGAAGAAGGTATGGTGTCTGGCTGAGTGGGTATGTTTGAGTTTGTGTTGGGGTTGGCATCCATGTCTTGTTGCGTTTCCACTACTTGCTCTTCTTCTCCTTCACTTCCAAATTACGCACGTAACCATCCGCGCGTGGCTTCACCCACCCGAATTTCATGCTCTAAGAGGAAGAAAAGCAGCGACAATTGGGAGGCCCAGGAGCTGGTTCGTCATCTCACGCGCAAGATAAGCGACAAAGAGCCTTTGGTGAAAACACTGAACAAGTATGTGAAGATCCTCAGAACCGAGCACTGCTTTTTACTCTTTGAAGAACTCGGGAAGGAAGATAAGTGGCTACAATGCATCGAGGTCTCTTCTACTCATTTATTGCACAATCATTATATCTTCAATGAATCACTCTGCCTCATTGGGTTCTGATCTTTGGTGTTTAGGTTTTCAGATGGATGCAAAAGCAAAGATGGTATATTGCTGATAATGGAATTTACTCTAAACTTATATCAATTATGGGAAGGAAAGGCCAAATAAGAATGGCTATGTGGCTTTTCTCTGAGATGCGTAACACTGGCTGTCGTCCAGATACTTCTGTCTATAATGCAGTCATCACTGCCCACCTTCATTCTTCTGACAAAACAAAGGCTTTGTCCAAAGCAATTTCCTACTTTGAGAAGATGAAAGCTACGCAGCGCTGTAAACCCAACATTGTCACATACAACATTCTCTTGAGAGCTTTTGCTCACTCTCGAAATGTTGATCAGGTCAATTCCTTGTTTAAGGATCTTGACGAGAGCATTGTTTCACCCGATATTTACACTTTCAATGGTGTCATGGATGCTTATGGAAAAAATGGCATGATTCGTGAAATGGAATCCGTGCTTGCTCGAATGAAAAGTAGTCAGTGTAAGCCTGACTTAATTACCTTTAACTTGCTCATTGATTCATACGGCAAGAAGCAGCAGTTCGACAAGATGGAGCAAGTTTTTAAGAGTTTGTTGCGCTCTAAGGAGAAACCTACATTACCTACCTTTAATTCTATGATTTTGAACTATGGGAGGGCGCGCCTTAGGGACAAAGCTGAGAATGTTTTCAAGAAGATGACTGACATGGGTTACACGCCCAGCTTTATCACGCATGAGAGTCTCATCTATATGTATGGCTTCTGTGATTGTATTTCCAGGGCTATAGAATTGTTTGATGGGCTGGTTCAGTCAAAATCTCAGATTAAAGTTTCAACCCTAAATGCTATGCTTGATGTTTACTGCATTAATGGTTTACCACAGGAGGCATATTCACTGTTTGAGAGGGCCAGAAGTATTCAAGTATGTCCACATTCATCAACATATAAACTTCTGTACAAGGCATACACTAAAGCCAACCAGAAAGAGCTTCTAGATAAGTTGCTGAAGCATATGGATAAAGATGGCATCATCCCTAATAAGAGGTTCTTCTTGGATGCTTTGGGTGCTGTTGCATCTTTGCCAGCAAATTCGCAATCTGCTGGTGCCACAACTGATTCAAGCTCAGCAAATTCAGAATCTGCTAATGCTGCAACTGATTCAAACAACCCCCAAGATTTTGCCAAATTGGCAACTCATGTCAAGGTTTTTTTGACTCATCCATGACTTGCATACAAGCAGCTCAGTTCTTTTGTGAGGTGCTATATGATATTACTTTGCCGCCACTTCTCTATCATTCTATTTCCCATCTTACTGATTGTTCTGAGGAATAGATTTTTCCTTTGACTTCTTATGGAATCACTTTTTTTTTTTTGCTTCTCTTTGTTTGCTTTTCTAATAATATAATGATCCCGTTTGGTTGAAATTAAATAATTCATCTTATAAGATACTACTTCTGTTTGTGTCCTAACCTTCAAAGTTCAAACTCAGACTTGGTTTTGGTTTTCCGACGACAAGCGAATTTTGTTTTATTATTATTAACTTACGCAAGTACCTTTACTAGATTAGGGAAGTCACAAGATTCACAATAACAAAACCTAGGTATACTTTAGGCATTTTAGAATACTTGGTTAAATTGACTTTTGATGCTGAAAATTAATATTCCTAGGACAAAAGAAACAAGAATAAAAGATGATTTGTGCTTGTTTTCCATAATTGTGTAGAATATTTTATTACTAGTCCATGTGTAATTGTGTATAATTACTTTATTCATTATTTTCTTTAAGCTGTGTCTGTTCACCTTAATATGCTTTTTCCCTTTTTGTTCATTGCAAGTTTGCCAGTTGCAAATGAAACACTGAATCCATTTTAATGAAGTAATCAGCATAAATATAAGCGTAGAAGGTCCTATTTCCTAGGCTTCATATGTTGTATATAGTATATTCAACTAGTTCTTGTCTGAAATTACAACTACTTTCTTTTACTGGTGATGGTGCAGCACTAGATGACAATGACAACCAAAATTATGCTTCTTTTATTTGCTTAAACTTTTAAGCCTTTGAATTTTTTTTCCCTGTTTTATATTTGGAAGAATTTGACGGGGATGCTTAATCCACTGACTTTCTGGTTCAGTGACATGTTGGAAAGTACCATTGCCTCCCAAAATGTTTGCAGAACGATTATAGACTGTATATATATACTTCATTATTTAAATGGTTGGCCACGACAATTTTTACTTGGCCTTTTAAATACCACACCACCAAACATCCATGGAACAATATAATATGAAATTAATTGAAATGTTATTCTTTATGTATTATTATTGACTATTTTTATTTGATCGTTCGGAAGTTTAATATTATTTTGGCAAATTTGTTTGGATATTTTTCTGTTTGCTTCCTGAATAAAATTTGTCTGGCTTCGCCCATCTTGACTTTGGTTCATTTTTGTTCATAGATATAGAAGTTTTTCCAGCACATTGTCCCTTGTCTTTGTGACACTGTGGTCTATGATGAACGCATCAGACGTGACAGCTGCCAAAACTAACAACCAATCAAAAAGAGCAGGCTTGCTACTGGAAAGCAATGAGTAAATCTACAATTTACAAAATTGAGTTTTTATCAATGATGTTATGGATAATTCGTGTACAATGATCACTCTGGTGCAATATGAAGTCAAGACTAAAAGATTGGCTTGTAATATTTCTGCCCAGTAATGAAAACAATTAATTAATGAAACAGTTTGTTGGAAATTTAGATTTGTGACTTTTAATCATTTCCTTCCCTCTACTTGCAAAAAAGGTTTTTTCCATTACTCATGTTTTATAAAGGAATTAATTTTGATTCTTGACTTTAATGGGTTTGATTTTCTTCTTGCTTGTGGCCCGACTCACTTCCTTGAGACCCAGGCACGCCATTACAGATTGCAACAGTGCATCACCATGCCTAACTCTATTTCCGTGACGTCGTAGGCATGACCAAACCATAGTACATATCTTCCTGTCCCAACTATCTATGCCCATTCTGTTTTAATCTTTTCTGTTTCAGTTATTATGCCAGTGTCTTGAAACATTGATTTTAAAATTTTGGTTGGACTTATTTGTTTAGATGCATTTGAGATCTGCATGGCATTTGGTCTTTTGCGTTCTAATGCGTTTTTTTATTTGATACTCCCAGTTTTAGCACAGGAAAATATGAAAAATGAGGAACCAAGATTTGGGATTTCTTATATGCTGTTGGATAAAGCCATGCTTGCATGGTGTTTATGAATCCATGCTCCCTCGTTTCTAATGCAGATTTACGAGGTGTTTATGCTAAAAGTCATCTCAATTGCAATCACACTAGTAGTGTAGGTTGCTGGAGGTGCTAGCTATAAAGTACTTAACAGGATTCTGATATGGATGCTATGCTGTAAGACTTTTTATTTGAGTGGAAGATTGTTATGCAAGTCTTATTTATCAATTTTCACACTCAAGTTGAAGAGGTTATAAACCTTATTGTAAAGTGGTTATAAGCAGAAACCAAACAAGGTTAGAGCCTTGTTTATCAAGTATCAAGAGTATAAAGTCAGAAGTTATAAGCCTTAGTCCTGGATATAATCGTAAGTTCAGCAGGTAATAAATCTTTTACTATACTTGATTCCTTAGCTTTTTTCATCAAAACTTCATAAGCTAAGCCTTATTTCACTTGGTTAGAAACTCAGGGTGAGGAGGTTATAAACTTTTACTGCACTTGATTGGCAGCACAACGTGCCTTATTCATCGATTTTCAAACAAAGGCTCACAAGTTATAAACCCTATTTTACTTGGTTACACCCTCAAGATGAATAGGTTATTGTTATAGACATTTCTTCATTTGGTTATAAGCGAGGGGGAAAGAGGAAAAACTAGATCATACATAGATGGCATAATTCAGCTTGAGAGAAAGACTCAATAATGACAATGTACAACAAGAAAGAGAAAAGAAAGAAGAGAAAAGGAAGAAGAATTCTGCCAACAATAATATATTTTAACTAGAGACAGGATAGGATAAAAAAAAATAAGACGTAACTTAAAAATATATAAAATTTGTTAAATTAAAGAAATAAAGAGTAAAATTAAATAATCTCATATAGATGATAAGCTAAAAAAATGCAAGTTAGCAGAAAATGAATAAAGTGTGGGGGGAGGAAGTATATAAAAGAAAAGAAAGATGGAGATTGACAGCAGAGATCCCGTGTTTTGTGGATAGTGGGATAAGATCCGCTGATCCAATCGCGTGATGACTATGCCAATTGCCAGAAAACTCGTCTCCGTCTCCGAGATAACTTCATCCCATCAAACTTCCTCTCATCATTCAAATCATAATCATTATGTTAATACAAACTTCTAAAACCACACGTATGTTTAGAGGGGAAGGATGGGTTTCAAAATTATCAGAGATATTACGCAATATGTTTTAGAAATTGTGCAATATTGCACAAAATTATACAATAATTAATTTAACAAAATTATAAAATTTTCTTATAAAAAGTTACTAAAATATTTTACATGTCTTACAAAAAAGTCAAAGAATTATTCGACACAATTTTAATTTTTTTTTTCAAGTTTTGTTAATCTTATAGCAAAAGTTAAGTATTTGAAAGATTATAAAAAATATTATTATTATATATATTTTTAGGTATAACAACACTCTGCTGGTTATTTCACGTGGGTATATTTTTATTACATATTTAAGATATAATTGGTGTTTTAAAATATCAAAATTAAATAAATATGAGGCAACATGGTAGGAAAAAATATTTTGTTAAGAAATATTTTAAAAGTATTAGTTAAAAAATTAATACTTTAAAAAATTAAAATATTATAAAAATTATTTTTGTATTTTTAATAAAATATACTTTTAATTTCTTATTTAATATATTTAGATACTCTTTAGCATTTAAAAAATACTAATAAATACCTTTTAAGGAGTTAAAAAATTAGAAAATATTATTAATATATCCTTCATAACTTTTAATATATTTTAACAAAATTTTTAATAAAAAATTTTAACTTCTTAAATAATATCTTAAGAATAGTGATTAAAAATTTTAAATAATAAACAAAAATGCAATCTAAAAATTCAAATGTGAAAATATTATTATTATTTTCCTTATAATGGATAACTATTTAAAGTAGTGAGACGTAACACTTAAGAATCAATGCTATTTAATGCTAGTTAAAATCTTCATTTATTTTCTTTTATGAAGAGATAATTTTCTATAATAAATATTAATTGTGATATCATAGTTTTAAATGTTGCAATAATTTAATATAAAATTTTTCTCTCATTTTATAATCTAAATTTGAATATTTTCTTTATCGCTTCATTTTCACTCCTCTCAACTAAATGCATAACGACTTGGTCATCATACTTGTTTACCAATTATAATGACAAATACCATTAAAAAAGAAACAACAAAAACAAATAAATGGATATGTAGACTCAGTATTTTTCTAACAATATATCCACAATCATCATATTATAAAAAAAATTACTTTAACAGTCAATCAAATTTGACACTAATAAATGGTACAGATGAAATTCTCTATTCCAAGAATACTAGAAAGTAGTTGGTATATATTCATAATATTCTTAAAGTGTGTTTGTCTCTCAAAATTCAACATTAAGTAAAAATTGAAGATAAAAATAATTTATAAATACTTATTTTTTTCGATCCATGAAAATGCTCTTTAAAGACAAAGTTATAAAGCATAGAAAAGTAAAAATAACCAATGTCTCAAATAAGATGAACATGATAAAATTTAATGATATGAAGCATAATGTTGTACTTTGAATTTGAACCGAAGATCCCCTTTAAAAGATAGAAGAAGAATGTTAAGAAGGAATTCTTTTATATCGTACATTTTTTATTTATTAATTAAAATGTATTAAAAATTATAAAAATAGAAAAAATTTATTAGAAGAATGAAAAATGAAATATACATAATTTTTATATTTTGTAATATATTTCTGTAATAATTAAAAAAAGTGTTTAACATTAAAATATAAGATTCCTTTCACATCGATGAGTCCTATATGTGCCCTTTCCAGTCCATCACCACGTAGACACATATTTCCAAAGCTCACACCGAAGAAGATACAATTTTCTATCTTCAGTTTGATTTAAGAATTAAAAGAATGCACATGCATTGGCCTTTTATTGCATTAACAGTTAATTTCTCTTATTCTATATAAACACTAAGACATCACCACTGAACCAAAGCATTGAACCAAGCAACCACGCAACGATGACATCGATGCAAGCCCTACTCAAGAGAACCATTGCCACCGCTAAACCCAACACTTGCAACTTATGCGCATCCTTTTCTTCTCTACGACCCTCCGCCGCTACCGCCGACAGTGTCCCTGCGCGGCCGCAACTTCCGCCGTTCGATTACCAACCCCACCCCTATCATGGACCCTCCGCCGACCAAGTCCTCGCCAAGCGCAGAAAGTTCCTTGGTCCTTCCTTGTTTCACTATTATCAGAAACCGGTGAGTCTCCGAAATCAAAACTGACAACCTTAATGTCCTCGAAACTTGTTCTTTTCTTTTATATTTTTATTTATCTCGTGTGTAATGTGAGTTTCTGATGTTCCAAAACTCAAAGATCTACTACCATGTTTCTCTTTCTTTTATTTATTTATGCATGTTGGTTGTCATTAAAAATTAAAGTTTTGTTTTGATTTTTATTTTATTTAGTTTTATAGCTTTGTAGGAATTTTGTGAACAAGAAGTGATGTCTGATTAAAATTTTGAATGTGTATGCAGCTGAATATTGTGGAGGGGAAGATGCAGTATCTTTATGATGAGAGTGGGAGGCGTTATCTCGATGCATTTGCAGGGATAGTTACTGTTTCTTGCGGACATTGCCACCCTGAAGTTTTGAATGCTATCACGGAGCAGAATAAACTTCTGCAGCATGCTACAACCATTTATCTGCACCATGCAATAGCTGATTTTGCTGAGGCTTTGGCATCAAAAATGCCTGGAAACCTTAAGGTCAGTTTTTGTGTCTAGTTCTTACTTGTTCCTTGAATCTTTTGACTGTGTAATGTGTATCATTGCATAATGCTTCTCATTCTTGAAATGATTTGTTTCTTTTCTAGTACTGTGTTCTGATGCAGTTTAACATCGGCATGCCTCTAAAACACTTGACAGTTGCTGCATGTTGTTAATTTCTGTTTTATTTCTTCTGTCAGATACTATGTTTTTTATTGAATGAGAGGAAAGGGGGCGAGGGAGCCTTTCTGTTTCATGTCTTGCATTCATTGGAGAAATGTGATGTTCAATTGTATAATGTGTTTGATTTTATTCAATGTGGATCCTAATTGTGATTGTTCAAAACATAATTTTAAATTGCAGGTTGTTTATTTTGTGAATTCTGGTTCAGAAGCAAATGAATTAGCAATGATGATGGCTCGTTTATATACTGGTAATCTTGGTATGATTTCTTTGAGGAATGGATATCATGGGGGGAGTTCTAATACAATTGGTCTGACTGCTCTGAACACATGGAAATACCCAATTCCAGAGGTTTGTCTGTATATTTGATCGCAAAATTTCAATTGATCGCGGTTGATCTTGCATGACTATATATGTAATCCATCAACTGTGACAGGGGAACCCGTGAGGCCCTTTTTCTTCCTCAATTACTTGATGGTGATTGCAGCTGTTGTGTAATTTATTTCCTTGTCAACATGTTTTACTCACTTGAAGACAGAAGTCAAGATTCTGAAATCTAAATTTATAGCATGCTTTTCAATATCATCTACCTTGGTGAATTTATTTTTCTCATTTTGACCCTTTTTGTCTATAATTAACAGGATCTGGGAAGATGATCATAGATATTACATAAACTTCAGTTTGAAAAAGTTTCAAATTTGTAAAAGTAATCCTCTGTTATTGTTGATTGTCTTTGTTCTGTTTTTTTCATGCAGAAATAAACCATCAATAAAATATATTAGCAAGTACCTACTCCAAGCTCGTCTAGTTATAATTATACCATTTTGAATGCGGTATCCATTTTTCTATTAAAGATGGTGCAATACAACTATTCTTAACAATGATTTAAACCTTTCAGGGTGAAGTTCATCATGTTATGAATCCAGATCCATATCGTGGAGTTTTTGGCGCAGATGCTAATAGCTATGCAAAAGATGTCCAAGACCATATTGACTATGGAACATCGGGGAAAGTTGCCGGATTTATAGCTGAAACAATTCAGGTGTGTATAATCTATCAGGTTTAATATTTAAAGTGGCATTTGGAACACCCCATTGGCCTGGCCTTTGTTTACTTATTCCTCATGGCTTATTCTAGGGAGTTGGAGGAGCAGTTGAACTGGCACCTGGGTACCTAAAACTTGTTTATGACATTGTTCATAAGGCTGGTGGTGTCTGCATTGCCGATGAAGTGCAGACTGGGTTTGGCCGCACAGGAAGCCATTATTGGGGATTGGAGACCCAGGGTGTTATTCCTGATATAGTTACCATGGCAAAGGTAAGAACCATCATATCATTGTTAATTATCCTTGTTCCTGAAACCTTCACACCTCAATCATACATTTCAAGCGCAACAACTTATGTATAATTGTATCTTGTCTTATGATATTCATTGTGCATTATATTTCTTTCCTCTAATATTTGGCTTTAGATATTTTTTTATTATAGAATATATTTTGTTCTAGCTTTTTAACTTTTATATCATCTGCTATTATTCCATTGTATCTCATGTTAATCAATATCAGGGTATTGGCAATGGTTTGCCATTAGGAGCTGTTGTTACAACACCAGAAATAGCAAGCGTGATGGCCCAGAAGATTCAATTTAATACGTTTGGTGGGAACCCTGTATGTTCTGCTGGGGGACTTGCAGTGCTCAGGGTTCTGGATAAGGAGAAGCGTCAGGCTCATTGTGCTGATGTTGGTTCTCACTTGCTCGAGCGTTTAAGATCTCTTAAGCAAACACATGAAAGTATGTAATCTTGAGTTTAACATCCTCAAAATAGATAGTTTTCTTTTTATCTTTGTAGAGGAATAAACATTGGTTTATGCTGCAATTATGTTGATTATTTGCATTTTTAACATATAATGTGCCAGTCATTGGAGATGTGAGAGGAAGAGGCTTAATGGTGGGAGTAGAGTTTGTTACTGATCGAAAAGAGAAGACACCTGCAAAGGTTGAAACTAATGTCTTGTTTGAAAAACTTAGAGGTGAGTCAAGAATCATTTTAATATTTTATGCTTCTGAAGCCTTTTTTTTTTTTTTTTCAAAATATCTTACTAACAGTCTAACCATTTATTTGTATATGAATTGAAGAGCTTGGTGTTCTAATTGGAAAAGGAGGACTGCATGGAAATGTTTTCAGGATTAAGCCACCAATGTGTTTCACCAAAGATGATGCAGGTATATAATTTCACTCTCTCAACTAGGATGAGGCATCCACTTTTTATTTTTAAGCCTTTTTCCTAGTAAAATGTCATTTAACCGACCGTTCTCCTTGTGTGCAGATTTTCTTGTGGATGCCTTGGACTATGCTATATCAAAGTTATGAGATGATTATGCATCCTGCTAGCATGAAATGAAATCCTCCATATTTCACGTTCATGTGTTTCGCATATGTTCCTCAATAAATGTAATGTTCACCCTTAGGTGAGTGTGGACAACTGTTGTATATAATTGGATTTCATGTTGGAAAAAGATTACTCACATGTTGGTTCAACTTCATTCTGGAAAATTAATCGTTATTTTCAAAAATTAAGTTAAAATATATAAGTAATTTTTAAAAATAAGCACAATTAAACAAGCCATACATTTACATCTTGGGTGGGCCACATCAAATCACAAAATCAATGACCCGCTTGAGCAGTTTTACTCAAACTTGAAAGTCGAAGTTCTAGTTTCCAATAATGATCTTAAAGATTTATTTGCTTAAGTGAAAGAACAATGATAAATGATTCAAGATTCAACAGAATAATTTTCGTTCTAAAAGATGTGGAAAAGTGGTCCAAGTTAGCACCGCCAAGTCAACTATTATTAAAAAAAATAGAGATAATTTAACTTCTTATATATTTTTCTTTTCTTAAACTAATTCTATTAAAGAAAATAAAAGGACTATGCATCTTTACTATTACATCATTCTACACATTTTACATGACCCGCTTCCACATAGGGATATCACAAACACCAACTCATAAATGGGCAGAGACATATTTACAATTTCTCTTTGAGGATCATAATAATAATAACAATAATAATAATAATGATTGATGATTAAGCACTAAGCAGGTTCACGAGGACGATTAGCCCAAAGTTTGCTCAATGCTCTGAGGCGTTGAAAATATTCTGCCAAAGTAAGAAGAAAACGAGCAGTTTGACGAATGGTAAGTATTCGACACATTTGGCGTAAAGTTTCTTTTCGGAGATGATCTGCCTGCTCACGGCAATACCTTTTGTTAACTTTCCAGTTTACATATAATTAACCACATAGTTTCACGGAATAAATAAATTAACAATGTATCTATATCTATATTTAATTTTAATAATATCTAATTAATAAAAAATTAAAAAAATTAGAAATGATAAATTATAATAATAAAATATAATTAATTTTAATAAATTTTATTTCTATAAATAAAAGTTAAATTATAACTTATATCTATATTCTATATTATATGTATAAATAATATCACAAACATTTATTTTTATAATTTAATTATATTTCTAAAATATTTGTTTATTTTTATTAATCAGACATTGTTAAATTAATGTATTTATTATTTAGATTTTGATGATGTTGCTTTGTCTAGTTAAATGTCCATATATTATTGAATACATCAACGTACGCTTCATTGTATTTAAATTCTTAACATTATTTTATTAAGAGTATTATTTTTTAAAAGATTTAAAAATATTTATTTCTTATTATTTTGATATATTCTCGAGACACGTGCAATGTGCTGAATGATAGAATAGACGTTCTTATATACACGTGCGAGTGAGGGACTAGGAGTTTTATTTTATACTTATGATAAATAACTTCCTAGCAATTCTTTAGGATAATATGGTCAACGAAGGTCAGTTAAATTGATAAAGATTATAATTATATTTCATAAGATCGTGAGATCAATTTTTATCACTGATATGAGAATTTTATTGATAAATCATTTACAAATATTTTCCTTTAGACTTTATAAATATTATATTTAACCTTTAAATATACCTCGAATCTGGTGATTACTTGATACCTAACTAGCCAAAATTTTGACATGCCGAAAAATAATTGCATTTCAACCTTTGAAATGATTGATTAGTTAGATACTTTGAATATATTTATCAAATAATTTCTTCGAAGAATTTTGAATATTTTTAGGGTTAAATGTGAATGTCTTCAACACTAACAACTTGTAATTAAATTTTGAGATGAAAAACTAAGTAATGAAAAATTTTCCCTCTGTGATGATACAAAGTTATATTAAACACTTTAGGTTCGAAATAATTTAAAAAGGTAATGATAATATGCTTTAGTGATAAAGAAAAAAATCTTAAATTCAAATTTTGTTGTTGGCCATACTTATATTTATTTATTTTTATTTTGAACTCAATAAATATTTTAGATTTTGACTAATTTAAGTTGAGTTGCATGGACTTATTAAAAGAGCAGATCGAGGTCTTTTTGCCATTAATTTTTTCTATTTACATAGCTCAAATATCATATCATACTTAAGAGAAATTAAATTCTTTACGTTTTGAATAATAAGAGTTGATATCAGAAGCTATTTGAAAATGTTTGCTACTTCACTTATAGCTAATTTGGAACCAAAAATTTAGTGTGAGGCCAGATCAAGCATCATAATGCAAAAGGGGAATGAACAATAATTAAAGAAAGAAAAAAAAATCCTAAACAACTTATATAGGTCATTATATTAGTATTTCAAAAATTTTAATCAATGAATTAATTCTTCAAAAGTTTTTTGTCATTAATTTAATATTTTAAAGATAAAGAAAATATGCAATTTCATTCAAAAGTGAAATTTTGTGTTAATTTTGTCCTTAAAATTTGCATGAATGTCAACTTAATAACCAATTAGTCCTTACAACTTGTAGTTTATCAAATTTGGAGATTAAATTTATTATGAATTCAACATATATTATACAACTAAACTGTCATGGAGTTGGCAAATTTGGAAAGTTTTATATACATGAAAGCTTTCAAAGAATAAATTAACATTGATTGCCATTTTTAAAAACGATTGTATATTTATTTTTTAAAGATTTTATCATTGAATGAATCCTTTAAATATTTCACTTGTCACTCTAAAAAAAACTGTCTGCATTTTAATCTTTCATATGATGAATTTGGTAACATTTTAATTCTTTTAGAAAAAAAAAATTACACAGATTAAGAATCAAATCATTTTATTATAATTATTTGATACTCTTTCTAATATTCTATTTATTGATGGATTTTTTTTAACATTTGATATACTTAATTAGTATAAAATATTTTATTTATTACACTTATAATTTTATATAGACAAAAAAATATTAACGATTAATATTATCTTAAACTTTTATATAAATAAATAACAAAACTTCATCTTCTCTTTTTCAACAGATAAATAAAAATAAAAAAAGTATTAAAAAAAACTTTTAAATATCCCTTAACTAGTACACAAAACATAGAGAAACAAATAAATGTTAATATTTGGAAAGGACGTTACTCTTTTTGACAACACATAGAATGACTAATTAGCTGAGAATTCATGCAATTGTTTTTTAGATATGCTTGGGAGAAGATTTTTAAAAGAAAAGAAAAAGGAGGATATACTTTTTTTAATTTTAAATTAAGAGATTTATATGCTACGATAAATATATGAATTTTATATTAATATATTAATTTATATATTTTATTTTTAAAAAATTTATTAGTTTTAAATATATTTATTTAAAATAAAAAAAATGGTCCTCCCCTCTATCCTTCACTTAAAAAAATCTCTCATTTTCAAATAATTCCTTAATAAATCACACATACTTAAAAATTGAAAATATTTTTTGTACTATTAGTAAGAGTCTCTTTTATATTTTAAATGTATGTTTAGATTACATGTATACGAAAAAAATAAAAATTAAATGTGTGGTTGATTCAATTTATTTTTTAAAATGTTTAGCATTTTCAATCATACACTAAATTAAGAAGTGAGTGATTATGAATAGAGTGAAGGAAAGTATAGATTACCTGGTTCACAAAGCTCACCAGAGCTTCGAGCCTCTCCATTGCAATATCCATATGTGGAAGACCAACAGAGTCAGCAAGCATTTGCTGAAGTTTTTCCATACCTTGTGAAAGGGCATCTTCTGCTTGCTGGCATGATTTTTCAAGGCCATAGGCATCAAACCGTTGTTGCTCTGTCAAGGGTTCACTCAAAGGAACCAGAACCTGAAATTGAAATACAATTTTATTCCTAGCTTACATGATGTTATATTAGAAATATGGCGACAGAAACAATCCCAATAAAGCCATGAAGTGAAGATAAAATCTAGGTAAAATTCATACTTTTGTCTTTTAATTTTAATTTGATCCTCTAATTATTTTATTTTTGTTCTCTAAGATTTTTTTTACTGTGGATTTAGTTCTCGATCTATATAAACTTTTCCTTTTTCGTTTCATTCTCAGTTTAGTCTTGTAACTTTATTTTCAAGATCAAATAAAAAATTTTGAGAATCAAATTACTAATTTTGCTAAAAATCTAAATATCAACTTTTGCTGGATGCTCTTTGGTCAGATAAAAACATTGAGTAATAACCATTTTAATACAAACAGTACTGCAGTAGGTCTTACTGATGTATAAAATAAACACTCACGAATTATTACAGTCACAGTTTACCTATTCTCTCAATCAATCAACAGAAGATGCTGGTAATAAAATTCAAAACCTAACTAATAATTATGAGGAACTTCAGTAATAATAGTGCTACTGTTGGCAGTGAAAAACAAAATGAAATCAAAATTGTGCATTAAGCTTCCGTACTCATTGGCAAAGTATGTATGCTATTTTCAGTGTCTAAACAGTGTCATCAAGTGGAAGATCAATACGAGTAGTTAGTTCAATAGATAGCAAGGGATCGATTGGGTAGATAGACAACAACTAAGTATAAAACAAATTGCAAACTTGCTCATTAGTGAGTATCAAGTGAAATACCTTACTAGAAGGTCAACTACTCATATATACATAAAAATACTAACGGGTAAATAAAACAACTACTTTTGTTAACTTCAATTCTAAAAGTTGAGTTTAAACATTCATAAATAAAAAAAATTTAAAAAAATATATAATTATTATATTAAAGTTATAAAAATATAATAAATATATTTTTTTTAATAAAATTTTACTAACTGCTTATCCTCAGCCTAAAAATTAAAGTTAACAAAATTCATAAAATAATCATCCAATCCTAAACAAAGAAACTTCTCTCTCCCTCTCCCTCTCCCTCTCCGGGAATAAAGGTGAATGTGTAATGTTCCTGAGAAAAAGTTTGCATATATCAATAAAAAAATAATATTTATATTGTTACTGTGTCCGGTTACATAAGCCTAAAAGATGACTGCCATAACATCCTAGTTTTTGAAGAAAAAGTCAAATTAGATAATATGAGTAAAATTCACAACTTAGTTCATTCCTTAGATATTGAGCATCACCTTTAGAAGTTCAGAGGGGCGAAATCCTCCGATCCATAAGAAAAATCGTTCAGCTGTGGTCTTCCACATACCAGACATTACATAGAAAACATCTGCTTTTGCAGCAGCTGATTTCATGCAGAAGAGTTTGGAATAGTGGTTCATTATGCCATGTACAAGTGTCTCTAGCTGTAAGTCACCAATATGAGCACTTAAGGCACTTCTCAATTCCAAGATTTGTCTATTATGCTCCTCCACCCATTGCCCATACTCCGTCTTAAAATTTGATATTTCTGTAAATTGTGGTAATTTTAGAGCACAAATGCTACTATATCAACCAAAATGAGGTATTTGAAGTTTACTAGACAACTTAAGAGTTGTAGTTAGATATAGTGCTGATATAATATAAGACTCATTTTTAAGATGCGTTTATGGCGCTCATATTTATGTCAACTTATTGACAATTCAAGAAAATGGCTTTGAACAACTTTGTAGACAATGTAAGCAAAGGTAGAAATCAATTACAACACAAATTTTAATGATTTTCATCTCTCAGACGAGATAATCTAGTTTGGCAATAGCGAAATAGATATAACGCTGCCATTAGGCACACAATGTGCATTAAACTTGCAATTGCCATATTAAATTTTCGAAGATTATGAATAAATTCAGAGTTCCGAAATTGGTTATTATAATATCACACCAAAAGTTTTCTGCGGGACTTGAACAAAATGTCTCTATATATTATGAAAATTGTGTCGAGATGAAAATTATTAGAAGGGTAATGACTTAGACCCTCTTTAGAATAGCTTAAAAAAACATAATTTTTTAAACTTATTTTAATAAGTTATCTACTATAGTTTATTAGAATAATTTTGTTATTCTAATAAATTTTATTGTCAAATATATTATGAGTCCTCATATTAAAAAAAATTAAATAAATGCTTATTTCAAATATATTCAAACGTATCCATAAAGTGTAGGTGAAAAAAATTGACATGCCCATAAAATTAATTTTAGAAAATGATATAAAAAATTGCTGATATATGGATTAACTGCATTTGAAAGAAAAAACCAATAAAATGGTAGCAATATCTAGCACTAGCAGCTTAATAACCAACAAACCTGAATTTACAGAGCCAGCAAAATCCAAATTATTAGAACCCAATCCGTCACCAACATACAATCCCTGCAGTTTTGTTGGCTCAAGATAATGACAAAAGAGGGGAAAAAAAAAAAAAAAGCAGATATTGAACAAAATAAAGAAAGTGGTCCAAAGCATAAACTATGAGTAGATTAATTCAGCTTCACCGCACCTGTTGTCTTGCATGATCAACCTCTTGTTCTAACTGCACCAGCTTCAAACGACATGATTCTAACTGCTGCACATAGGCCTGTAAAAAAACATTAAAAAATCACATGAAAATTAGTGTATGTAAGCAAACACTTGTTGCATTTTTAGTATATCTTTCAATGTATAAAGTTTCATACCTTTTTCCTCAAACGACTTTTACGAGCAGCCTCTCGATTTTGTGCTAGACGTCTTTGTATCTGCATTTTCATCACGTTAAATTCCCTTTTCTTAACCTTACAAATATAAAATAGTTATGATTATGTTTTCAAGCTAGACTGCCAAAATTGGGAAGCAGAGGACCTCTTAATTTGTAGTGAATTCAGCTTCATTAGAGTGCAAAATGTGGGTCTAAAATACTTTCCAGTGTCACTTATAATTTCTACATAAAGCTGAAGGTGGAGGCAGAAGAAAAGAGTAAATGGTGTGTCTTCGCAAGCTGGTATATTTATTTAAAAATGATGTTTAAATACACTTATCACATTACAGAACAATATCCTACAAAATGAGGTCCCCAAAGTGATACTATGTTTAATGATGGTATTATAATAAATAAATTTCCTAGTAAAAGAAACCTCTTGTGAAGCTAAGCACAGAAGTAAGACATCTGCATTCAGAGACTATTTGAACTTAATAGTACTCGAGGGTCACCATAGAAACCAGTTCAAATTAGTAAAAATTAAAAAAAAATCAAAAAAATAACAATAAATAACCCCTTCCTTTATGCTGTTTATGGGAAAGATGGTTTTACTTGACATGGTCTTACCTTTTCAGTAAGTTTGTTAGCTTCTTGGTCATACTTCGTAGATGTTCCCAACATTTCATGAAAAGCATCCTCTGACTATTTAACATTAAAAAAAACACAATTAATGGACAAAATAAGCATTATTATTTTGCAGAAAACAAAGTATAAATTTGGTAAACTTACTTGCACCTGAACCTGATTATCTAACTTCATGCCCGCCTCCTCAATTAAGCATGTGGATGCACTTAAATTACTGTTACTTTTGAAATTTTCTTCCCACATGGTAATTTGGTGGATAGGATCGTATACACCCATCCTTCTTGAGGAAACAAACTGTGAAGATGTAGAATCCATACTCTGCGGATTGATTAATAATAAAGCGATTTAATACGTACACATATACAGTATGCTGCAGTTAATTAAGAATACTTAAAACGCTTTAAAATTCAGACAACAAAAAATGCATTAATTATAGAAGCCACTCAAATATTAATAATAAAATAATCAAATTTATAATTAAAAATTGAAATGGATGCACCTTAAGAAGATTGGTATAAGGTGCAGAAACATTCTGCAGTAATAAATACGAAAAAAAAAGGCAATAATAGAAACCTTATAGTAATACGGTATCAAATCTTAATAATATTGCATGCACCATAAGCGAGTAACATTTATCATACGGAATCAAACCGGGACCAGAAGAATAAAGAAAAATCTCCCAATTATGTAACATAGCAAATATAGAAGCTGGACAAAATGCAAGGAGGGGATAGATACATTTTAAGAAACACTACTCATTTAAACGATTCAATCTAGAGTTGTATACACTCCAAAAAGAACTCGGTTTTCTTGCTTAGGCGTTCCTTCATCACGGTAGAGGGTAGTAAAATATAGAAGGGTAGCGGAAAATCAAGCAGTGGGGGCACAATTTTTAAGACTGTGTGCACAAGTACGGGGAAGGATACATGAAAATTTTCTTAATTTTATTGCCAGACCAACCATAAACGGTAAACAAAACAGAAACTTTCGATTTCAGGAAAATCTAGTTTATCCCAAGTACAAAAAGCAGCAGAAAGTACGCATAAATTCTTTTAACTGATCCACGTTTGGTCTTCTTTTTTTTTTTCCTTCATAGACAACAAAACACACCTACGCAATAGATTCGAGGATACTAGTCCTCATCCGAAAAAAAAAAGCAACAACCGAAATCATCATTTTTGGTACGTACGTGAAAGCAAAGCCAAATCGGTATACACACTTTTTCAAAGACAAAAACAAAAATGATTATAGAGAGAGAAGAAGAAAGCACCTGTGAAGGTGATCATAGAAAGCGCACAACACAAGCAATTAGTTAAGAAAATAAAGAAAAAGAAAACAAAAGAAGAGCTGTCATGTACATAGTATCTCGTTCTCGTATTTGGTCCTTCCTCGTTTTCCTCGGCGGTTAAATCTTAAAAATTAGAAGAAAAGAAAAGGGATTTTTTTTTAAAAAAAAGGCGAACCTTTGAAAGGTACTTTGAGAAATGAGAAGCTTTTATTTCCCGCAAAAAAAATTCCACCTTGCCTAAGCCTTGGTGACTCACCAACAAAAAAACAGAACCAAATTCCCAACGCAAACCATTGTCTAATCCAGTCTCTTCCAATTGCCAAACCCTACCCTAATCATCTCTCATGGTAAGACGCAAGCTTAAGATTATAATTAATCGGTATAAATAAAATAAGGACCACATTTCTTAGATGAATAAAAGCCACTAATTTAAATTGAACTTTGTGTTATTTTATAATAGAAAATAAAAATCGAATGGAGACGTGATGTATAGGAAATTAGGGAGGATTGTATTTTTATGCGTGTCTGTTGTGTGTTGTGCTCATGGTAGCTACAGAGAGTCAAGGGTTTCACACAGGAATGATCGAAGCATCATCGTAGTCATGGTCATGTTTCCACTACCACTGATGTGCGCACCAGGTAGATCCTTCAGATTGGTAGGGTCTTACGTCATTTTACGTTCACTCCACCCGCCACCAAGTTCTCTGTGTACACAGTATATATATATATATATATATATAACGTAAGAACAGTTGTCGTCAGAATATCAATCTATAAGAAAGACATAATTTTACCTTTTCTGCAGGTTTATATAAACTATTGTAAAAAAAATCGTAAGACTATCATATCTCTAAAAATAATACTTTTACATGATATTTTACGTGCTTTAACATTGTCTCTTTTTATATTTTTATATGTCTTTCTTTCGTTTTCTTTTATACATCAACAATGTTCTACATCATCCAATATATAAATTATGTGAATCAAACATTATCTTGAGGAAATACATCACCTGTCACGGGGAATAACAGGTGCAGACAATGAGTGAAACATCATCACAGATGTATCTGACATTCACTTGCAACACGTATTGATAAGTATTTTATATGTTGATGGAACTATTATTTGTAAAGAAGATGAATGAGTTTTAAATTTTTATATATTTTTTTAAAAATAATTTGGTTTTATTTTTGTTTAATTTTAATATTTTTTGTTCTTAATGATTATGTAATTAATTAAAAAATGGTTTATATCAATTTTTCTTAATTACACTGTTATTAGAAAATTGAAATTTATATTTTTTCATTAAAATTTATCTCATTTGATAAATCTGGTACATGAAATTGGTAAGGTACGTTAAAGTTAGTGAGTGAATTGCATTTGCTAGGGCCATTTGATCGCGTCACTAACAGCTAAAGTCTAACAAAATAAGCAATATTGCATCATAAAGACAAATAAATAATAAGCAGTGGATAAAATTGGTGATATGGAGGGATTATGTGCTTTAAAAATGGCAATAAGAAAATAATTTCATAAATGATGATAAGTTTAAATTATTGTATAGACAAGTAGCTCTTAGAATGACTCGTATAATTATAAAGCTACAATAATGTTGGTGGTTGCATTTTAGAATGGATGGCCAACCTATTAGTGATTTTCCTTTTCATATTCTCAGAGTGCATTGGGTTGATTTGATTACTAATCAATCAAAGAAATGAAACGTCACGCAAGCACTTGCTGGCTTTTCCCTATTCGTGGTTTTTATTCTCAAGTGCAACTCAAAGTGGTTGCCACTATGTATGACTTTGCCTCTCTCAATTATGGAATATTTTAGATTCTCTACCTTAGTGATGCATATGTTTCTGGCAAACAGGAAACATCAAACATTGTAAGGGGCACAAAAATTTATGAAAAAATAGGAATGAGCTACTAGTCTAGATCAACAATGAAACATTACATGTCTGGTCTTAATTTAAAAAAATATATTGTAATTCTTTTGTACTTAACTTCGATTGTGATTTCTTTAATTCAAATATGTTACTTTTAATGCAAATTAAGATTCATGTCTGCTAAATAAAGTGTTCTGCATGGTTGAAAATTGACATAATTGGCAGACATAGGAGCGCTTCCCCTTTAGTGGCTGCTTCTATAATGTCTTATTCTGGCGTCATTCAAGCTCCTGGTTAGGCTACTATCACTAATGATCTGTCACATCACCGCTGTTTTTTCTTTTCTGGTAAAACCAAAGCTTTTTTTTTCTTCTCATTGACAAGTAGATAACCCGTGATTATATGCTGAAACGTTAGTCTTGTTCGTGTTATGCTTAGATTTTTTTAAAAGTTTTTTTATTTCGTAAATTATACACGAATTTCATAAGCTTAAAGAGTATTTGATATTATTAAACATTCAAATTTTGATTAACTTGTGTTAATAAGCATGTGTCGTCGAAATATTAAATTAATCCAAAACTTACATTTAAGTATCATAAATCTCTCTAATTTCATACTAAATTTTGAAGAATTAAGCGTTTCATAAATTAGTCATCAGACTATATCACGATTCAAGCTTAATGTGAATTCCAAATTGAGCGAAGCACGACAAAAATAGAATCACGTACATAATTTAAAAAAAAAAAACAAGAAAGAGATGAAAAGCATGGTTAAAACTCAATTTAAATTCAAACCTAAAAATCTACATCAAATTCACCAATAAATCAATTTAACATTAATTAGTCTTTCACTGAGAAATTCAACCAAAATACAGTAAAGAAGAAGAGGGAAAATCATAAGAGAAAAAAAGAAAGGGAACTAGAGAATAAGCTTTAAGGAAAAAAAAACCATTTCCTCCAAAATTCAAACTCATATCTTCTGTTGATAACTTCTCAAAAGAGCCTTAAGTGGCTCTGCCCACGTTTGGCCGATTGGAGATAATTAGCCCAAAGTATAGTTAATTATCTTACAATATAGTTATGTGAGAAATTTTGTGGGTAGAAATTTGGAGCATGCTTGATTTTTATTTTAAAAATATAATATAATATAAATTTATATTATATTTTAATTTTAAAAAAATGATTTTTAAAATAGAAAATAAATATGCTCTTAATCTTGTATTTTTTACCTCAAGTTGATTGAATTAGTTTTTAGAGTGTTCATAGAGTTATAGAACAATATGTAAGGATAAAAATAGGTTAGACATGTCAGACAAATATCTACAGCTTAACTTATTTAAACTTTAATCTGATCTAACCTATTTAATTAATAGACTTAATTTAAGCTTTTTAAAAAATTTAATTAATTAAATAGATCAAACTTAAACTTAAGAAAAAATCTATTAAACCTATTAAAATAGCTTATTTAAAATTCATAAAATTTATAATAATATATTAATAATTTTATATAAAAATTATAATATAATAATATATAAATATTCAATTAGCTTCATCACAAGTATAATTTGACAAAAAAAAAATCAAAGGTAATAACTTCTAAAAGTATTTTTTAAAAATATTTGTAATCACTATTTTTAAAGTATTTTTATTCTAATATTTTTCTTTACTTTAAAAGTTGATAAACAACATGAAGAGATCTCTTTGAAAATTTGATGACATATTTGCTACTTTCCATTTATTATAAAAAAATATTGTTATTTGTGTATTTTAAATTTTTGTTTGTTGCATTTGCTAATTTTAGGTCTGAAACTTATTTAATTATATTGTGTTTGTTGATTTAATGTATAAGACTTTATGCTACTAGATTTGCTTAATGATTTATAAATTGATATTCATTTTATTGTATTTTTTTTGTATGTTTAATAATTTGCTTATTTAAATTAAATATGTAATTTGAAAGTGATAAATAAAAATATATAATTTTATTATACATATTTAAGGTGTTGAATCATTTTTTTAATAGTTTATTTAGATATAAACATTATGACTTTTAAAAAGACATACCTATTTAGATAGTTTAATAGTCTATTTATAAATAATTTAATGACCTATTTAATGTCTTAATATAAAGTAGATTATTAAAAAAATTAACTGACCAAGTCAAGCTTTTAAAAAGGTCATGTTAGACTTAATAAAAAAAAATCTATGACAGGTAATAAGTTAGACTTAAACTTTAAAATTATTAAATAGGTTAGACCTATTTATACAAAACTTAGCTTACCCTGTTTCTAACCTTAGCAATGTGTCATTGAACAATCAATGTGTGTCACAAGTTAATTTAATTTTTGAACATTTATCCCAAAATTAAGTTTAAATTTTTACATGATTTGGACTAAATTTTAGTCCAATTCTCCTCTCAAATGTGTAAAACTGTGTTCTAGCTATTCATAGAATCTATAATTCCCTCAATCCATCATTTAGAGATGATAAAATTAATGTGAAAAGGATTAATATTAAAAAGATAACAAGTTTTTAAAATAATGTGAATTGCAAGTATTATTTCATGAACAATAATATTTTGCAGTGCAATGTTATTTAAATTTTGATGTTTTATTAAATTTTAAATTTAATATTTTATTTTAAATATAAAATTATATTTAAGGAAAAATCACTAAAATTAAATATTATATATATATATATATATATTCATTTTATTTAAAATACTAAATAAAAAAAGAAAATAAAACCAAACAAGTTTTTTTAGTTTTTAAAAATAAATTTATCAAACAATTTTTTTATTTCCTCAACTTAAAGAGAGTTCTGAAAATTAAACTAACAAATAAGTTTTATTCTATTTTTAAAAAAAATTATTTTTAAAAAATTAAAATTAAATCAGAAACTAACAAGTCCTAAGACTCACATTTTCCTCAAATAAGATTTAATATATTATTTCTGAAAGTTATTTTTTTAACTTACCTAAAAATTTAATTTACCACAAATTATTTTCTCAACCTTGAAATTAGCCCAACATCGTGATATACTCTTGAAACCAATTTTGTTGATTGCAATGGAAAAAAAAGTTTCAATCAGGGTCAAATGCTTGTGTTTAATTCAAGTTGGCGGTTTTTTTAAAAAATAATTAAAGTTGGCAGTTATCTCCCTATGAAAATAATTTATGATTATAAATTCTTATTCAGAGGTATGCATTAAATTCGGGATAAAGTAAAAAAAAAAAACCTATAAATTTGGTCTAAATTATAGGTCAAGTGAAATTACTATGCCTAGATCCTATTCCCACTTCTTTCTTCGTCATGCGTCGTAACAAAGCAACCAAATTGCGAGTATAACAAAAATGGTGTAAGCGTCGCCACGTGCGTGGGTTCAGATTTGAGAATATATTCTCATAAATAACCAAATTACCACTTATTACTAACATTTACATCTATTTATTAGTTATATACATAATTTGATCCCAAAAATTTACATAAATCATTTTAGTTTCTAAATAAATTATTTAATAATTTCTTAAGATTGTAAATATGAAACATTTCAGACCTTTCATAATTTTTTTATAACTTTTTAGGATACGATTAGTCCATTAAATGTTAATATGTACTGATTTAATCTCAAAAAATATTAATAACTCGAATTAGTTTTTAAAAATATTAACCGATGAAATGGATGAAGTACTAAAATATTCCCCACGTTTACTCTTAAGAGACGATTTAACAACTTGTTCTTCGTAAACTTTATTGAGTGCAGTAATTTTCTTAATAATAAAACTGGATATTTACTCTTGTTTATTTATTTTGTGTTATTTAGTAATTATTTTCATTATATATTTTTTAATTATCTTTAATTACTGATTTTCTCTTAGAGGTTCAAATTCTTGTTTTTTTTTTTACATTTTCTTATATCATTGTTCATTCATAATTCCTTTTAATTTTAATTTATTTTATAATGATATTTTAGAAAAGGCATGTTTGATCATTTTTCATAAAAATTAGGAAATAACCCTTGGTCAAAAAAATTATTCATATAACAAGTTTGGTTGTATTTTTTAAAAATATTTGTACTTCAAGATTTTTGGGTTTTATTTTTTATATACTATAATTATGATTATATTTGGCACATATCTTAATTATATTTAACAGATTAAAATCAATTATGTGAATATTAATTTTATTTAATTTTAAAATAATTAATATCTTTTATTTTTTTTAAAAAAACTAATATCCATTTGTCTCAAATTTGAGTATTTAAAAATACGACACATTGAGATAATACGTGATAGAAGAGCCTTTCACTTAATAGTTCAAACTCAACTTAAATATTTGGGACGGTATTCATTTTTTTTAGTATTTTAAAAATTTAAAAATATTTATATTTTTTTAAATAAATCAATATCTCTACTGTTGATACAACAACAATAATAATAATTTTATGTGTAAAAAGATATAAAATATTTTTTTAATTTACAAGTCACAATAAATATTATCTTTTATTTATTTATCTATTTACACGTTTGAATTAGTATTAAGGAATTACTGTCTTTTTTAATTATATCTTTAGATTTGTTTAATCCTTCAATACTTTAGACATTTATCATAAATAAAAATAAATCTCTTACTAGGAACTTAAAAATAATTGCAACATAAATAAAATATTGGTTGGCTTGGGTTTTGGGCATTGGAATATTGCTATTGGCACTGCTTTCTTAAAGAATAATTAGTCATTATTTCTCCCCTTCGTGTTTTCCTATTTTTCTTTGGTCAGTTTCTTGGGCCGAAACATTCTTGGGCCGTTATTGCTACTTTCATACAAAAGGCTAAGGAAAGGAATAATGCAGGTATACATACTGTCCTTTCTATTTTATTTTTTTTTATAGTACTGTTATATTTTAAGTTTAAATAAATTTTTAATTCTACATTCTTATAAATGCTTGATTTTAAATTTTTAATTCTAATTTAATATTTAAATTTTTCAAAATTATTATTTTTAATCTTTAATAATAATGTAATTAATTAAAAATGTGTCACATGTTAATTTTTTTTATAAAGTTACGTTCTCATTATGAACTAAAAATTTATAAAATTAAGAAAAATAAAATTTTTAGAAATAGAGAAATTAAATTTAAAATTTTATTAAAAATAAGGATAACAAGTATATTTAGAATGGCGTTTTATTAATAAAAAGTTCTCAATCTCTCTAGAGACAAAGCATTTAACATTGTCTTTTAAAAAAGGTTTAAAACAAGGTATTTATTCGCCGTTTTTTTTTTTACTTCTAAATTTGTAATATTCACTGGTTACCTTCTTAATCCTTGCTTTAGTTTTGTTTGGATAATTTTTTTAAAAATTAATAAAATTTAATTTTTAAGTTGAAAATTAAATTATTTTCTCAAATTTTAAATGATAAAACTTTTCTTAAAAATAGTTTGCATAGGTTAATTTTAATTTGTATAAGAAATTTAATTTATTTTATTACTTAAATTTTTATTCTTATAAATACTCAGTAAAAAATTTATCTAAATTAACTTTAAATTTAACGACATTTACTATAATATTATTTATAGTTTTATTTATAACAAATAAAATATTTAATTTATAAATAAATTTATATTTTTGTTATTCAAAGTAAATCATTTTTTATTTAATTAATAATTGAACCGCTGGTTAATCATCAAATTGTATTTTGAATTATTTTTTAAAACTGTCTCCTCGTTTCACCCAATTGAATAATAATAATTTTTTAAATTAAAACTTTTTTTTCAAGAATTTTATACATCTTACTTTACTGGATGATTTAGAATACAAGTACTTTAACTTAAAATTATAAGTTAAATTAAAATAATCTTTTACTAAATATTTCATGTACTCAAGTGTTTTTAAATATGATAAATTAATTAATCTCATATTTTTATGCATAAAACATATAAAAATTCATAAAACAAAAGATAAGTTGTATCTCTATTTTTTTGAAGTTTAATTTATAAAATGATAATGAATATATTTTTTATACATTTGTATAATTCGTTAATCTTTCCGTTCTAAAATTAATTTTTGTCAAAATTTAGGTAACTGTTGGTTATATGCATAAAATGAGATGGAATTTCTTATCTTATTTTTTATTCTGTCTAAAAACATTTTTTTTGTTATTTTTGATTTCTCCCTTTTAGTCAAATAGATGTACTTTTTTAACCTTATGTTGTATTTTTAAGCACACCAAACATAGAGGTCATGTATTTGTTAGGTTGTAGCATGAATGTTATCTAATTCTATCTTAAACTACATAATCAATACTAAAGACCAAGAAAATTTAAAAACGGGTCATTTTTTTCAACTGCATATTCAACTGCTATAATTCTACTTGAGATTAGGTAAATTAAATAGTTAGTCAAAAGATACAATTTTAGAGAATGTGCATACTTATTTAATTATTTAATTAAAAAATTTCAAATTCCTCTCTTCTTAATTTTTCCCCTTTTAAATCAAACAGAAGATTAATCTGCATCTAAATATCTAATAATCCTTCCCTTTTCTTTTTGAAAAATAACTATCCTTCCTCTTACTGCCACAAAGTGCATTCCACGTGCATTCAAAAGACAAAATCATTACAAATTTTTTTTTAATATATTTTAAATTTTTATAAACTAAAAAATACTTGGTCCAAACACAGCGTTAAAAAATCTCTTGTCCAGGTTATTTAATACTAAGAAAGAATAAAAATATTCGGACATGAGTTCCGTTTTAACTTGCCAATTTAATACATATATTTGATATTTCAACAACCTCTCCTACTCCCTGTGGTTAGTCAATCCTGGTTAAACCAGGGTAGTATTAGTAACCATGGTTAGGGAAGATAATCATAGGAGGAGAAGTGATACAATGACACACGTGCGACGTTTTGCTCGCACAAGTGCCAATTCTTTTTTTTTTTTAACAAGAAACTGGCATTAATGTTTTAAGATTTAAAACTTGACTTTCCGGTGAAGAGAGGGTAATTAATGAAAATCATGCCCATCGGAGCCCAAAAATGAATGAATTTAAAAGTAACTAAACCCACACTTGTCCTTACCTGCTTTGTGGGGCAGCCCGAAACAGGAATTTTCGAGTGTTTTGACACTGCCCGAAGTGCCCGATACTTGGCTGAGAAATTACGAGCATTCGGTCTCCAGTACCTGTGTTCCCTTCTCTCTCTCTCTTTCTCACTGACCTCTGATATTTCTATATTTTGGTGCTCCGCGTTTCAACGATCAGGATCCAACGGTCCAAAATGTACGGGGCTTCTTCTGCTTGTTTTCCGAGGTTTTAGAGCTCCAAACCTTCAGATCCAGGTTATTGGTCTCTAGATCTTCCTTCCTGGTATGCTCTTTCATCCTTCTTCTTCTACAATTCTTGCTAATTCCTAGTTTTCTCTTCCCACCTTACTTTTTTCCGCCACTTTCATCTTTGTATTTCTCTTCCTTTACGATCTCTCACTTTATGTGTTTAAATTAATGCTTCTCTAAGTTCTTAGCTTCAACTTTTCCATCACCGCGGGCTTTTTACTCTTCAGTTCCAAGTTTTAAGACCGAAAACTTACTTGTTTTTTTCCTTTTAAAAAATTAGTTTAAATTATATGTGTAATCAGTGTTGTGAATTGTTATCTCATGCTGCCGCTGGTTGTTCTCGTCCTGTTGTGTCTTAAAAACAACTGTTTTTTTTTCCGGTGGTTTTTTTAAAGGTACTGAGAAAAATCTCCTTAAAGAGTTCTTTTAGAAAATAAAATAAAAAGCTATGGTTTTGGTATTTTTGGAAAAGAGATCAGCAACTGTCATAATTTCGCAGAAGATCTAAGGATGGTGATATCATTTTGTAATATTTAATATTATTTATTGTTTACAGGATAACATTTTCTTGTTCGAGGAGGCACTTTTGTTTGTCGTACGAAATGGAAACCAAACAGAGTTCGGTGACGGTTACGCTCAGTCACAGCGCGTTGACGTGTGCCGTGGAAGCGCTAGCGACTTTGCTAGCCTCCGCTGTCGTCAAAGCCACACTTTTAGCTCCGGTGAGTCACTCTCTACCCTTATTATAGCTCCAAAACCTAATTTTTTAAGTCTGAAGTTCTAGTGTTAAAAAGAACCAAAGTCTTGAAGCTTTTACTAGCCTCAAGCTCGACAAGATCTAACCTTATCTATATCTTTTGAAAGCAATTTGTGTTATTTCTTGAGTTCATGTTTTTATGGTCTAATCAATTGTGGGAAATTTTTTTGTCTTTGTCAATATGCGCCTATGCTACGTGCTAACTTGCGCACGGTGGATGAATCACTAAACCGTGAGATTTTTATTTAAAAAAAAAGAAAGAAAGAAATTTGGATAACCAATGCAATATATCCTTATCTTTGAGTGTACAAGGCCAGCTCCCGTGCGCTGGTAAAATCTTTTTAGTTTTATGGATGCTAACGAACTCACAACTTTTTTTATTTTCATTTTCTAGTCTTTATTCCATTAATTATCCGGAAAATAAAATTTAAATTTTGTGGGATATTTTGGTTATTTAAAATAATAACAAGGTTGGGGTTCCCATTGTTTCCCCTTGCGGAACTGGGTGGAGATATGAATTGCGGTTGTGGGATTAGTTAGTTCCGAATTTTTTTACTAGTGGGACCCGGTTCAGAATATAAAATATCTTTTTGTCGTTTGTGAGAGTAAAAGTCAAAAGTCAAGGAAAGAGAGACGAAGCGGATTCGTATGGATTATTCGCTTGGATATGCCGTTGATGAGCGTAAAGCACGTTTCACGAACGCGTGTCGTTTTTGTGTTGCTGCCTTCCTGGCATCTTGGGTGGGAAAAAAAGGTGGAATCTAATACGATGGGACGTACTAATGAATAATGGTAGTGTCCACTGCTTTAACTGTTAATTAACTGTGTCAGTCACTTGTGTGGCTCATAATATTACCAAAATAATTATTAGGAGGAATATCTGATATTGTCTTATTTAATATCAATTTTACCACTCTAATTAAGTAGAGTACATGATGTGTCATTGAATAGTATTTGCATATTCTATTTTTTATTTCTTTCATTATTAAGTTGTATTTATGTTTATTGTTTATCTATACAGTAATATTTCGCACTAAATGCTTCACACTGAAACAAAAAATACTTCTTTGGTTGGACTTTGGAGACTGGTAATTAGGGGATTTTATCATTTATATTTTGAATTAAAATAAAGTTAATAATTAATAACTTGTTTAATAATCAATAGATTTTAACCTAATAGTCCATATCAATTAATTTTTTAAAATAATTTTCATCTTTAAAGAAAAAAAGTTTAATCGGGTTTGTTCATAAATTTTAATTTTGGTAAGCCTTTAAAGGTACTATCAAAAAGTAAATTTTGGGTGACTTTAAATTTAATTAAGCATCAAACAAAATTAATGAATAACTTTTAGGGTAAAGATGTATGTGGCGTGATAAAATAAGGGAAAAAGCATCTTGACAAATAATTATTTATACTAGAATAATTATATGCTAAAATGAAGATTTGCAACTCATTAAATTAATGGCTCAGGATATGTCATTATTCTTTTAACAGAAAAGTAGTTTTAAGCTGAGGGTCCCGATCGAAGCTTCTTAATAACAATTTTAGAAAACTTTGAATTCTGAACTTTCTGCTTTGTCGAAGGCCCTGCTATTTAAAAGTCATCTTAAATCTTTATTATTAGATGAACTAAGTAAAATCATTTGAAGACACAACTTTTTTTGTACTTTATCTAGTCACAATCATTTTGAGTTTTGATTTAACTGTAACATATAATTTGAGAAAATTAAGTTGCAAATGAGTCATGAATGGAGTTCTTTTTTAAAATTACTTGAAGCGTTGAGCATATGATGTTACCTCTCTGTGTCTCATCCTAATCTCAATTTGGGTGCTAGGATTTAACATTTTTCCCGTAGTTCATTTGTCTTAAATGTCAATTATAGTATATAGTATTGACGAAATGGCTGCAGGATCTCTATCGGCTGTTATTAATCAACGCGCCTACAACCAAAGGAGAGAGGGAAGACAAGCAACTTGATGCTGAGGGAGAAGACGGTAACGAAGATGAAGGCGAGGATGATGATGATGGAGATGCTGGATTTGGAGAGGGTGAAGAGGACTTGTCGTCTGAAGATGAAGCTGGATATGGCAACAACTCCAACAATAAGAGCAACTCTAAGAAGGCACCCGAAGGTGGTGCCGGTGGGGCAGAGGAAAATGGAGAAGAGGGAGAGGACGAAGATGGTGAGGACCAAGATGATGACGAGGATGACGACGACGAGGACGACGATGAAGAGGAGGAAGGTGGTGAAGAGGAGGAGGAGGAAGGTGCCGAGGACGACGAAGGTGAAGAAGAAGAGGAGGAGGAAGACGAGGAAGCTTTGCAACCCCCAAAGAAAAGAAAGAAGTGAATTTAGCATAGTGGAAGCCTCCTGTTTGTATTGTTGTGTACGAACTTGCCTCTAACTTGCATGTTTTTACTTTTTTTGGGAACTAAACTTCCATGTTATTATTTAGTTTATAAGGAGGCTTATGTAGGACATGCTTTAATTCATATCTGTGTTTACCATTGCGTAATTAGAATGCTACATTATTGAGCAGGCAATGTTAAATTTAAAAGAGAAGAAATTTTATGGTCTTAGATTTTACTTAAGCCTTTTCACTCTCCCTTCACTCTATTATTGTTAAAACAAGTCACTCTAAATATCCTCTATCTTTACCACTAAAGCCCCGTATATATATGAAGTGATCTACTACTTCAATTTAAGAACAGGGCAGGGGGAGGAGTATCATGGACCAAATTTAATATTAATAAACCTTAAATATATATATATGATGTATAAATGTTTTAATTATATAATTTTGAAATGTTCACTTACATAATATCTAATACTATTCACTAATGTATCTAGTATTAATAAACCATTAGTTAGTTGTCTTTAAAATTATTGGATGAGTTAAACAACAATAAATGATATATTTTGATCTAATAGCGGTTAAAAAGTCGCTCTCAATCGTCACAATGACTTTGGTGTTATTAAAATAGTGAACATTTTTGGTTTAGCTAAGTGAAAAGAAATCTAGAAGAGAAAAAGGCGAAAGATCTACGTGGACTCGGGTGGTGGGGAAGCAGTTACTTTGAGTTTCGAACGAGCAAGATGACTTGTTAATATTATAAAAAATAAGTGAGAAAAAATAATAATGAAGATAAGAAACTTTCTAAATTTGTCTGTGAGTGAAGCTTTTTTTTTTTTTGAGAGAAAATGGAGGAAAGAAAATATTTATGTGATAATTATTTTATCTGTAAACTTTTAGATAAGAAAGAGAATATACAAATTTTCTGAAACCCCAGTAATTTTATGTTTTAAAATTTTTTCTATTTTAAAAAATAGTGTATTAATTATCATTCTTCTTTCCTTTCTCCCTCAAATGCTTTGTTGTTTCAAACCTAACTACCGGATCATACAAGGGCTTGACACTATGGTCATTGGTGTAGTTCAATGTCAACACTTGCTCCATTTTATTTTATGGAGGATGTTGAAATTGTTGACCAAAGTATAAATTGGCATGCATACAAGCCCAGCTTCATTGAATTGTTAACAACTCTTCCTTTTGCTTTTATATATAAAATTGAAATTGAGTTTAATATTTCAAGTTGAAGAAACGAAATAAAAGGGTGGATGGAGTGGCTTTTCCAACATGTCATAGGGACCTCTAATTTGAAAATGTTTGAGATTTTATCAATTTATTGGTTTTATATTTACTTTTTCACAAACTTTTTCACGGTCGTTTCTGTATTTTAATTTGGATCCATGACTTGTTCAAATGAAATCTCTTATTGGGCCCTAATTCAATAAGCATAGGTACTTTGAATAAAGCAATATATAAGTAGTGACAGACTCAAAATTAAACTACGAAGATAACACAGCTAAATTTGCGTGAATACTACATGTACATATATAAATATAAATATAATACATGCAATATTGCGGAAAAATTACATTTCTTTTTTAGAACAATTCGTAAATCCTTCCCTTCTTCATCAAGGAAGTTATTTGGAAATGGTATGGTTTGTATTGTGTACTCTCTTTTAATTTATTTTATTTCTATTAATACTTCCCATCTCGTTTCAAATCTCTGTTACTTATGTTTTAAAATTAATAATTGACTTAATTTTACTTTTAGTCAATATACTTTAGTTTTAAAAAATATTTTATAAAATATAAAATTAAATGTTTTCTAACTATTGCAAGATTATAGAACTGTTTAATTTTAGATTTTGTAAGAATTTTTGTTATAAAATTTATTTCTATTATTTCGTGTATAATTTTTTAAAAATGAAAAAGAATGAAGGTAAAGTAATAATTTGTAATTAAAAAAACATTTTGGTAAAACAAACAGGCCTAATTTTGTAAACGCAAGAAAGAATGTTGTCAAACAAAATTAATTTTGAGTGAGAATTGATTTAGCTGTGCTTAACTAGATTTTCATAAATAACCAAACAAACAGGGCACTAAATTCTCGTGAATTAGAGAGAGTAGTAAAAGGAACCGAACGGGTCCTTGGAAATGGAGAATTGTGATTTGAGCATAAGAAATTACGTTTATTATTTTATAATGAAGTTGTGAGTAGTCAACCAATTTCAACATCTCGTTTCATTGATCTTTTTTCTCTAAGTCCTAACCTTATCTTCCTTTACCTAATGACGGATCACTCAGATTCTTCTCCTCTAATCCCTCCCCCACCCCTCGCCGAGATCGACCTCGAAGCCGCTACCACCGAACAAATTCAATGCCGAATTTGTCTTGAAACTGATGGTAAATTCATTTTCCTTTCATCTATTTTCCATTTTCAGGTTAGGGTTACAAATACTTAGATCGCTTTATGGTTTTAAATTATATGCATTTCAATCGAGCACTTATGTTGTTCTTAGTTCCTAGTTCTTGCATTGAGTTATTGTTTAGTAGAATGTCACTTAGGACTATTGGCACAATGTATGTGGAAGCTTTATTCTTGAGCTTAACATTTAGATGTGTTATGATGTGTCCTATCATTTACAATCTACTCGTTTTGTTTGTTTATGCTTTTGTCCCCCTCAGGTAGGGATTTCATTGCTCCTTGCAAGTGCAAAGGTACATCAAAGTATGTACACCGAGAGTGTTTGGATCATTGGCGAGCGGTTAAGGTAAGGATGCCGTCATCATTAAAGGTTTTTAAATTTTAATTGCTGTATCGAGATGTATTGTATGTCCTACGAGCATTGTGTAACAACTATTATATTTTCAAGATTGCTAGAGGCTGACAACTTTAATGTATCTCGACTGTAAGCTGTTGTTGGTGGTTCATATACTTTTATGTTCAGCTGATCAATTAGGCAACCTACATCTATGTTATCGTTTGTCTATCTCTAAAAGTAATGGTTAGGAAGGAGTCTAAATATGTTAAACAGAGGGTTATAGAGAAATAGTTTGGATCTTCCTCTTCTGTTATTTCCATGTTCCGTTTCTAACTCTTCCCACCATCAGTGATAAGTGTGTTTACCTTTTTTTTTTTTTAATTTTAGGTGGTTTATGTTCACAAATTTGGTTTACTCTTTATGGCTTGTAATATGTATTTCCTATGCTCTGCAAATTTACTTTCAGGACCTCCTTGTATGAACACATATATTTAGCCTGTTAGCTATCTTGTGTGTTTGTCCTTGTAATTTTATTAGGTGTGAATTTATTTGAATCTAATGGTAATGGCTGTACTGGAACTTTAATGATATGCAGTGTCCAGATACTTATATTTAAATGACTTTTTCCTTTACCTAATTATATAAAGAACATAGACTATGTGAGCTAATTTTCCCTCGGAAAAGGCCCCCTGAAGTTCAGGTGCAACTTAAGAGAGTCAAGTGCCAGAGGGGACAATTGTTGACCGAAACTTGCTGGCACACACACAGACTAGCACTTTCTTCTTGAATTTTATTGCTAATATTTCTCTGTGCAGAAAAGTGCCTGACGTACTAAATAAATGTAAATTACTGAATATTCTTGCAGGAAGGGTTTGCATTTGCTCACTGCACTACCTGCAAGGCTCCTTACCATTTGCGTGTTCATGGCGCTGCTGATAGAAAATGGCGTACCTTGAAATTTCGTTTTTTTGTGACCAGAGACATTTTGTTTATATTTCTGGCTGTACAGCTTGTATGTGGATTATTTTCATTTTCCTAGCCATACAGATGCTTATCCATATGTAATTAATGAATTGAATATAGATGTTTTAATTAAACATGGCCACACCTTATTTCCTTTGTCTCCAGGTCATTGCTTCATTGGCTTATTTGATTTATCTAATAGATGGTTACCAGCAGTATTGGCTTCGCCTTGTTTGGGGTTTTGATAGTGAACTGAGCTTTTACTATATTAGCGGTAAATTACTATGAACTTGAGCAACAGTCACCAATATGCTTATAAGTTATAACAAGTACTATTGTTACTTATTGTTTGGGGTTGGGGTTGCGGTTGGGGTGGGGTGGGGGGTGGGGGGGTTCAGTAATCCAGGCATTGTTTTATTTCTTTTGTTCACAGCTTACTTTATCCATATGTAAGATGCTGCATCTTTTGTTGTTTATTTCATTTTGGTATTGTCAAATGTAGGAGCATTGTTGTTTTTTGTGTTGCTTGGCCTGTCTGGATGCTTTATTACTTGTTATGATCGAAGAGTTCGCAATGATTTGGCTCAGCCTTGTAGAGAAATATGTCTTTGTTGCTGTCAACCAGGGTAATAACTCTGACTTTAAATAAGCATGAACCTTTGATATTGTTAAAAAACATAATTATACCCATAGCAACTGCTTGAAGCATTATATATTTTCTGTTTTATATTTTTAAATACATCCTATGATGTGAGAAACCATGTTTGGAGACTAAAGTATGATATTTAAAGTATGATGAATATAGAAAGTATGTAGCTCTTGTATTACATATGCTTTCCTTGGACATGATAAATATAGAAAGTATGATGTTTCATGTTATATTTGAAGTATACATCAGCGGCAAGTCTGTGATCCAGAATGGCAGTGACTGATGTTGACATGTTGGCTTTGTTTTGTTTGTTGTCATTACAGAGTTTGTGCAGACTGTCATTTACCGGGTACCCTTTGTATGTGGACTGATTGCACTGCATGCTTTGAGAGTTGTGGAACCATGGCAACTGAATGTGGTGGATGCATGGGAGGTGCTGGGGAAGCAGGGTTACCATTATTATTCATAATGGCTTTGATTTTTCTTGGACTCTTTACTGTAATTGGGATATTTTACAGTGTGTTAGTTGCTACCATGGTTGGACAACGGATATGGCAGCGCCATTATCACATACTTGCAAAAAGGATGCTGACAAAGGTGCATCTACCTTACTTTATAGTCTTTTGTGCATTTGGTACAGTGCGATGAACTGTCAATTATTGATTCACTGCAACTGCTAATTCAACCTAAATATCTAACTGATATGTGCAATTAGCCCATTAGTCATTTGCCTAGTATACCGAAGGTCTGAAGGAACTTATCTAGAAACTCCTATAAATATGTAATTAGAAGGTTTTCTGTTTGTTTATCATTTAGGTGCAAGATATATTTGCAAAGATATTTATTATTATGGGAGGACGAGCGAATAATATTAATCCTATTTCTTTCTTCTTTCTTTCTAAGTTGCTTATTTAGACTATTTAGCATTAGAGCATTTTAACTGAATGTATTTTGGTGACTTGCTTACCCTGGATCTCGTGGACTTCAATGTTGCTGTTTTACTTACTTCAGAAGAATCTTGCCGTCTAATTCTAACGAGTGAACTACAGGTCGAGGCGTCTTGTTTCCTCCATTATGGATGGGTAGTGTAAATCTGGCACACTGAAACCTATGACCTACAAATTACCCAAACCCCTAGTTACTGCCCTACTACTCCAAATGGTTTCTAATAGATATTCCCATGTATGAAGTTAATTGCATGTTTGATGGGTACTACTCTTGAATATTCGACCATCATCTTGAATTCTTGATTATGGAATTGTGTTGCTTATTGTAGGAGTATGTCGTGGAAGACGTTGATGGAGAGATAACAGGGTCTGATTGGTGTCCTCCGCCTCTCCCCTCGGAGCATGTACAGCAGCTGAAAACACTGGGCCTCCTATGAGTTTGAAACCGTAGGGGTAAAACTGGCACTTTGCTTGGTAGTTTGGTTCTTGTCAGGGAGATATGCAGTTAATTGATAAAATTTGAGCTACTCAAGTGACTCAACTCAATTAGTTTTGACTTGTAAAATTGTGCTAGTCTATCGACATTTGTGGATTTCTATTGCGTCTACAATTGTAAAGAAATGGAAGAGAATTCTTTGAATATATCTAATTACAGATATATTGTAATGTAATAATGTCCACGATTTTGATATGTTTTATATTTCTGCTTGGTTTAGTCTTGTTTTCGATATGAATCCTCAGTAGTTATTTAATAACAGCATGATATTTCAGCCTCTAAAAACAAATATTTTTGATATTATTACTTGAAACCAAACTTAATTTATAGTGAGTCGACAAACACGGATTTTAAACTGCACCTTATGAAGGGTTCTAAAGTGAACGGTAAAATATCCAGCTTCCTTATTCTCTTTTTGGTGCCTATCACTTCATTATACTCACCAATCATGGGTCCGACCACTCATTGTTTTGCAAGCTATTGCTCTATTGCTCGATGGTGTTGGTGAAATGTCTTCGATAGCAATTGCACCATTCTTTTAGAAAGTTGAAGATCTAGTTGCGGAAGTGCGATGAAAGCATTGCGCAATCGATTTTATTTTACATTTTATTACTTATAAAGTCGAATAATCACAGCCCACTGGGGACTTGTCGATGCAATTGATTGGATGAGGTTTGAATGGACGGCACTAATGTCTCTATTTTTGCTATCATATTATAATTCATTTTGATATTATAATTAAGTTCCTATTTGAGGATGAGGTTTGAATGGACGGCCCTATTGTTTCTATATTTGTTATCATATTATAATTCATTTTGATATTATAAATGAGCCTTTATTCTTCAGTTTCTTTTATTTAATTAATATATTTTTTAAAATTATTTTTAAAATTTTAAAAAGGTGAAGATATTCCTTCTCCACATGTCACGTGTTTAAAAAAAAAATAGTAGCACTTAACAATACACTTCGTGACATGACAAAAACTTTCAAACAAGAAAGTAGTGCTATATATATATATATATATATATATATATATATATATATATATATATACTAATAAAAGAAATAAATTTTAAAAATATATTAATTAAATAAAAAAGCGTTATTCTTGACTTAGTATTTTTATAAGTTATTTGCTTTTTTTATTAAGTTACATTATTTTTATTTATAATTTTTTTGTTTTAAAAATTATTATTTAAAATTAATTTTCAATTTTAAATTTAAATTTTGATATAATATATTAAATTAAATATTTTTTGAAATGGATTAAAATTAAAATATACTTTTAATTAATCTTAAATTGAACTTAATTTTTAAATTTTGATATATCATTAACTTGAAGATTTGAAGTGTTCTTGAAGGACTCTGTTTTTCTCAAATTACATATCGGATGCAAGATTTGGCCAAACGTAAAATACATGTATTAACATCACTGGCATGCAAATATTTTATTTCGGGGACAAATTATACCTGATTGGTACTTGATAGAAAGGTTGCCGAGGAGAAAACAAAAACTTGAATTCTAAAAACATTACAATTGTCATTTTGGTTAAGAAATATTAATGTTCGTTTAGTTTAGCATTAGAATAAAGTTGAATAGAATGTCTTTTGAAAATTGAGAAAAAAATTGCATTAGAACATACATTTTTTTTATCAGAAAATGAGAAAAATCAAATTCTAATAGTAAAACAAACGGACCTAAATTGTAATTATTGTATCAAATTGTTATAATAATTTAGTGCTTATTTGTATCTCTGTTATAAATAAAATTCTTTAGAATCGTTTTTTTTACCCCTCTCACATTACTTGATTTGTAACGGACAAAAGTGTATGATAATTCATGTAAATTCACATCTTAAACAAACAAGTCATTAATTCTTCATCAAAACCATGCATATACTTGAGAGAAAAAAAATAGGATATTCAGTATACGTAAATATTCAAGGTAATTTTACAACAATTTCTTAAAAGATATAGTCAAGCTTAAACGAAGTTTTCACTTTAATCATACTTTCATAAAGAAAAAAAAAATTGTATATAATATTGATATCTTGTTACAAAGCATTTTAAGGAGCTTAGTTAAAAAATAAAATAAAATTATAACATTTAATAAATTGGGAATTTAAAAGTGTTTATTTTATATTACAAACGGAGTTCCCGTGTTTTTTCAGATAAAAGCAAAATTTCGCAAACACGTATTTTCACAACAAAATTATCCCCTTGATGAACGCAGAATGTTGATAGCAACACAAAGGAGTCATGAATATACAGTTGGAATATGCTTACAACATTATAATATAGAATTATAAGTAACTTCTGTTGAGGGAATTATCAAACCTGAGCCCATGAAAGAAAGGAAAGGACAAAGGACCACTAGACTGCGATTTCGCGTCTGAAATTGGTAATTACATCAAAAAGAGACTTTGGCATGTGTGTGCATGTTGGAATTTGGATACAGTGAGCGGTCAGTGACCCCATTCTGTGTCTCTCTCTATGCATATACACAACATAGCTTTACATGGTCCATTGCCCCTACCCCACTTCTGAACTTTTGGTCATTTTCCACATTCAATGGGCGCCCAACTAACCTATTAAATTATAATATCAAAAATATGAAAACAAGGTTTTGTATAATTTAGAAAACAAGGTGCCCCACCCACAAAAAGTGTATTCACAAAACAGACAATCAAATCCACTGGCTACAAGCAACAACTTCACAAGTAGGCTTCAGCCTCACCCTTATCCAAAACAAGTTGAAAAGTCCCTTCCTATATATTGCTTATGCTTTTGTCAAGGTTGGAGTACGAAGCAAGAGTAACCCTTTTAGTAAAACAAATCACACAATTTCTTAAGTAGTGTACGAGGATGTCAGACATTGCTATGTTGGTGGCTGAAGAGTATGAGAGAAGGGTCAAGAGTTTAAGAAAGGGTGGAGCCGTAGGAGCAGGGGAAATTGACCTGGCTTCTTCTGTTTCGACTATGATTTCGAGGCTCAAGGAAAAAAAGCAACTTGTTCAATGGGTTTTGGAACCCAAGACCCAAGTTTCCATGGCTGCTTCTGACAGCTTCTTCTCGGCTTGAAACTAGTGATTAATCTTTATTTTCATCAACTATGGACTCTGTTTTGGTTGCTGATTTTATTTAGTTTCCGTCTTATAATTTTCCAGCAATGTTGTACATAGCTGTTTCGAATTCAAGTTAGAGGAAATTCTGTTTAGAGAGAGTTTCTCCGATTTTTTTCAGTTCTTGTTCTCTCTGTTTCCTTAGACCTTAAATTAAGGAAACATGTTATGCTTTTTTATTATTCTATTGTTATAGATAGATATAAAAGTATACCTTATTTTTACTTTATTTTCTATTCTTTAAGATTTGTTGTTTTCATTTCGGTGGATACCCCTCGTGGGTTGGCCTTGTACGAAATAAACTACATATTTTTGGTGCTGAGTGTAGCGCTCGTCCAATAAACAGAATAAAATATTTATTCTTTACTGATTTATTTATATATATATATATATACACAATATCAATTAATATTATAATTATAAACAACTTAAAAAGTAAAATATAAATTTATAGCATATAATTATATTTTATTAATCTTAATAATTTAAATATTTATTTTTTATAAATAGAATCACAGATAACAGTAATTTTAAAAGTTAAAATTTCTTTTTACTTGCATGCATTTCAGCAACCTTGGAAAGGTACACTGACTAAGTTGACTTGACTTGAATCTATTACAAAATGAGTAGTTTTATAATCATAGGAATTAAAACGGTTAGTTTTTAATAATTTAAAAGCTTTTTTATAATAATTTTAGAGATTAAATTAACATATACTTTTTAAGACTAAAAGACTGTATCGTTGAAAAAAATATATTTTATAGGATTATTTCTTAACCTAACTCTCTTCCTCGAAATAAATTTTAATCTAACAAAACCCAAATAAATAAAATAAAATTCATTATCTTATTATCCTATCTGAACATCTCTTCTGACCAAGAATATGGGAAATATTAACTGTCTGTGGTAATTTATTTATATTTATAGTTATAAAATTGGTATGATTCTGCGTCGGTGAATATGAGATAAGCTTGTTGGAAATGCATCATGTCAGGTTTCGAAGTTTGGCCCATCTTGCAATGTCTCATGGCTCACAAGTTTATATACATGTATCTAAATAAACAATACAATATGTACAATACTTATAAGAAATAAGAAAAAAAATCATTTTAAAAAATTACTCAAACATAATTAAAAAAACACAACTTACTTCTTCGAAAGTGATAGAAAATTAGATTAAAAAGTTGCAACCTTAAAAAAATTATAAAATAATGAAAGATATACACCTAGAAGATGCTTAGCGGCACTTTGGTTAATTTGATTTAGCATAAGTATAATTTTTTCCCCTTGATTTTTTTAATTAATTGAATCTCTTTATTTTTAAAATTATATAAATGTAGTCTTTTTTTTATTCTTTATCTAAAATATTCAGTTTTTTTTATTTAAAATCTTAATAAATTGAAATAGTTAAATCATTTTACATTTTTCCCCTTAAAACACGCGATCCACACACACACACACAAGTATTGTCGAAATTTTAATTTTTGAAAGTAAATTTATTTTATATACGAATTTTATCATAAATTCCTTAAATATTTGAGTAGAAAATAATAATATAAATATTCAAAGTAAAATAAATTTAATAGAGGGGCCAAATTTGCATGATTTTAAAAGTAAAGAACATAATTAATTCTAAAAGAAATTAGAGTTTAAAAAATAGTTAAGAAAAATTGAAGTATAACTCACGTTTAAAAAATAGTTCAGGAGAAAGGAATTATCTAAATCTTATAAAAAATATCCAAACCATATTATATTTTATTCCACTTTCTCACATATAGATAGACTATCATTTTTTTTTCACAAAAAATAATTGCTTGTGCAATTTTTTCCGTTTGTGGCCGGAAAGATCTAAACATCTTACTTAAGATATTAGTCAACTAGTGTTTTAAAAGATTGATTAAAAATATTAGAAGTTACATTCAAACATCAAAGGATATTAAAAATTATTAGAAAATACATTTTAAGAAAAAAATAGTTTAATTTTCTAGATAGTATCTACTTTTGATTAAAGGGATGAGAGGCGTTATAAAGTTAATTATTTAGGAGTGGGCTCACAATTTTATTAAATGGCCGTGGATGAAGCTAAACATAAATAGTGACCAAAAGTTGCATGGAATGATTAGGCCCAAAACCTGTTGTTAGTTGTACCAAAACTTGCTTATACTATTAAGAATTTTATCATAGTGATTTTTATATAACTCCTTTAAATTATTTTTTACATTAGTTTTTTCATATAAACGTTATTAGCTTTTTCTAATCAATAACGATGAATATAGTACATTGTTTTTAGACTTTTTTTTATGTAGAGAAAGAAAGCTAGTTAAAGTCACTGTTTAAGTGAAAATGTATTAATTAATTAGGTGAAAATAAAACAATATAATTAAAAAAGTAATCAATGATTTATGAAAATATATCCCATGCAATTGCTTAACTAGTTATCTCAATGAAAATTTTAACAAATTAACTTGTATTGTTCATCTAAGCTGATAATATTAGGCCCTAGTTTAGTAATCCTAATGAAAATGGATTTGAAAAATAAGATTTGCATGGGTTGGTGTGGTCCAAGTAATTTGAAGGTACGTAGAAACAGCACAAGTGCCCAATTTACAGCTACGACTGTTCATTTCCTTTGTCCTACTATATTGAATTTCCTCATCCACCTTCCCTCCCAGCAACAGATCTAGAATCTTGGGTTAGTGAGAGTAATTTAATACAAATATTATAAAAACTAATATATAATCAAATAAATTACATACCTTACAATTATTTTTATATTTTAAAATCGTTAAATGATTAATTTGCTATTAATGCTATTGAACATGTCTTTTTCCATGATAATTCAAATGGTAAAATCTTTTTCTTTTTATTTCATGTGTATTCTTTATTTCTTCTTTCCAAATTTTCTTTCTTTTCTTATAACTCTTTTTTTTAAGCTCCCATCTTTCCCATTCTTTTTCTAGTGAGCACATATTTTCAGACTTTCAAATCATCGTCATTCCATCTTTCTTTTGACATTTTGATTTTATTTTTCTAGTCAATTCCTCACAATTGATAATTATTAGACAGAATATACTAATATTTTTTTTTCTACTTGTTGGATAATAACACTTTGACACTATCGCTTTAATACCTTCATTTTCTTAGTTTTTAAATTCTCTGGTTAGCTCTTCACCGTTTATAAAAGTCAAATAGATTAACATAATTTCCTACCCATAGATTAACACTATCCCTTTTTAACTCTTTTTTTTTATTCGAGTAATTTTATTTTCTTTGTTTTTCCAATATTATGAACTCGTATGAATTTGGATATCAACACACACATAATAGAATTTTTTTGTAAAAATATTTTTTTATAGAAGTGATCAGAATTTACATTTTATGGCTTCATGATTTTAAGTTTATTGGACTTAAATAAAAATATTAGAATTCAAGTATGATGAAGCATTAATTTATTTTAAAATATATCACCAATGAATAATAAAATATCTTATCATTGATAAAATACATAATGATACATCAAGAACCAAACAATACACATGCGATTTTTATGAAGATTAAATTAATTAAAAAAACCAAATAAAAACATTATATCAAATCAAAACCTGAATAAAATCCTCCAATGAGAATAATGAACAGGACAATGGCCAAAATGGCATTATTGTGGAAACTAATTCCATAAATGATAGAGGTAAAGTAACATCCTAAAAATATTCATTAACATTTTTCTTAAATAAATAAATTTTATTTAACTTAGCTTATTTAATATATACATAAACTTAAATTGACATAGAACTCAATCATATAAGTTGAAGTTGGATCTAGATTCAGTCTTGTAACTGAAATGTTTTGTTAGTGTATTTTACACTTTTGCTTAAGCGAAAGTGTAAAATTTTATTTGACTGGATCATTTAATTTTTACAAAAATAGACTGAATTCTCATCTATTGAAATTAGAATACAGAATTGACTTACGCCAAAGTTTAACATAAGATTAGAGCTGAGGAAAGAGAAAAGAGGGACCTTGTTGTACTCCCCACCATTTTTAGAGTTTAATTGTCTATTTTAACTCTTAATACAGGTATTTATTGTTACTTTTATTTAAATATTTTTTATATGATTACATCTATTTTTTAAAATAGAAGTGAAAATAGATGCATAAGAGGGACAATAAACCCTGTCTTAATTCAATATATTTTTCTTGCAGCCCACCATATATTAAATTCAACAAAGAGGACAGCTCCTTGATGCAAGGTTTGAATTTGGACTTTATTACAATGGCATGTGTAAAAAACCCCCACTCACAATCAGGTCGCTATTTAAAATGGAAAAGGTTACTCCACTCTTTGGGTCCTATCAACCTAAGTTTGTAGAAGACCCAGTCCTAAAGTACCCATAATTCTTTAGGTGAAATAGTAGCAAACAGGAAGAAGGAAAATGAGTGTGGTCCTGCGTGGAAAATAAGGAGATAATGATGAGTTACTTGCATTAACAACACCATTTATAAGTCAACAATACTGGCACTATTAATCTGCAGCTACTTTTGTCTGAGTTGGGGGAAGCTTGATATCAACTCTATTTCTCTAATTTGGAGGACTTATTTGTTTTTTCCCTCTTAATTCTCCAAATACAGTACTTTATAAATATCAGATCGGAGGTATCCACCGTTAAAAGCTTTGAGAAAATATTAATTAAACAAATTTTGGGTACAACTAAATAGTTGGGTATAATATTACATATGATATGAATATTGGCTTATTCTAATAGCTGAAAAGAAATATTGGTAACTAGATAAATTCAACCATGTCTAGTGTTCTTGCATGCATGTGAGTAGCTCTGGCTTGTGGGCACTTGTCACGTTAAAAAAAGGTTGGTCTGACCTCTGAGATTGTTGCGACCAGTAACATGAGGAGTCACTCTTTCATGCATCAAATCATTAAACACTTTCATCTACCCATTTATTAGCGTATTAAGGAGGGTGTTCTGAGAGCTTCCATGTCTATCTACTTCTCACTACTACTTCTAGTGAACAAGCCACCTCTTTCAAAAGCAAGTTGATTCCATCACGCCAACCCGTTCTTGTTTCTCGCCAAAATATCTCTTTTTTCAGATATTTCCGACGTGGACTCTTACCATCACCCATATGATTCTGCAATTTTTAAAGATCTGTTTAGTTATACATAATAAATATTTATATATAATAAATTTTATTAAAAATTATAAAATTTAATATAATTTTATTAACTTTAATTTTAGAATGAATAGCATGTCTTTAAAGATCGAAACGATGATAACATTGAATACTATAAATTTTTAATAAAGAGTAGAATAATTTTAAAATTTTCTATTTTTATGTTTATAATTCTTTTTAATTATTGAGTATAAAATATTAAATAACTTTTATAATTAGTATTTAATATTGTAAACTATTTTGAAAAGTGATAATCTTAAGCGAAATTCAAAGGATATATCGACAATGTATCATGCAACATAACAGTGACAACTAGGATCTTTGTTTTACTATACCCTTGAATTGGAAGGATAGATACGTACAAAAGTCTAAGAATACATTCAATGTCCTCTTCTGAGGAAATCGCAAAAGGGGAAGAAGAGATCCCTCTATGTACATGTAAGAAAGATTAATTAATTACCTGAAAGAGAAATTGATTAAGTAGAAGAGTAAATCAGAGATATCTGTGCAAAGTACTACCACCCCTTAATGCAGACAACAAAAAGATAAGCTGGTCATCATTGGCATCATATTCAAGCTGGTTTTGAAGAAGATGGTACTTTTCCACAACATGATCTGGTAACACTTTGTTCCTGCAAAGTGGACAGGTAGCACAGTATTGCTTCAACCACTGGTCCAAACAATCCTTATGAAATGTGTGTTTGCAATTCAAGTTCCTCACATTTTCTCCTTCCTCGAATTCTGATAAGCACACCCTGCAATCTAAGTGGTCTACCTTCAATCTTCTGGTGTAACGAATTGTGGGGTTGTTCTCTTCAATGAAATTGAGGTATTGGGTGGTGGAAATTGAATTTGTATCTGACTTTAGGTAGCGAATGATGAGAATAAGTTCTATTAGGATATATGTTAATAGGACTATAGTTTTTGAATAAAGCTGATACAAGAGCTCTGAGAGAGCCGTCATGGCTTCTACTTGCTGCTAATGAATTCTTCGAAGCACAACTTTTTTCCTTTTTTTCTTTTATAGAACATTCAATGCACCCTGCTGCGCTATAATTACATCTACATCTTTCTTCTTGGGGAACGGTTCTTTTATGAGTTCTTGTTTCAGTTTAAGTGTTTTCACCTTCGCGGATATAAATTTACTTCCTTGTTTTTATTCCTTTTTTCGGTTTTAAAAATATACAAAGAACAATAAAAATGTCTTTTAAAAGTTTTATTTTTATCTTTTATTTTGTTAATTGTTAACAAGATAAAATGAAAATTAAATAAAATTCTATAATTATGGGTGAAAAGTATTAATTAAAAATAAAAACATATCTATTCCATAAAAATGAAGTGTAGATCACTTGAACATATAAGAGCAAATAACTGCATTTTATATTAAATGTTTATATTTATTAAATATAATATATAATTGATTTAAATGATATTATTGATAAAATATTATATTTATTAATTATAATACATTTATTAGGCATATGAATTTTATATTATCAAAATTTCTTGAAAATTTATTATTACTAAAAATAAATGTAATTTTTATAAATTTAATATCTACAAGTATATACTAAACAGGTTTATTCATCTTTATATAGTTATTTAGAATAGATTCAATTTATATATATCGATTTTTAAATAAAAAATAATCAAAATGCATATATGTATATATATTATGATTTATTTATCAATTTTAAATTTTAATTATGATTTTGAACAAATATAATGAACTAATTCAAATTTAAATATAATGTATTCTTAGTTTTAATTCTTACTGTTTATAAAGCATTTTGAAGTAGCAAAATTTGTCTACATATTAATATAATTGTAAATTATTTAAACTCTTTAACATTTTAAAAAATTAATTTAAACATTATTTTTTATTGTACCTTTATATTATGCATTTAGTTATAGTAAATTGAAATTTATATTCTATAATAATTAAATATAAGAAAATATCAGACATATATGCAACTTGTAAATTGTAATCGCGTTCTAATTATTAATTACTAGCAAGGGAGTACGCAGATTCGACTCTGTTGATTTTTTTGGATAAAAAGTCATACAATTTAATCATAAAAATGTATATGTTGTTTTCTTTTAGAATAATTTAAATAAAAATTTGAATTAATTTAATTTAATCCGATTAAAATCAATTTAAATGTAACTAAATAATTTAATTTTTATAATTTTTAAATTTAGTTAAAAATAAAATAAAAAATTATTTCATTTTTTATATTCTATACTATTTTTATTTTAGTACTAATAATTTATATTAAATTGAATCGGATTTTGAAGCTTTAATTAGTAACTTTTCTCTGTTACACTGTTTGAGCTTTTGTTCAATTACGCGTTAATGAAAAATGAATGTCTCAAGCGGTGGAAGTTGGACAACTACATTCCCTTTCCCCCAAACGTTTCTGTAATTATTATAAGAGGAATTAATGTTAGTATTATATTTCTTTCAATAAATATGTCTGTCACTGATTTTTTTTAAGAATAGTTTTAAAATTTTGTATCCTTTAGATTTATACTTTTTTAATTATTAAATAAAAATTATTATATATATATATATATATATATATATATTATATTTACATACCCGCAACCAAATTTTGGATCATTATTGTTGTTTTGGCCATTTTATTTTATAAACTATGAAATTATTATAAAGAAAATATAATGACATTTTTGTAAATATAAAAAAATAGTAACTATTTTAGAAAAATGATATGAAAATTGGTGGCACGTGTGAGTGGAAAATTGATTTAACCGTCCCATGTCTGTCTAAATTAGGTGAAGTGGGACAAGAGAGGTGTTACTGAGGGCAGAACCATATAGGAGAACAATAATGTATTTTTAATATGTTTTTTATTAATTATTTTTAAAAAATAATTAATTTATGAGATATATATTTTAATAATTTTAAAATAAAATAATCATTAAAAATAAATATTGTTAATGTTTCTCTTTTAAATATATATTTTTAGATTCAATCTTATGATGATGTCCATATATAAATAGTCCAAACACTTGAAATGAATTTCACTAGCAAACAAGCAGACGCCCGGCCTGGTAGGACAGGGAGAGAAAACTCTCCCACGTGACATGAAAGATCATATGAACATTTTCTTTATATTATTTTTTAGAAAACATTAATTATAATCCTTAAGGTTGAATTTAAGTAATTAGTAATACTAAATATTTTTGATAAAAATATTACTTTTAATATTTCAAAATTAACCTTGAAGGCTAAGATTAATAAAACCATAGTTTTTATAGAACTCTACTAATTTAATGTTTATTAAAATGGAGGTCAATATAAAACTCACGTACGACCCTATCAAGTGAAATTTAGCACTGACTATTAAGCCAAATTGGACTAATTGAAATAAAAAAAGGATTGAGCTAAACCTTTTACAATGCCATTCATACTTTATATTGGACTCATTGGATTCGCTCATTATATTCTATCCATTTTGACATCCTCAATTTTTGGAAAGATGAAATAGGCCATCTCTTGGAAATATTTCACCAGTTTAAATTCATGGTTGTGCAATTAGCATCCCCACTTAAAAATTCTAATTTTTTCATCGTCTTCAAATTGTTTGAATTATTTGGTCTTCAGCGTGAATAAGTAAAACATATTAAAGATGTCTGTAGTTCAGTTTAAATCACTCTTGAGATAAAAAAAAAAAGTCATCTAAATCATATAGAAAAAACTTGTACTCTTATTTAGATTGATTTGATCATAATATCAAATTCCAATTAATTTAATTAATTCCCTACCGTTTGAATTGGACTAATTTTTTTTAGATTTTGCCTTGGTGTCATTTTACATTTAAATGTGTACAAATATATTTCCCAAGATGTGTGTTCAACAAATCCCAAAAAAGACAAGTACGATATGCGCTTTTAATTGCTTGATTGGAGATTTGAATCAGATATGTCATGACAAAATTTAGTACTTAGAAGTTATGATAAAATCAAGTATAGATTTATTAAAATTTAAAATTAATTATAATTTCAATCAATAATTATTGGTATACTTAATCCTTCAAAAGATAGCATTAACGTTACTCTCAGTTTCCTTGATCTGAAATAGCATTAACGTCTCAGTTTGGGGTTCACTACCCTAAACAATTATACATATCTCAAAAAGAGGTACTACTCGTTTAACACACTTAAATTTTTTCTCTTTCTTTCTATCACCTCAAGCATCATATCTATCACTACACTCTTTCTTCTGTTCCTATCTCTCTAGGTATATACATCCAAAGAAGTATCTGCCAAATATTTTCCTTTCACATAAGTAAAATACTGACGCATTGTTGGTTTCCTGATCAATCTTTGTCCACGAGAATACAATCCAATAATTATTTGATTAGCCAATTATGTACAACTAATACAAGTACATTATAATCAAAATTTTTCTGTCAAGTATTTCTCAGATGAAATCAGTACCTTGCTCATCAGAACTCACTGCTCACAAAGTCTCGAACGAATTTGTTATAAAGCATTTAGAATCTTGAGGTGTGCTACTTTCCTTTTACAGTACAACCCAAAGGTTAGGGAGCCAGTCTATAGTTTGGCTTCCACGTATTTGCAGCTCAACCCTACCTTTCGCGCACAAAAAAAAATAATCTCCAGATTTTGCATGGTTCCAACAGGTCAGGTTGATTAAATTCTAATTACTGCAGGGTTTCATACAGAATGCTGATGATTACCATAGTACACCATTCCTGGAGGTTGAAGTGGTCGGAAACTAGGAGGTGCTGGGGCTTGCTGCGTCATTGTTATTGGTTGATGCTGAGTTATAGGTACTGGCTGTTGCTGCGTTATTTGCAGTGTCTGATGTGTTGGAGTCACCATTGGGCCCACCATATGGGGTGGGGGTGGTCCTGGTGGTAATGGAGGGATGCTACCATAACCATATGGAGAAATGACCCCTGCAGTTGATTGCAAAAATTGCTGGGAGGATGAGTTGCAAAGCATGTGATATTGATTTTGTGATGCAGCTGCTGGATTCTGCATGGTGGGTTGAGGTACCAAAACCGAAGGATATGAATGATTTGGTGTAGCAATCAACTGTTGTGCAGGCATAAAAACGTTTGGATCTGACATAGGTATTGACATCTCAGGTTTTGGCATGGGCTCAGAAGATAGACCGGCATTTTTTGCCTCTTGCGCTGCAAAAGTTGACAGAACAGAAGACATGATTAATTGAGATGATGAAGAAGCTGTTAGCTTATCGGCAACCTCAGCTGCAATTGCTGCAGCTGATTTCTTCACTGCCGCTTCTGATTTTGTATTTGCTTCAGTAACTGAAGTTGTTGCCGTTGATTCTTTATATGAAGAATCTTCATTGTCAAGTCGCTTCCGCATGTAACTAGCCTCTTCTATTTGTGCTTGTGCTACCTACATAACATTAATGAGATATTTATGAGCACAAAGTTCAAATTTGTTAGCATCATTACTAGTAAAAGCTTGTCCAAGTTCCAAAATGAAAGCATACTCAACAAAGTATAAATGGCATCCAATGCTTGACAGGAACTTACTTTATATTTGTATGATACTGCATTCACTGAGTAGTTTTCACCTTAAATTACCTTTTTTTCTATTTCTAAATTGAGTTCATTACACTGAATGCCTTTGAGGTTTATGAGAAGTATGCATAAACTCTAGTTTTAGAAATAACACTGAATTTCCCTATTCCCCTCCAAGATTGAATACGTTCAGATATATATACTCCAAAAATAAATCAAGGAAGGCCTTTGTATAATATTTTTCTAAGGGGAAAATGTCCCTGCAATTTACGTAAACTTCAAGGAATGTCAATCTAATTTATTCTATTAAATGTTTTTACAACTGCCAACATTATTTATGATTGTTCATTGAATTTACCATAATAATTGTAGAATTACCTCTTACAGATATACAAAGAAGAGACACAAAAGAGAAGGAATTAAATGATGGGAAACCTAGATGCATGACAACTATACATCATATTTACATCTCATAAGAAACTACTCAAAATAGGACAGTCTTCTGACGATAAGAATCACGATAGTACATACCTGAATCTGAGTTCGAACATTCTCCAGCTCAGATTCCTGATACATATATACAAGAATGACGAGATGACTTAGAATTCAAAATATAAAATCTTATTGAGCACAAAAATATGATAGCTTGCCTGCTCATGCAAAGCTTCTTTTAACCGAGATACAAGTGCAGCTCTACTTGCTTCAACTAATTTCAGATTTTCAATGCATTGTTTTAAAATATTTTCCTCCTCCACTAGTTCCTTAGCCAAAGTTTCTCGCTTAGGGTCCTTTACTGAAGAAGAGAAAAAGTGTAAGAATCCTAGCTTCCAAAACTCAGGTGATAATTTCTTTATGTTGATTTCTTACCAACAGCACATGCAATATCAACATCTTTTTCCATCTTTCTCACATGATGAACAGCTGACTTGCACTTACGCATCACTGCATCTTCATTGGAATGTTCATTAAGGACTGTATGAAATGCTGAGACTATTTTTTCAGCTGTACCTCCAATGGACAATCTCTGAATTTCATAAAATTCATGACAGTCAGCTAAGCAAGAAGAATTACAAACTAGTCTGAAGGATGTAATAATCAAAAGGATAGAAAAGTTTGAGTATAAAGTTGGGGAGGGAGGAGAGCCACAAAGGCCCTCAGTCTCACTGTTTTAATGGAGCGAGTATCCTTTTTCACAATTCTAACAGAACGGGATCGCTTTTTGTTGAATTCCAATGATGGAGGTGCTTCTTTTCCAAGTACTACATTTACAAGATCCTTCACTTCAGATCCAAACACTGCCCTTTGCTCCCATATTTCAACCTAAAGTTAGGTAAGAAGCACCAAGTTAAATAGATCAAACTGACTACAGTGAAATCAATATCATGGGATGCAAATCATTGGTCAAAAATTTATGTCATGTCTGAAGTTTCAGCCCATGCATGAAGAATTAAGTCTGCAACAACTTAATATTCAGATCATACATAGCCCCTCTTCCCACCTTTATTCACTTGTACTCACCCTAAATCCTGGAAAAGGGACTTACCAGTCTAGATACTACATTCTTTTCTTGATCATCACCTTTCTCAACAACTTCCTTAAGAGCTGTGGGAAGAACCTTCCAAAACTCAATCACAAATTCATTTCCTTTCCGTTTACTGTTCTGCAGGATGTCATTTGCAAGATACAGAAGGGGGACTCGCTGAACCTTCTCTGAATTGCGCAGCTGTTTATGCCATGTTTCCACTACCAGTTCTGCTTTGCTCCAATTAAATATGCACCAATGTGACAAAGCTATTCAAAAAATTAAAGATAACAATGTGTATGACACCAACAACCAATTCACGTACTTCATAAAATCAACTTTATACTAGGCAGCAAAATTAAACTGCTTTTAAGACTGAAAGAAAATCCACGTAAAAGTACTAATTCAATAACTCACTCCAAGTTACATTGACCAACCCCTAACAAGTTAATCTAAAAACTGAAGAATGTGTGCCAACAAAATTTTGATGCATCAAACATCTGACTTTGTTAAATTAATAATTTGTTATAGTGTAAATAAATTCTTAAGAAGCCAGGGCTGCCACTGCAGTAGACAAACCCTTTTCAAAGTGGACATTGTTCTGATCAACAGTGGGTGTCACTGCAGGTCCTAAATAAGAGAGAGAGAGAAGGAAAAAGGGAAGTGCATTAAAAAATACATGCAAGAAGACAATAGATACCCTGAAAAAAGTTTAAGATCTAATTCTTTGTAGGTCTAACAGCTGAAACAACACTTTAAGTTTAACTAATAAAAACCAAACAAGCAATTATGCAAGAATTAGACTCACTGCGTAAAATCAAATTGATATGGCCATTAACTTATTCCATCTCCTTGGCATATGTATCACATGAAACACTGAAACACGTGTGCAGTTTAAATAATACTGCATAACTTTTGGCATGACTCAGATAGGATAGTCCATTACATTCCTTTTAGTAAAAATATGCAACTTAACAAATAAAAAGCTTCCTCCTACGTTTTTTTAGCAGTTCTATTTCCACTTCCATGCTTGACAAGAATTTTCCATACGGTTTTTGGTCTAATCATGTATTTCGTTTATCTTCCTACTTTGCTAGTCATCTAGAATGATAACTTTCCAAAATTCTACAAAGACATTCAATCACGGAAAGGCATCAACAACATATTCTAGGGCAACAATACATGTGTATTTCAAAGAACCAGCAATCAAAAGTCACAGTTCAAAAGTTTTCACTTCTTCCCAACTTAGAAATCACACACAGACCCAAAAAAGATTGACATAGCCACAATTAGCACAACACCTGAAGATATAATTGCATCTTCATAAATGAATATTGTAATTCCAATTACAACTCAATAATTTATGATTCGGATTCATATTCCGTACTCCCAAGGGCCAACCTAACTCAAACATTTTTAATTAACTACAACACATAGAAACACTTCCAAACCCCACAACACAAATCCCAATTTGATATAAAAAAAATCAAACAATTAAAAGAAGCACATTCATTAATTAAGCACATTAATACAGTTATTTAATTTTATTTAACTAAAAAAGGATACTTTCAATGCACTTCTGCGTGCCGTTAAGCTTGGACAGCTTGTCCGCGAGTATCTGCTCGTTGAACGCGCTATTCATTCCAACCAACCTGCACGAGAAATTACACGAATGAAACCCTAGCACCTTGCAGAGCAAAAAACGCGAGAAATTGTAAAGTTGGGGAAGAAAAACTAAAACCCTAGAACCTAATGAAAACATAGAGGGTGAACGAGGAAAGGTACTTGAGAATCAGAAAGAAACATTCAATTGAATAATTAAGCAAAAGCAGAGAATGAAGGAAAAGGAATTGAGGAGTGAGATACCAAGTACAACAATGCCGGGGGTTGAAACGACCGCGTTTAGGGGAAGCCGCAGAAACTTTGAACGAAGGTATAATAACAATTGATAATAATATTATAATTTATAAGTGAGAAAGAGAAGAGGGGGTTGAAGAAGAAGAACAAGAAAGAAAGAGAAGTAAAAGTTAAAGGTTTACGTTTGCGGGGTTTGGTTTGTCCATTTGGCGCAAACTCTGCGAAGTCTAAACGCAGCACCTCCCACATACACCAAGTTCACATTCATCGTATGCTCAAGTAGTAATAATAATAATAATTATCAAAATTCATGTATGTTGTAAATTGTAACGTATTATTTTCTAGTTTTCAAAAGGAAATGTCAAAAGGTATAAAGAGGAGCAATTAAAATTAATAAAATTTTACTAAAATTTAATATTTCCATTTTTAAAATATAGAAGAATAATAAGTATTTTTTTAATAAAATATTATTTTTTTAAGTGTTTAATTTTTATTATGAAAAATTAAAATTAATTTTTTTAAGCTAGGTAAGAAATAAAATGCCAATATATTTTATAGATGGCATGTTTAAATAGTTTATTAGGATGTGTGTGTGAGTTTAATTGAAGAGAATAATGGAAAAAAGGTTTTTTTTTTTTTTTAAATTCTTCTCTTATTTTCTCTTTATTTTAAACCATTTTTTTTTCTTTCTCTCTTGTTTTTTGTTTCTGAAATAAACTGTGCCATCTAGCGATTATAAATACACATATAAGTTTGATTGAGGTTGTGTTTGGTCACTTGATAACAAGTTGTTGCGAATATTATAAGACAAAATGTGAAAAAATTTACATTAAATCAAAACTTCATTAAACATATATTGTAATTTTCTCAAGGTATGCTTAAGAATGATGGTTTTGGAGAAAAAGGAAAAAGTGAACATCTTTTTGATTTGTAATGAATTTTTTAAATTAATAAATTTTAAATAAAATATTTATTAACATAAATTTAATGTATTAATATTTTTTATTTATTATTATAAAAATTTTACAAATTAATTAATTGAAAATTAAAAATATTCCTTCTTTGTTTTTTTCTTCTCTGAAACTTTACTTTTAAACAAATTATTAATTGATAAAGTCCATCGACGGCAATAAAAGTAAAAATCCCTTCTACTTAGGACCAGAAAAATTTTACATCACGTTAATTAAACCTTAAAATAAAATGAAAGAATGAAAAATATTTTGAGTTTAATTTTAATACGTAATTAGTTTACATTTTTCTACACTATCAATTAATTAAAATTACTATAAATATGACTTTTAAAACAATTATTATAAAAGTTAATAATTTTTAATTACATAGCAATTTATGATTGGATAAGGGTAATTTTTTTTTTACACTAATAGTATATTTTAATTTATTTTAAATATTTTCAGTGATGAATAAAGTATTTGATTAATGAATATTATATGTCATTTTGAAAAGTTAATTCTTTATAAAATAACTTTTACTCCAAGAAAAATTAAATGTAGAAAATTTGAAGCAAAACTATTGTAACTAATGTGAATGTAAAAAATGAAAGTAATTTAAAATATTCATATGACTATTGAATGTGTTTGCATGTGTATATCCACCGTTCCTTCTAAACAAATTTTCAACTAAAATTTCTATTATTTCCCATCTTAAAAACGCAAAATTCTTGTTATTGTACATCGATTTCCTTCCCTTTTAATTTTTCCTTAAAGTTCTTAGTAAGTTCGATAAAAAGAATGGCAAGTTTTGTTCATTAATGACAATTTTTTACTTGTATAATTTAATTAGCAGCCAATTCTTCAAACATTTATGGATCTCAATCCATGGTACATATTTTGGGGTCTTCACTTTTTAATTTTATTACTTAATTCGGATTAGTTACTCAACAAAAAATAGTAAAATCATATGTTTCGTCCACCCTCTTGGGATCCATCTTTTTTTAATCTGTTTGAGTTGTCAGCTCTAAGAAAATGCATGTGACACGTGCTAGGCTTGACTGGATGATTCCATAATTTGGTTCTAGGACACCAGAAAACCATAACCTAACGTTGATTTTTTCCAAAGTTGAAGATGTCTGGGCACTTCAACCAGTTCAGACAGCTGGGAAAATTTATCCACTCAAATAGCTCTTAGTTTGTGACGTTCTAACAGTAAGCAAATGTAGGACTCAACCCACGTAACTAACAACATCAAGAACCAGAAACTAAGCATTGGGAACAACAATTTCTTCTCAAGGCCAACAACAGCACACCTGCCAAGATGGATTTACAAAACGCTTCTTACTTAGCCTGGTGGTCAGTGATAAGAAAATCAACAAAAGCAGCCACGGATGAATCATATGCCTACTGCTTGATGCCTCTAGCCTGTGCTGCAAGTTTTGCTGCAATTTGCTCCTTAGATAAAGGTAAATAGTATATTCGAGGAGTAGCTCTGGTTTTGCAGAAGAGATCATCAAGTGTGACAATAGGCTGATCAACCTTCTTTGGAATGGGTGGTGGGGATGGAAGTCGTTCTCTTGCAGCTGGTGGGAGCTTTGACAACACTGGTGGAGGTGGGAGTGTCGCTGGAACTAGAGGCTGCTGCTCCCTATGCTGGTGCAGAGCCGGCTCTGGTTGTAAGGTAGGTGCTACAGGAGGAACTGTTGAATCATTGCTGACTGAATCAACCTGAGCAGGAGGGGCTTCCATCTTCATAATCACTTCTTCAGGATTGACGTATTCTGCAACTAAAAGGCGTCCACCATTTGGAGGCCATTGCAGATTGTAAACAGCATTTCGTGTCTCAATGGCTTCTTCTTCGGATGAATACTACATCATCATCAGAAGATTACTTAGAAGCATATATCATGAATGCAGTGACTTCACGGGGGAAACCTCAGTAGCAGGGAGAGATATAAGAAGTCTTACAGTGACATAGCAATGGGTCTTTATTTGGTCCATCCAGAAACTGATGACGTTCCCGGTTCTACTGAGAAGTTCTTGCACAGCTTTTAGGGTAAAAGGACGGAGGAATCGATCAATCCTGAGGGAATTAGTTGGGGCCCTTTGTGATTGTGGAACTGCCAAAAATAAAAAGCAACACTTTTAAGAGACAGAGAACATAACACATGCCAGTACGACAACAAAGCAAAATCTGAAACATAATGCATATCATAAAAAAAATTAATGCAGAAATATTATTATAAAAATGTATACAAGTATGAAAATTAACTAATAAGTTGATTATTTATGTTCAAATAAGAATATTCAAGAAAAGCATTTTTATAAGTCCATCCCAAAATGTGCTTTGAGAAGTGTCAACATTTGAATTTGGAAAATTTCAAGAATTGATTTATTTATTTTTAATCTACAAGACAGGATTCAATATGATATTTATTAATCCAACACCTGGAATTAGAGAATCACTTCCATATACCTAACCCCCCAACCAGAATAAATCTTCAACCCACCGATGCGTTCTTTGGGTGTATCATCAACAGCTGAGGAATCAGCAGCCCTAGAGAAGTTGCACTTCAAAGCAATTGGTTCATCGTCTGGTGTAGTAGTGGATCTGAGAGTAGGGCTCTGTGGATCAAAACCCTTAACTGTTTCAGAGTTCCACCTTTTTTGCCGTTTTGCAGGCTCATTGTTCCTAGCAGTTGCTTGATCTGTGACAATTTTTCAAATAATTCAGGGAGAACAAAATAGATAAATAAGCTTGTTAACGACAATAGCATTGCAGAGAAAAAACAGAGATCAGACACATGATTCCTTGCTTCTGATGCATTTACTTAGGATAACATGCTTATACCATCTAAGAACCAATTAACAAATTTAAGCAATCAAAAGATTTAATTATATCCAACCATCCTGTTGATCTTGCACACCGTATATCAGAAACTTCAATACTTCAATCAATTACAACTATAAGATCATGCAGTATGTCACCATCATCAAATGTGCTTAGAGAATAATGAAATAAAAAATATGAAGCCTACCACAAAATTTTCGTTTCTCAACAACAGAAGCAGGAGAGTCAATATCATGGTGGGTACCACCTTTTTCTGCAGATGAACCATCTCCAACAACTACACTACTGCCTTCCTCTTTCACAATAGACAATTCAACACTCTCCCCCTTGCCTTTAGGTTCGTCAACATTAAACTTAAAATCAAATCGCTTGCTCTCTGGCAAATCCTCTTCCATGGAGTCATCACCATAACTTCTATCCAAGTTTAACTTTTCTGGATATCCGACATCTTCATTGCTATTGGTCTTGTTCAAATCTGAACTTTTATCGTTACTGCTATTTTCCACAACATACACCTTTTTCTCATGCAGCTCTCCAACAGCCATTGAATGAGATTCATCATAAACAGGGGCATCTTTTCTGGATGACGGTTCTTTAACAATCTCAGGCCTAACAGTATCTTGTTCTAATTTGACATTATCAGCAATTATAGTATCCTTTAGTTTATTCTTTTCATTAATTGACACAGAATTACTAGAAATAGAATCAGATTTTACTGGAGACCCTAAACTAGGGTTGACCTCAGATACCTGATTTTCAAGAAAAGAAGAATTGGGCTTGAGATTCTCAAGATCACACTCCATCGGGCGCTTTAAGTCCTCTCTATCCAGCCACGCTTTTGACTCCTCATTCTCCTGCTTGGTTACTGATTCCTGACCATGATCTTTCTGTGCTTCTGCACTACAAGACTCCTGACCACTGACCACTACTTCTGTTAAGACACTCTCGGTGACTGTAATGGTGGTCTCCACAGTAGAAGCACATACAATTAGGTCCTCTCCCACATTTGCAGAATCTTCACCAGCTGAAAAGTCCATATGTTCGACATCTTGATCCACTGCTGGCACACTACTATTAATGTCAACCGGGAAGGTAACACCATACAACTTGTCATTCTTTTTGCTATCATAATCCATAACCTCGGGAATCTTTGCTGAATTTTCTGCTTCAATTGGTTCAACTATAGCAATGTCACCCTTTTCAGCTGTTACAATTGTTTCATCTTTTTTCCTTACAGTTGCATCGGCTACTTCAGTAACTACATCCTCTGTATGTGAATTGCTTAGCCCAGCTACATCACCATTGGAACCATTAACCACTTCCTTCTTAGAAGCCTCTTCAGCTTCCCATTCAATGCGAAGGGCTTCATCCAAACGCTTGATCAAATCATCCTTTAAACCTTTTGTAGTCAGTTTCCTTCTCTTTAGCTCCTCTTTCAGCTCTGTAACTTTCCACTGATCAATGGGTCGATTGTCAAGAATTGGATATCTTGATGACATTATTAATTTATATCCAAATCAACTCCACTTTCCCTAACCTGGAGTCAGTATTTAAATTCAACATACAATCAACAAATTAACCTGGAGACAATACATTAATAAAAAAACATATAACCAACTATTGGAAGAAGACAATTACAAGTATAAGAACAACCCAAAGTCGGGTTCTGAAAACTCAAATCAACTCAAGCAAATAAAATAGTGAAGGACAATTACTAGCCAGTGCATCTCAAAAAAATAAAAAACATTATTTTCCTTCTCTTTCTACAGTCTGAACTAATAATAATATTATCTATCCTTCTGCAGTACTTATGATAAGACAGTGAAGCTTGGAAAGGATTAACTAAAAATTCCCAAATATTATTATAATCTAAAATTACCCAAAAGGACATCATCATTCAAGAGAATCAATGGAACAAATAACAGAGAAATATAGTTTTGAAAGGTATAACATACTAATAGCAGAAACTGTATTTAAAACAGAACCTAAACAACATGCATTTACTTAAAATCACTCCCAGTAGATATTCAAACGGCAATAACAAGCAATCTAAAGCATCCAAAATTTATCAGAGGCGTTTATTTATCAACAAAGAGAGAAGGAAGATGCTGAGAGGGCACTCACAGTGAGGAATTATGGTTTCTGGAATAGAAAAGGTGTGAGAAATTGCTTAATGGGAAATGTGAAACCCTAGAAGAAAAAATGCAGCATCAGTTTGAAAGTTCACAAGAAGAAACCCACAAAGAGATAGAGAGAGTGGGATTATGATTAAACTCCCTACACCAAAAACGAATCCTCATGCACTCTCTCTATCATACTCTTTACTCTCCGGCCCAACTCTTCCCATTCCTGAAAGCAGCCAAACACACAACTCTTAAACAAACAATACAAACTCAAAAAATTAAATTCAACGTCAACAAATGTTTTATCCAACAAAATTATTAAAAAGAAATGTGCAAAATTTTCTATGCTTTGTTTCTTTCTCTTCTATTCTAATTTCTAGAGCTTTTTCCCCCACTTTTATTTTACGTTTTGTCAAGTTTAGATTAGTGCACTTATTCTAAGAGAGTGTCGGGGTGTGGAGGGATCCCTTCAGTGACGACCGAAAATACCCTAAATGCACGTGGCTGCACGATGATCTTTTATTGGGGCCCTAAGCTGCAAGACGATCCGTTTCCAATTTTTTACTGAACAAATTTTTTTTGAAATTGACCCACCCAATTTAAGGCCCAGTTACTAGCACTAATTTTCTCAATGTTCAGTTACCAATCAACGTTTGACAAGAAAAAAAGGGTTACCTGCTATCAACGACAGATAACGATGCTAGTGTAAACTCTAGAGTTCGCGAATGTTGTCGCAAAATATATGCAACAATCGTTTAAATGATTCACAATTCTTAACACCTTTCTGGCTTAGTTACCCTCTTCTGCTTTTATTTAGGACAAAGCGAGTAATCTCATTCTTTCGTTTCTAATTATAGTTTTAAATATCTACTTTACACTTCAATTTATTATAAGTTATACAGGATATATCCATTTTTCTCATATTTTTTCCTCTAAATTTAGCTTGTAAAACCAATAGAACTTTCTGGTTCAATTTTTAAAACATTTTCCAATAGCATCAGTTTATTTATGGGAAAGTGAAATTTTACTGTACAATTTCTTGTACACATTTCAACTTTTACATAAGGTTTTCATCTATTTATCGATAATTTGAATATTTATCGGGTAATTTAAATACTAATGTATTTTCAATTTTTATTTCTGTTGTAAAATTTAGAGCAGCAGGATAGAACTCTTGCAGCCTGCACACTAGAAACTACGATGATGAAAAATCACACATTCAGAACACAATGAGAAAATGTATACCTTACTACCTGCTAAAACTCGATAACGTGTTCCTATTTAAATATTTTATAAATGGAAATAGAAGATAGAACTAGGAAGTATGCGCCACCCGATGATAACAATACACATCTTTGTCAACCGAAAAAGCTTTCCCACTAAGCAATTATGCATTGCTAACATCTCCAAATTACTTCCAGCATGGCTTGAGAAAATATCTTGCGTTAGATATTTAAGACTCGTTTACTCACTCTCCTCATCGCTATTGACTATGTGCAAATGATTCATGTTCTTTTCAAGAGGCGGAAGCCCATCTTCAGAATCGGAAGAGTTATGAATTTTATCCTCACTTTCAAGTGTCGCAACTGTTCATGCAACAGTAGAAAATAGAAAAACACGTTAGGATAAATTCTCAATATATTAGAGGTATATATAAGTAACAACCTTTTCTTTGTGACACAATAAAATTCAGCACCTGAAGTATACTTAAAACAAATCTGAAGCATATTCATGGCTTTATGTGCCACTTTTGAAGAACCAATAATAACTACACATTGACAACTGACAAGATATAGCTTTCTGCTCAATCTGCCTTTAAAAAGTTGATATTATGCAACACCCGTACAGAACAAAATTCAGAAAAATGAGAGATAATGGAGGAGTAAAAGGTTAAGACCACAGTGGACATGTATGCATTAGCGATACCATTAGTTCTCGCATTTGGATCAACCAAAGTAGAGCCACGGCATACCTTCCTTGCTAAATACACAGATACTAGAGTATGTTTAACAAATAAGAGTAAAAGGCTAAGAAAAACTGCCAAACTAAAGCGGAAGGTAAAAGAAAGGCAGTCTAGTGCCTAATGTACAAGGCTGCCAACTGGTGAGATTCAGGGTTACCCCCACAACCAGAGAGGCTGTTTCCAAAAAGGACAGCTCAAGTCACAATCCAAGTAACCTTACAGTCGTGCCAAAGCAGCAACCCGCATGAAAAAGATAAAAACAGCCAGAAAAATTAGATGTTAAATCCTAGGCAACACAAACACAAACAATTAGTGGCAGGTTATTTAATCTAGGCTTCAACTTTAGGATTGACTAATTCATTGAGGCATATAATATAATCCCAAGTTTTCTAATAGAAGTACACTCAAGCAATTCCATTAAAAAACAATCTATGCTTCATAAAACCTGCTATTGAAAAGGATGAAATAAACAATGCCAACAAACTATGGAAGTAGAAGAAATAAACAAAGGTACCTGATTTATAAAATGTCTTCTAAGCGTTGATCGAGATGATATTTCGAAAATGGACCTGCGATAGGCACGAGGAAATCGGTCTCAGCCACCGTATCTTACACGCTGTTCCCCAAAGCACCCAATGACAGTTAGGTCATTCTAGTGAGAGTATCGCCATTCGCCATATTAATTTATGAGATCAACTTTGATGACTTAATTATAATGATCTTTGCTATGAATTTTTTATATTAATATTATAAAATTCAATATTTTCATTAATATGATTATTTATAATTGTATTAATTCTAAAAATATTATACTATTAATATATTTAAATAAAATTCTTAAAAATTTACATTTTCAATGAAAAAATTTAAATCAATAAAATAATAAAAATTGCTTAGAAGTAATTTATAAAAAGACAGTTAATAAAATAGTGTTGTTCCATTTAATTAAAAAACCTGATATTGAACTTTTTTCATTTAGTTTCAAACTAATTTTGATTTAATGTTAAACAATTTTATTATTGTACAGATAAATGTTAATATTTTTTAGATCGAATCGGCTATTGAAGCAGTGAAGTTGTTGATTAATGTTCCATTATATACATTATACGATATATTAAATAAAAAATTATTACAAAATCGAAAAATAATTTAGTTAGATAAATTTTTGTATTAGTTTAAAAGGATTACATTATATATCTTATAAAATAGAAAAAAATTATAATAAATAATTAAATAATCATAGGAGAAGAAAAAAAAATTGGACTCTAAATAATGAATTTTACCATATTTATTGGACATGTCTTATCGTTCACGAAGTTTATCATCAATAATTAATAATTTTAGTTTCTTAGCAATTTATGTATTAACAAAAGGTTATCCTAGGTTAAATGTAATGTGAGGGATGCATTTAGGTTTGATAAAGAAAAATATATATATTATTCTATAAATAAAGCAAAATTTGCATTAAAAGTGAAGATTACAGAAACACCCCTGCTGGCGCCGTGTGTTTGAGAGAGAGAAATTAAGGTTGCAGTTCGTCTTTGAAAAAGGAAAAGAGAAGAAAATTGGAGTTGAAGCTTGTAGGCTACAAGGGACACCATCACCGCAATTGGGGAAGCATTCAGTGGATCCATTCCACTCCATCACTCATTCTGAACCAACCAACTAACTACTCTCACACTGCCATGTTCCGCAGGTATCCCTCTATCCCTCTCTAACTCTAAAATCTAAATCAATGTTCCTTTTTCTTTTCCTTTTTTTTTTTTAATTCGAATCTTTTTCATTCCTCTAACTGCTCTTTTGATGCTTCCTCGTGCCTATCGCAGGTCCATTTTCGAAATATCATCTCGCCCAACGCTTAGAAGACATTTTATAAACCAGGTACCTTTGTTTATTTCTTCTAGTTCCGTAGTTTGTTGGCATTGTTTATTTCATCCTTTTCAATAGCAGGTTTTATGAAGCATAGATTGTTTTTTAATGGAATTGCTTGAGTGTACTTCTATTAGAAAACTTGGGATTATCTTATATGCATCAATGAATTAGTCAATCCTAAAGTTGAAGCCTATATTAAATAACCTGCCACTAATTGGCATAGATAAAATCCTAGGCAACACAAACAACCTAACTGCCTCGGAAACCGAAGCCCCAAAAATGATAGAGATGACCAAAATATCTTTATGATTCGCAACATAATAAGTTTACAAACTCTTAAGCTTCCTCGTCCTTGTTTTTACTACTGCCTGGCGGATTTTCTTCGGTTTGGGGAAAAGCTAAACCTTAAGTTTCAAACTGTGACTGTATATCGTTGCCTCTGAGTAAGATTTTTTCCCCTAAATATTGCTTCAACCTCCTTGTTCTTGAAGAAGGAAATGGTTATAATTTATAGAGACAAACGACTTTGTAACTCACAAGGTTGTATTCGTGAGGGGTGTTAAAATTGCTATTAGGAGTATCCCTTGTGATGTATTATTCTCTGGATAGTTTGGAATCATGCACTTGAGTAACATCTATGTTGTCTCTCCACTTTCTGTTTTCTGTGTTCTTGTCTTCTACATTTTCTGTTTAGTGCAGACTTAGTTGGCTTTTGTAGGTTTTGCTCCATGTTCATTCCTGATCATAGTTGTTGATGTAACTCCCAACATAAAAGCAAGATGCTGATATGCAAATTGGGATTAAGAGAATATATTAGAAGTGTTTATCAACAAAATTATGATGGAGTCTCTTGCTGCTAAATGATGCATAGCATGGATATAGGCTTGTTCTAAAATTTGAGTGAACATACTCAATGGCTGGTTATGCTCAGATGTAGATAGTTATGCTAAAAAGTAGGAAAAGTACAATATTTCAAGCATGTAGTACTGTGTTATTTACCAAAGAAAGAAATGCACAGCACAAATTGTACAAGATCCTTGACAATTTAGAATGTTTGAAGCAAGAAGAGTACTTTATACCATCATGATGGAACCGTCACTCTTGTGGTCTTGCCTGCTTGTATGCCCACTGTTGCCATGTTGCTATGAAGTTTCAAAACATATTTCAATAAAAGGAACATCTAGTCTGTTGGCGCAATTGATATCTTTGTATTATATTTTGAATTACTGTTTCTAACTAACAACATTGTAGCAGCAATGGTGTAATTTATATGCATCTTTGATATTTCACTTGTTATAGCATCATGATCAGTGAATTTATTTACTGATATACCTCAACACTGATGCCAATACCACTCTTGTTTCTATTGTACTAATTTGAATACAGGAATGTAAGGTAGAGGAGGTGTTGTTGAAACACTTGTTCTTGATGTAAAAATACAATTTATGCAATTTACTAAACTAATTATATATGTGGGAACTATATAAGTTGTTGATTTGGTAATACTCATTTCCAATTTGGCTTCATATGTTACCCTTTTCTGCATTACATAATTCTGCAGACAACTTCACATCTGGCTTCACGAAAGAAATTCTCAACTGCGTCAAAACCAGGTGGTGCCTCAGCTCCTAGTTCGGGCACGCCACCTGAATCTCATGGCTCTCTATCAAAGTTTTTTGTTGGAAGTGTTGCTGTCAGTGCTGCTTTTCTGGCAGCTTATCAAACGGGTTATTTAGATCAATTTCTTAAGGAGGAGCAGCATAGTTTTCCCCAGGAAGCTCAGATCAATGCTGATGCTGGAGATTTAAAGGGTGTGCAACATTCAATAGACCAGTTAGTTTCACCGGGTGAGAAATTTAACAACGAAAGTCCTGCTGTAGAGCTTGCAGAGAAGAATATTGATGCCCATCTTTCACAGCCAGAAGTTGTAGAAGAAAACAAAGGTGGTAAGCAGATTCCTGTGCAAGACAAGTTTGATATTGCTGAAAATGGTACTGCTGCTTCCAAAGAAAACCAATTGCCCAAATATCCTCAAAGCAGTCTAACATCTGATGATACAAGTAAAGAGTCTGTGATACAATCAGATGGGATTGTTGGGAGAAAAAGCATAGAGGCAGATGTTGTCCCAACAGTGGAAGAGGGACTTCAACATACAACCACATCTACACAGACCAGTGTAGTTCCCAATGAGAATGAGATGAAAAGTATTCAACCAGAGCATCAGGAAATACAAGAAATAGGTGAGAGAAGCGAGGTAAGTATGAGTTTGTCATGACTTGATATGCAGGTTATTCATTAATATCAGCCGTGGTATTTTTGGAAAGTATGATGGTTTAAATTTGTATTAGAATGTGGGCTTACCAAATAATTCAGTCATTCCCTAGCATTCACCAAGGATTTTTTTTTTTCCTAAATGAATTTTGACATTTATTGCCTTTTAACATATTTCCTTTGTTACTCCATTACAGAGTGCATTACCCAAAGTTATAGAACAACAACCTACCCTTCTTGAGGAATATCACTTAAGGAATAATTTGGAAGGAAGCCCTGCAACGTTGTTATACAGTCATGGCTTTGCTAAGAACAGCCATTTGCCGGAAGAACCAGAGGTTATTTCAGAATCTTAGTGTTTTTTTTTACGGTACATTTATTTGTGATCTTGATCATGCATGAAAGCTAACTTTATTGAAGCACTAGGAACTTATTGGTGCAACGGGGGAGTTGAAAGATGGTTACTTGTCTAAGGATGGGAAACTGGTTCTTGATTTCTTGCAAGCCATCCATGCTGCAGAGCAGAGGCAAGCTGACTTAGATGCACGTGTTTTTAATGAAGAGAAAAAAGTGTTGAAGGTTTGGCCTAAAACATATTAGCTTTCCATGCAAGTCTGCTTTATTATTTGTTATTTTGTGGTTTATTTATGAGCTTTATAATCTGTTTTTTCACTTAAAACTTTGTTCATGTTAGGAAAAATATGAAAAGAAGTTGAAAGATGCAGCTGCCAGAGAACTTATGCTTGCTGAAGAAGCTGCAATGTTGGACAAGGTAAAAGGCTTTATGGTCTTCTATTATTCAATTTTACATATTTTTTGCTTGCTGGTTTTTGTCCTAAATACACAGATCAGAATAACAAGTTATGAGAGTACACAATATACTGAGAGAGCTTGCCCTGTTTTTTAAATTGAGAATAATTACTGTATAAGGGACAAGTTCATTGTTCAGTGGATACACATTTAACTCAATTATAGTTACTTCGTCTTGAATGAGCATAATAGTTCACAGTGAAATTTAAGCTATATCATTATACTGTTAGTTTGACTCAAAAATGGTCTCAAAAAAACAATCAGAATCAAATTTGAGAACTCAGCCTGTTAGATTTATTTTGTAATTGTGAGGCTTTTCCATTGATCAAGTTGAATGATTTCTTTGATATGTGTTGTTTGCCTTTCTCATGCTGGTTCTGTCCAGATGACCAGAATCCAAATCTATGGTTATTAAGTCTTTATCTTTCCTCAATTTTGATTTTATTACTTTTCAGGAGCTAAAAAGAGAGAGAGCAAAAGCAGCCCTTGCTATCAAGTCACTTCAGGAAAAGATGGAAGAGAAATTGAAGATTGAGCTTGAACAAAAGGTGCACTTTGATTTGTTGTTTTGTTGGTAGTATAAGTACTGTTTTCCTCCTTTCTCTGTATCTCTATTGCTATTATTATCAGTGCTCATTATACTTGATAAATGGAGTGCATATTTGGTAATTGCAGGAAATTGAAGCAGAATTGAAGTTGAAAAAGTCTGAGGAATTAGCAAAGGCAGAGTTAAATGCAGCCATAGCAAATGAGAAGGCAGCCCAAATTGAAAAAATGGCTGAAGCAAATATTAATGTGAGGCTTCTGCTAAAATCAAGGATGGGTAGATATAACCACTTTACATTAGTTATAGCTTGGTAATGGTGAAGTTGATTAATTTATGAAAAGGGAGAAAAATTTCAATAGGTGGTTTATAGAAGAATAAAACAGCCATAATAATTTTGTATGATTATAAAAATTTCCTGGCTCAACGTCCACAAAGAGTAACATTGTCATAAAGTTCTAAAATTTAGTAATTAACTTATAGCAGCATGCAAAATGACATCAAATTATGGCTTTAGCTTTCTTATGCAATTTTTATCAGAGTAAAAATCCGCAGGGTAGGCAATTATGTTCTCAGTCATTATTTGATGCTAGTATCTAAACAGAGAAAAGTTTGTTCACCACTGTAGATTTTCTGGTATGGAGGATCTTTTGACTAAGTACAGACAGAAAAAAAATGGACTTCCTTTATATATTGGTGATATTAGGGAACTGACTTAAACACCTTACATGCTGAGAACCAAAATACTAGTTGACGTATCATTTGTTTGAAATTTGAATCTTCTTTGGTCGATTGGCCTTCATGTACATCCAAAGCAAATGTTGAATAAATTATTAACAGATCAGTACACCCTGAATGAAAATGTAAACGAGTGGCTTTTTTGGCTTCAAATTTTTCATTTATGAACCTGTGTTACCTCTTTAATCATACCACTAAGTTTACATTGGATTGTGCTGGAATGAACTACTTATTATTTTGTCAATGGAAACCATATTTATCTTTGCATCAGTATGTGTTGTTAGAAAACTACAGCATGGCTGCCTTGAAATTATTTGAAAAATTGTTTTGTGCAATCCTTGTATTGATCAAGGAACATTCTTGTTGAATAAGGGCATAACATTGTGTAGACTTTTGATAGTTGTAAAGTTGGCATCATTTTTAGCGAGAGTAATGATCATACTTGTTGTTAAATTTTTTTCACTTGTCTGTAGCTTTCATATGTTAATCAAAGTTGAAATTGGACTTGATTCCAAAAAAAATTCTTCCAATTCTGTAGATAAATGCCTTGTGCATGGCATTTTATGCTCGATCTGAAGAAGCTCGACAAAGTCATGCTACACAAAATTTTGCTTTGGTAATTTCTCCCCCAGTTTCTTCAAGCTGCTTTTAGATGCATTTCATCTCTAGAAGAGCTTAATGGTGAAATATAAGTTTATAATATTTTATTAAACTTTTACAGTCCTGCTTACCAATGTGTTTGTTATGCATGTTTTCTGCAGAGAGCACTTGCACTGGAAGATGCACTGTCAAAAGGATTGCCAATCCAGACAGAAATAACATCTTTGCAGTCTTATCTTGAAGGCATAGATAAAGATTCAGTTTTGGATTTGGTACTGTCATCCCTTCCTGAAGAGACACGAAACAGTGGTACAGACACACAACTGCAGTTGAAGCAGAAGGCAAGTTGTTTTCTTGTCTGTTGTTGACATTACTTGAGATTTGAGTCTTGGATTGCATGTTTTATGTAAAATTTCTACATTTCTTCTTTAAATTGTTTTTATTTTTGAACCTTATAAGACTTTAATTTGATGATCTGCTAAAAATTATAGCAGGAATATGAGGCCCTTTAAATTGATTTCTTTATTTTCCATCAGTGACCAATCGCATAGATTATGTCTTTGACATTCAATAATGAAATGCTCTTATCTTGTGAATCTGCCTTGGTTATAAATTTATAAAAAACAATTAGAATTGACTACTGAAGCAATTTCTGGAGTTATAAAACATTCTTTGCGACTTTCCTGAAAGAGACTTGTCTGTTACTACTTCCGTTCTAGAATGAATCATATAATTTGTATTCAGTCATTAAGGTTTTTAAAATGTGCATATGCTGTTGCAGTTTGATGCCTTAAAAGGTACACTACGACACTTCAGCTTCTTCCCTCCAGGAGGGGGAGGTATATTGGCACATTCTTTGGCACATGTAGCATCCTGGTTGAAGGTATGTACATAACTGACCAACTTGCCATTTACATTTAAGGCTGTGCTTTGTGTGAAAATAGGATTTGCGAGTGCAATGATAATTGGTGGCCATTTAGATAAAATATGTGCATTGATGCCTAACTCCTCTCTTTTGACTTCTATTATCACAAAATACATGATGTTACTCTAGTGTATATTTTCATGTTTTTCTTTGGGTCGTGCTCAGGTTAGGGAAGATGACCAGTCAGGTGATGGGATTGAATCTGTCATTAATAAAGTTGAGAGTTATTTGGCTGAAGGAAAACTTGCTGAAGCAGCAGATTTTCTAGAAGAAAGTGTCACAGGCACACAAGCTGCAGAAATTGTTGCAGGTTGGGTGAGGCAAGCAAGAAACAGGGCCATTTCTGAGCAAGCTATGATTCTTCTTCAATCTTATGCTAATTCTCTTAGCCTTACATGATTCTCCAATTTTGAATATTTACAAAACCATGTTGATTCAATACCTAAGGTTGCAGAGATTGTCTGGCTCTACCGAGGATGCCAACGGGAATTACCCAAATTATTGACCTACGACCAAAACAAATTAACCTTTTTCTTTCATAGCAGCTGAAATTTGTTGTTTTTGCGATTTCTATTTAACTCCAATGGCTTTGGAGTTTGGACTGAAGCGATCTGAGGCTCTGTACAATTTTCCTTTTTCTTTTCTCTGAATAACGAAAACGTTGCATTGCAACCTATTGAGATTTTAATAATATATACCGGGCAATCAGGACAAGGCTGGACGTAAAATGTGTATTCTTTCAATTCAAAGAATAGTTTTTATTTTTGGGTCTTGGGGTCATGGGTTTTTTACCCCTGGCAAAATGTTGGATTGCGTTCTTCTAATTCAACTCAATTCGAAGAATAGTTGACTACTGGCTATTTCTATTTTCAATTAGTATTTTCATCCTAAATCAGGAATGAAAAGAAAAAGACTCATAACATAAACTAGCCGGGCCATGGCTTGACATGGACAAGTTTCAAGTTAGCCTAATGGAACAACTAGTTGATGTTATACTATACTGCTGAATTAATTTATTGATCCGTATGTTTGTTTTAAGTCCAACTCATATTTCATACATAATGAAGCACGAAAACAAGGAGAAAATGTAATTATTCTATAACGAACACACAGTATAAGTCAATGAAGTTGGATCAATTGAAATGCACATTTGTGATTTTCTTGTATACCATGAGAAAGACTAGGCATTAAGAAATTATCTTTTCTGTTTTTTTTTCCCCTATATTCTTTGGTTTTCAGATAATAAAGACCGTGAACACTCCCCCCCCCCCCCCTCCCCCCTCCTCCTTTATTATGCCTAAATAAAAAGAAAAATGGAAAATTTCTAGTCGTGCTAAATATGTTGCTATATATATATATATATATTTTCAAACAAAGCCATGTAATTAATTGTTAACCAAAATCATTAAAAAATATTTCTTACTATAAATTCGATTAAGTTTGTTATCAAATATATATATATATATATATATATATATATATATATATATATATATATAGTTGGGGTTATATATCCAATATCAAATAAGTTAACTCTTAAATTTTAAATAATATTCAATTCTTTGTCAAAGAATGAACGTTAAATATTATAATTGAGAAGATGAAGCCAGGGGAGAATGAAAACAACTGCAAATCAATTAATCATTTTAATATTAAAAGAAAACATTGCACATGAAGCAAACATACCATCCAACTAAGGAACACCCCTGCTTATTGCTTGCTTTTATATATATATATATATATATATATATAATGGAAACAGTTGTTGCTTTTTTTCAATCATTCTATCATAGAGCCCCCCCTCCCCCAACAAAAAAAAAAAAAAACAAAATTATAACAATAAAATCGTATTATTTTCTTCAATTCTAACAAGAGTAACGAGTCCACAGTCTCAATCACTAATAGTGACATATCAACAAACTATGTGAATTATAGTCTTAAAGTGTGAAATAAAAGTAGAAAGAATGAAATGCAGGAACTTGACTAAATGAGCTTATTCAGGGGTTGTGGTTCTACTGAGATTAGTTTAAGAATATTAACTAATGATTATTTTAGGGAACTGATTTTGATATGGTAAGGGGTCCCAATCATAAGAGGGATATTAACAGCAAATGCTTACGGGGCGCAGCTGCTACTAACATGACTCATTACTTGCCACTTGATTTGATTGCATAATATATCTAACCTCATAACTTGCCACTTGCTATTCCAGCTTGTCCAAATAATAGTAATAAAATTTTTCAACCTCTTATAATTTGTGTGTATCTCTCACGGCTAATAATAAGACCAGTCTTATTTTATTATTTGAATGCTGTCATTGTAGGTACCGAAAATCAAGCTTATAGTATTTTCTTAGCATCTACTGTCGTGTCCCATTCTACATCAATGCATTGAGGGTGTGTCATCGTTTACCAAATCATAAAATATAATTCCAATTTTTTTAATTAAAGAGAATATTACATGTATGTATAATATACTTCAGCCAACAAACTAAGTATTCTAAGACCAAAATATAAAGGAGGAAAGAGAGGTTTGTTAGGCTTGACGGTAGTCATGGCTTTGGCTCACTGAAACTCAGACTAATGTGATGAATTAATTATTAGAGTTTGGTTCCTCTTAAATATTGTATATGAAAGATTTGCTTTGGGTATGCTAACAAGAATATCTCTCTTTGTGTAAAGAATTGTGATTAGGTAAAGTTTTGTTTAAAATAAAAACTTTAAAAGTTGAATTTTTTATATGAAAAATAACATTTATTTGTGTTCATAGATTATTTTTATTGCAAACAATAAATAATTTAAGAAACTTCAATATGACGATTGCTCTTGCAACTTGAAACAACTACTGATATAATAAAAACAGTGAAAAAGCAGTTTTAATATATTCCTAAAAGTTTATAAAAACAATTTTAAAATTATGTCATAAAAGTTATTTTAAGAAAATTTAGTACAGTAAAATAATTTTAGAAGCCCTAGCAACTGCTTGTAATAACTAAAAGTTACAAGATGTTTATTGGTATGCTTGCTTTTATGTTGGTATAATAATTATGTATAAAAGAAAATCTTTGTATAATAATTTAAAAAGTACAGGTTGCTACAACAGGTTTATTTAATTTGAAAAATATCTTCTACTGTGTATTAAGATGATTTCTTAATTAATAGTTAAAGGTTAATTGCTTTCAAGATAAAAGGATCATTAAAATTGATATAGTCTATCTTAAGATTATTTTTCTACACCTGTGACCAAGAATCATTACTTAAGTTTGGTAAATGTCTAAATTTTAGAATACATTTTATATTTTATTTTTTATATTCTTATAAATAACAAAAAAATAATCTGATTTTATTTATAAAAACAAAGAATAAAAGAAAGTTTTCAAAATTAAACATGCCTTTAAAACTTCTCAATTCTATAGTTTCACTCAATAATTATATTTTCACATCTATATTTTTTTAATCAGATGTTTACTTTTTTTTTAATCTTCCTCCATTTTGTACCCATTTTAACAACCATTTATGGGGGGTGACAAAATACTACGTTAACAGGCCATTTTGACTAATTGAAGTGAATGTGAAGCCGACATAGAGCTGTCAGCCGGTAAATGTTTGAGCTTGGGTTGGGCACTTGTCGGTGCTCCGTTCAAGTTTGTGATTTCATTTCATCTAAGATAACAGTAACACCCAAATTAATTTAAGTATCTATCTTTCTCTCACTGCTATCTAATATTCATCAGAGACAACAATGAAAATGAAAACGTAAGACACAATCAAAACACCCACAAAGTAAAAATCGAAAAGGAAAAAAAGGTACATTACAACAAACTATATTTGTTCCTTTTTATCTTCTACGAAACACATACATATTACACAGATGCATGTGATTTCTTCTTCAATTCCACTCCCTCGCTCTCATTACCCAATTGCAATTACATTCAACTCCCACTCATAGTTGTTGCTGATTTGGATCTGAATGATGCTGTGAGTCTAGATCTGAACTTGTTCTACTCAAACTCAACTGAAGATGGCCACCACACTCACTTGGAGGCTCGCTTCCAACAATGGCACCAGCCTTGCCACCAATGATCTCGTACCTTTCTTCACTCTCTTTTCCATCTTTCTTTCATTTCACTGTGTTCTTATAGAATTCATTAGGATTCGGACTTAATTTTAAGTGTTTTGATCAGTGTTTGCATGGGATCAAATCTGTGGATCTTATTCCCATTTTGTTACATCTAGATTTTTTTTATTGGTTAAATTCAGATCGCTTTGCTCACTCAATGTTCTAGGAAGTATCATTGAGGATCACTCACTCAAGGAAGTTAAAGAAATTATGTGATTTACTTATGCAATCTTAAGGCTTTCCCATTTCTTTTTTCTGCTCTATATGCAAATGTCTGTGACTAGTCTTCAGATTGAGATGTTTACAGTTTTATGAGTATTATGAATTTGGTCCGACTTGTTTATTACAGAAAGCAGGGGTGATTAACTGCGCAATGCAGGGCAAAAGTAGAAAGAAAATAAACAAGTGCTTTTGGGCTGATTTTTTCTATGCTATTCATCTGTTTTTGTGTTTATTTTTGCTGTTTCCTTTGTTTAATTGAAGTACTCAGAGATATGCAAGGTACCTTACCATTTAACATTTTCCATGGTCATTCTTTTGATGCAGGAAAGAAATGGTGATGGGAAGGCTCAAGAGTCAGAGCCCCCAACTCCACATTCTGTTCTGAAGATGGGATTGAGGTTGGTTACAACCTCAAACATATCTAAAAGTTTTGTCACACAAGAATACTGTACAGCCTAATAAGATTATTGATTAATTGCATACAATGCTGCTGGAATCACTCATTGCAATATCTTTTGTTTGATTCATTTTTGTGTGTTAGTATATGTTCTGCTTGAAGCCAAGTAAGTTAGCAGTCTAGCCTGTGGGACTGAGCTAAAAACCATGTGAATTGATGCTTTCATTTATAGACTATGGACATTCAAATTTGTGTGCACAAAATTTTGGCATCTTACTTTTTTAACCGGTTGCTCTTGCAGAGAGCGTAATAGCAGCATGGAGGATCCAGACGGGACATTAGCTAATGTTGCCCAGTGCATTGAGCAGCTGCGTCAGAGCTCATCTTCTGTGCAGGAGAAAGAGTATTCCTTAAGGCAGTTATCAGAGCTCATAGATACACGTGAAAATGCTTTTAGTGCTGTTGGATCTCACTCTCAGGCAGTTCCAGTACTTGTTTCCCTTCTCCGGTCAGGTTCATTGAATGTGAAGATACAAGCAGCAACTGTCTTGGGCTCTCTTTGTAAAGAAAATGAGCTGAGGGTGAAGGTCTTGCTTGGAGGATGCATTCCTCCATTGCTTGGTCTACTAAAGTCCAGTTCTACTGAAGGGCAAATTGCTTCTGCAAAGACTATTTATGCTGTATCTCAAGGTGGTGCAAAAGATCATGTTGGTTCAAAAATTTTCTCAACTGAAGGAGTTGTACCAATGCTCTGGGAGCAGCTGAAAAGTGGCCTGAAGACAGGAAATGTAGTTGAAAGTTTATTGACTGGAGCATTGAAAAATCTCTCCAGCAATACTGAGGGATTCTGGAATGCAACAATACAAGCTGGAGGAGTGGACATATTAGTGAAGTTACTGGCAACAGGACAGCCTAGCACTTTAGCTAATGTGTGCAATTTACTTGCTTCTATAATGATGGAGGATGCATCTATTTGTTCAAAGGTGTTGACAACAGAGGTG